ATATATTTTTTAAAGCACATACAGAGTTATGATAAATACAATTATACATATCTTGCGAATGTTTATATTGATCATATAAATGTACTAAACTAGAACAACCCTTATCTTCTAAATTAAATATATTACTATTACTATTTTCTAAAATATGCTTTAACCATAAAACTTTTTCTGAACCTTTAACATAAACACATTTATCTCTTAATATATCGGAAACCAAAGTCTGGTAATTGGAATAAGGTACAAATCCTTCACTCCAGTATATCTTTTTGTTACGTTGAATCCAAAGAACTACCTTCTTTTCAGATTCCGTTAAATTTTTAAATGGAAATGGTGGCTTAACTAAAAACACTTGTAGTTTTTTGTTACACAATATAGCGATTTCTTTTAATATAAATTCACCTGCTTCTGTTCTAAATCCTTGAATATCAACAACAGCAATCATGATAATCTGCGCACAATGTTGCTGAGAGGTTTGTATTCCACAAGTCGATCGTTTATAATCAAACAATATGCAGTTGTCTTATCTGGTATTGGTGTGGAACATTCAACTTCTAACCGCACGTCCACTGGACCGGTTTTTAAACTATCGTTTTGTCTTGAGCAATCTAAGATGAAAAGGGGAGCCTTTTCTTTAAAATCCGTTAGATCTAGCAATGGGTCAACAGGACTGTTGTAATACGATTGACGAAATTTCACATACATTTCATATAATATACTGTACTTGTTCTCAGAAAACTTTAAACTCAAAGGTTCGTAGGGATAATATTGCGAATTCAAAAAGAGTGTTACGTTGGTCACTTCACAATGATCGAATAGTGAACTGTCTTTAGTCCTATTATTTCTCCTATTAGTTTGCAAGCAAAATATAACATATCTAGGCTTTTCCAATTGTGAAGCTGTTTTAACTGACCAAGAATGCTTTGTAGTTTTAGGTAGCAAGGGATACTCATATAAATCCCAATTTCTAAAAGCCATCTGAATAGGTTTATCTCTTTCTAAATGTTTTAAAAGTGTTAGTCGTTCTCGATCTGACACTTTTATATGTGGCACCCTCCATTGGACTCTTTGTATATCTATTTGAAAATTAACAACATCATCAGTGAGAATAACACTATTTAAGTTAGAGTTGCTTCTACTCAAAATAAGTTCGTGTTTACAATTTATCACAATTTTATTGTAATCTTCTGCAAACCCTAAAATCTTATTCAATGGTATCACAGCACTAAAATGTCCATCATTTTGGAATCCCGCTAAGTTCCAACCCCATAAGGCTGCAACTTTATTTTCTGCTTCATTTAATGAAATGTATGCTTTTATTGTTGACGTAATTCCTGAATTTTTAATACGGTCTATTTCGATACCATTCATTTCGTATCTGATGTCTTGAAACAAAGACATAACAGGGTTATTAGTGAACGTAACAGTTTTCTTGATCGGATTCCCATCTTTACCGAACAGCCTTGCCTGTCCTTCGATGTAAATTGAACTGGCTGATGGTAGCACGTATATATCTTGCTGATGTATGGGGATTCTGATTTCATCGTTTTCTCTAAAGCTGTTATTGTAGGGATTGTACGAATGGATTTCATAACTTTCAATCGAACTGTCGAAATGCGGTAATTCAGTAATCTGTAGCATATTCATACTTTAAAACCCAAAGCTTTAAGAAAATCTTTATTTGCTTTAGTCAGTTTCTTAATTTTTGTATTACGTCTTTGCGCCTTAGCGGTTGCAGAAGAAATAAACCGATTTATTTTTACTGGAGTGCTTTTATAATATACTATCATTTTGTTTTTCTTAAGTGCAGACGTAACTGAATATATTCTTCTTCGAAGTTAATACAGTGACCAAATTGATCAACAATTTTAACAGATATGGATGAAATTATATTTTTGTTCACTGGAAAGTAAATAACGTTTTGTGGTATTTCTTTATAACCATGACTTAGAGCAGTATCTGATACAAATTCATGAATAAAATGTGTTGGTAATCCATTGCAGTATGAACCGTACACAAGATCACATTCAATTTTGATCACAGACAGATTACTAGTTTTAACTGAAATATCTGGTCTTGAATTAAATACTGAAAAGTATAGTAAACCGCACTCGTATTGATCAGATAAATGAAGAGGTGGTTGAAAATACGAGACCAGTTCTGATTTATTTCCAGAGATGGTAACCGTAGTAGACATGCTTATATACTGGACTGTTATGAAAGATCCTGTTCATTTTATTGCTTCGTTGACCAAAAATTGTTTAAGAAGTGTAAACAAAGATGTCCACAGTTGAAGGGGTGATCACGTTGTATATTTTCATAATTATATTGAATGTTAGAACCTACATATTTTACAAATTCCTTTGGTGGCTTAAGATTCCCGTAACTGTCGAAATACTCAACATAATCATTATATTTTGCATAGGCTACCCAATGAGAACCAGGATTTTTAGAACTATCTAAATTAATAACTCCACATTCTTTTTTATACGGATATTTAGGGAGCTCATCTCTCATAAAGACACCTCTAAAATAAGGAATTCTATTTCCATACTTTAAAATGTCAAAGTTAGTTAAGGCCCGTTTGGGTAGCCGATATCTTAGTTTTTTTCTTTTAATACGAAAATTCCAAGACCACTTTTATGTGGTTTAAGGTGTAGTCCTTTCCCAATACATAGAGCTTCCATTTTTTCATTATGTCTCCTCGATTCCTCATACAGCTTTTTAGCCATTTTAAATTCATTTATGGTTTTAGCAATACCAGCTGCACCGCCTGCTAAAGCTCCCGCCGCTGATAACCCCGCAAAAATAGGAATCAGAGGTAGTACTCCTCCAGTTTTTGGAATAGGAATAACGCGAGGGAGCTTAATCGATGAATCATTAGCTAATTCTCTGGTAGCGGCAATAGCTAATTCTATAGCCATTTTCTTGGTCTTAGGTTTTAATTTTTTTATGTGTCTTTTTACTTTTGTAATAACAGTTTTTAATTTGCTTTTTAATCCTTTTCCAGATGTAACTTTGGGAGAACGCTTTTTGCTCAAACCAGAACCAGTTTTAATTTTTGCCGACATAGCCTTACTTACTAAGCGTGCCGCGAGTTTTTCACCTGTACTGGCATCGAAAGCAACCGCTCGCTGTTTTGCCATTTTTAACAAAATTAAATCAGCCTTATGTCGATCCTTTAAGTTTGATGACTTGTGATATGCAATATCGTGATCTTTGCAATATTCGTCCAACTTATTTACACCGTTATCTCCTTGTGCAAGTCTTTTTATTAATTTAGTACCAGGACCACAGTAATTATATCCTGGTAAATGTAATTCAAATGGTAAATTATTAATAAGCCAATTGAGAAGACTGCTCTCTCCAAAACACATTATAAGACTGATGGTTCCGGTTTGAATAATTTAATAAATAGTTATGCGATTCGAGTTTGTTGTTAATATTATTTTATTTATAATATAACATTCGATTTATCAATCCAACTGCTTTCAGCTGAAGACAAACCTAGCCATTTTACTAAAACCCTACTACCTTTTCTTCTGAGAACTTTCTCGACTAGATATACATTGGGATGTTTTGTTTTTTGAAGTTCTTGTGTATAAAATGCACCTAAAATAGGCTGACCTCTGATAGTATCTTCGATTAAGTAAGTTATAGGAGTTGTATTTTGTATTTTACGGATTTTAAATATTTCTGTTGACCAGTTGGGAGTATAACCTTTTTCAAATGTTCCTTTGTATTTACTGATACGCACATAATCACCTACTTTGTACTTGGTTTTTAAATTATCATTTTTTAGCAACTTTAAATACCTTTCTAATATCGTTTTTTTATTATTATTGTCCACATTAGCAGGGATTTCATTAATAGTGCGATGGTGAGTGTGATTGTATTTGTAAATAACATCATTGAGGGTATTATTTACCCAATTGTAATTGCCTTTTAAACTAAATTCCTTATAGACTTTAGATTTCAATGTCCTGATAAATCGTTCAACTATTGAAGCCTTTTTTGTTGAGAAGGTTGAATAATGGTTAATATGATACGATGTCATAAGCTTCTGAAATTTGTTATTATAAAATTCTGTTCCATTATCCGTTTGCAGATTTTTAGGAACACGCCCTTTATCCAACAAAGTTTTGAAAGAGTTACACACATCTTCTTTGGTTTTACTTCTCATAGGAAAGGCCCAAGCATATTTCGAAAATGTATCAATAACGGCAAGAATATATCTGTAATTTTTATTTTCTTTTGAAATTGATTGCATATCAATTAAGTCTGCTTGCCACAAGTCATCTATATCTTTCATGATAACACGTCTTCGTGGATAGTTCACCCTCGCATTTTTATGAATTTCGTTTACTACGTCAGCTTTGCTCATGTTCACAATTCAGTATACTTGTCTTGAACTCAGCTATTATACTGAATAAAAATCATATTATTATGACTATTTATTATTTAATTATATCAGCTTCTTTTAATTCTTCGATTATTGATAAAATTTCATTATCATGGTTTGTATTACCAGCATCTTGGGAAGCAATTAATAGTTGCAATCTGTCAACCAATTCGTTAGGATCATCCCAATATACTAAGTCAGTATTATTTTTGTATTTCTTTAGCGTTGGTAACCTTCCTCCAAATTTAGTAACAATATTACTGTTTAACGATTCAGAAAACAATGGTCTAATTATTTCACGATATTTTATACCTTTATCGCCTCTAATTTGTCCATTAGGATTGAAATCTCTCTTATGTGCATTTGTATAATGCAACATATCCTTGTAGACAAGTTTATCTTTGCTCGATATTAGTTTCAAATCTGGTTTTCTTCGAAGTAAAAGTTCTTTTAAACCAGGGGTTAAATTGTAGGTTTTATCACCAATTTTAATTAAAATGACATTATCATCATTCACACTATCTATTTTAGAAAATGAAACTATTGAATTACCCATTAGTAATTTTTTGTTTGCACTTCTTATTCCAAATGGTATATTTACCCCTTCATAAATATCATGGATATCATGACCCTCTAATGATATTTCTAAATCTTCTAATAATTCCGTCTGGGGAGACTTTTTAACGAACTGCACAGAATTCGGTTCTGGATTGTAGCATTCTTCAAACTTTGTAGATGAGCTAGTATTAATATCACTCAATTCCATGTCTTCAAAATTAGAGTGTGTATTTTCTAAATTTTGTGTTTTTTCTATTGTTTTATTCGAATCAACTAGGGTTTTAAGAGGATCTGTGACAGGTTTTAGCATTTTATCAATTGACAAATTCATTGAGTGTTCCTGATCCTTCATTTGTTTTATTTTATTCTTTATGGAGTTTACAGACTTCATTAATTCTATTTTAATATTTTTCTCCATGTTATAATTATCTATTATAACAACTGCATTCAACTAAGGAACAAATTATACTGAATTTGATTTTACATGGAAATTACTTATATGCACATGTAAACAGTCAGTCAAATTTAAAAAACATGTCAAAATTCTGTCTGTACCTTCCATTATTTAATGACGATTCTTTATTAATCAGTAGAAAATTATAAGGTTTACTCCAAACAGTTTGACAAATATTTCTGAACTCTTTCCATTGTAAATCAGAACTAACATGCTCTTCATAAATATGCTTTAAATTTACATCATCTTGTTTGAATATAATAAGAAAATTAACATTGTCACGTAACAGTTGCTTTGGAATTTTAGAATAGGTTTGAGACAAATAGAAACAATCTATTTGTTTATGCCTACCCATACAGAAATAATTGCGAATATTTATTTGATTTTCACAAGCAACATCATCAAATATAAATACAGAATTTGTTAAGGCTTCACTCGGAGAAATTACATCGTTGTTATTATTGAACTCGTAAAAGTTAATCTGTGGTACCCTTTTTAATACTTCGATCAAGAAACGGTATTTTGGTTGAAAAGAAGTTTTAGAGTAAAGATAAAGATTTTTAAATTTGAGCCCATTTTCATGCAGCAGCAAACTGATCATTACATTCGTTTTACCACAGTTTGATGGGCCACATATTATACAGCGAATAGTATTTGGCAGTAAAGCGCTATGTCTGATGTGGTGAACAGAGTCACTTAATCTTATATTATTAACATTGAGAGATATGGGTTGTTTGATCAACTTCATATTGTATATTAATCTTATTTCCACCTAACGTACACTTATATACTCGTTACTACATGAACCTCATGATAGAATAAGCATGAACTTACAATTTGATGATAACGTTTAGGAAGTTGAATACGTTTGAATAAAAGTCAATTTGTTTAAGAAATATCATTTTATTATAAATGTTCATCATAGCGTATACATTCACTCATAATAGTAGCGTAATATATTCATTTACAGTACATTACTTATTCTTAAGAATTATTCATACATCATTTCTATACACATTACATACATGAAAGTAGCATAAATTTATTTATAATTATCACTAATAAAATTAATAGATACTAAACGTGTACATAGTTATAGATTACGTATCACTGGAATAATCTAAAAACATAGAATCACAATGACCCCAGGGTAATGTGTGAATTTGATCTTGTAGTACTTGAATTTTATCATCGTTTCTATCTAAAACTTGTTTATCTACTTGTTGGGAGTATAAAACATGTTTAATTGATTTTATCATATTCATTTTACATCTTAGCGCTTTATCGGTCAACAGAACATTGCTGTAATCATTCAATTTTAGATTATTTGTGACAGATTTGGAAACACCTTTAGCTTTTTTAATTTGAGTTTTGAGACTGTTTATAAAATATAATTTAGCTCGTAGACCGACAAATTCTATAATTAAATCATCACCCATCTCATGTTTCCATAATCCGGGAACTTTTGCATTAGTTTGTGGTATGCGATAAGGATTATTTACTGCAAAATTACTAGTATCGAACTTGGTAAGATCATCATGCATATCTTGATAAAAATCAGTTGTATATATTAAATATAACAAACTATCAGTATCAGTATAGCATAACTTTGCATTATTTCCATATTTTTTCTTTATAAAATCATAATGAAACTGGTATAAGTGTTGCTTAGAATATTCCAAAACTGTGAATCCGATATAAATCGGTCTATCTAAAACAACTTTTTCATGATATAATTCTACAGCTATAAAATTATCTGAAAATATTGATACACTTTTTAAGTTTGGTTTAGCTAACAATTTTTCAGCATCAAGATGTTTGTTTGTTTTATTGGTGGTATCTCTCCATTTTGTTACTAATTTAACATCAGCTTGCTTGCGCTTATTTTCAATAGTTTTTCCGAAAATCGCATTATTCAATAATTTAAAAAAGTCCTTTTCAAATGCAGTTTTGGAATTTTGACGAAGTCTAGTATTGAGATCGATGTAATTTTTGAGAAAACATTCTTGTCTAAAGCTAAGTATGCAATGAATCTTTTTTAAAATCAGACCATTTTTTAAACACTCTTTTAAGTGCACGTAATGAATCACATAATGATGCTTATCATAAAGATTCGCAATCAATTTTGCTGATTTTCCATAAGGTGGTACTAATTTTTCAACTGCAAAAGGTAAATCTTTATGTTTGTTATGTAAATAGTTCGGATAAATCAGGTCTACTTCCAAAATATAACCGTAATCATTATCATCAGAGATAGTAATTACATCAAAGTTGCTAATTTCTTCGAGAGTTAAAAATTTGAATTCTGAGATAGGAAGTTTCTTCATCATAGCATAGCCATACAGATTATTACAATCAAGGTATATTAAATAACTGCTTGGTTCTAACTCGTTAAAATGTGGTAAGTATTTATTATTTGCTTCAGCATGACGTCGAGAACACTGTGCCAGCCCACCGCGAATTCCTTTTTCTAATAACTCATACATTTGCAAGTCACTTATTAACTCCAGTTCAGTGTCAGTATATAGAAGCATTGCATCCCAGCTTAAGCTCGGTGAAGTAACATAATAAGCTGGATCTAACTTATAGTACTGTAAGCTTGTTTCTCTAAATTTTTCGAATATGTCACATAGTAAAAGCACATCACATTTTATGTATAAATCTGTATATTCACCAAGAGATTTAACGTTAAAAACATTCCAAACTGTTTGAGCGTGTAAATATTCTTCATCAGTTATATGCTTCTTACACAAACTGTTATAGAAATGATACTTTGATGGAAGTTGCGTCTCATCAAATTTGGACCAAGAATCGATATAATCATAAGGATAAACACCCTTTTTTCTCATTAGATCAAATTTTCTTTTATCGCTAAACTCTCTTGATAAGTTTAAAAAATCGTTTTCTGATAAACTATCACTCAATGCATCTAAGCTAGAACTAAGAAATTGAAAAGAATCAATAAATTTTATCTGAATAGGATGATTATATTTTTCTGTCTTTATTACTTTCGTTATTGAGAGGTATTTTTCTTTAGTTTTCGGTATTATGTTAATAGTACCTTCATACTTTGCTAACTCTTGAATGAATAAATGTGAGTCATATCCAGACAAATTATGAAAGACGACAGGAATGAATGAACAAACTCTATACATCAAATTACAATGGGAGTGCGCTGCCCCACGGTACTCTGAGGTAATATGATCATGATCTCGGACTTTGTCATTAAGCAATAGTTGTTTACATATGTGACATGTATTCGAGTTCTGATAATTCATCTCTTGCTCAGTTGTTAACGGAGTCATAGACTTTTTATTACTTAAAATTCTATGTATACGTTTAGCGTCTCTTATTAAATATTTAACAAATACTTCCGCACAATCTGTACCTCTGTATGAGACATACTTATTTAATTCATTATTATGTGCACAACAGATATAATAAGCAAAACATGAAGGTTGATGTGTCTTTAGTTTCCGAGTGTTTAAAGAGTTACTTTCATTACAGTCAATTAACATACATTCGAAGTCAGCATAAATGATGAAATTAATTTTCTGCTGCCTCTCAAAATGTTTAAATTTCAATATAGATTTTTTTTCAGGCAAAATAGACAATATCTTAGAACAGTTATGAGACTTGTATCTTGTTTCGCTACTGAAAAATTGTAAACATGCATCACATAAATAAACTTTACCTTTATAATGAGTTACTTGACGTCGTACAAGACGTATAAGATCTTTAATTAAACAATAGTGTCCAACAGTATTGTTTTCAATATATAGTAAATTAAAATGATGTTCTCTCTTATGCTTCGATACATAAAGAGGTCCAGTTACAATATTATTTTGCAAACCATATATATTTACACTCATATTTGGATTGTTTTTCTCAAACTGTTTAATATCATTCATTGTGGGTGGGAATGACATTCCTTCTATATTTAAAACCGAAGAATAATGAGGATATGAACTTGTTCTGCACACGTTATTTTTCGCTGGATATAATCCAGCAACTATACTCCATAGAAAACAACAATCATCTTCATTTTTTATATTAATGCAACTTCTAGAATGTTTAATAGCTGGTGGTAAATCTATATAAGATCCACCCCTCATAGGTGAATACTTATTTATATTAATTTCGAGATGACTCATAGAAACAAACGTCCAACCAGATTGACAGTGTTGGAACTCTGTTAATTTCTCGTTCAATGCATTCATTACTTTAGTTAATAATTCATTCAAATCAGTGTTTTTATAAATAATATTGTACTTGGTATTAAATGACTTTAGCTGCTTTTCTTCTAAAGTTGGTAGCATAAAATATGCAAACAATTCGAAATTAACTTTTATGCAGTTGTGTTTATTTAGTGACATAGTAATCAATTCTGCTATATTGGTTTGGTGATCACTCAGGAACGCCTCTAGACCGAGGTACTCGTCTTCCTGAGTGACATTCAATCTGTATGTCATTATTCTGTTATTGAATGCTGTCGCAATAATATGAATATTTGCGAACTTGGTATTCAATAAACAGTTTGCTTTGTGTATATTAGTTCTCATATGATAGGAATACTGATTTTCTGGAATTAATATTTTACATTTGTCACAGTTTATTTTTCTAGATCTTGACTTATTAGTGAGGTGTGTAGAAGCTGTGAAACAAAGAAAAAAAACAATGATAATAATTATAAAATATAATGAAATAACCAAAAATACATTGAATTACCCTATGAATTAAAGCTAATGCTGGGATAAATGTTATTATATTGTATATAGAGATATAACTATGCATCATGTACCTAATATAAAAATGTGTACAGGAATAATAAATTGATTAACAATAGGTTAAATCGTTAAGTTTCGTAGGATCCTAAGTACGACAGCGGACAATTTTTAAAATCTTTTTGGGTCGCTAAGATGAACTCTTTTATATGGCGCCAAGACTCCTTATCTTCATCCAGTTTAGTTTTTATAGTAGTAATAGCATGCCGCCATCTATTTATCGGCATAATTTTTTTTATTTCTTCGACATCATATATTTTTAACTCGACGTAATATTTTCCTTCTTTCGTCTCACTAATTTGCCGAGAATAGCCCTTCCGCAGCCTTTTCGTAAAATAAGAATGTATAGGTGGGACATTACCCGTTTTGGTAGAGCTCTTAACACATTCATTCTTGTCATCGTCTTCGTCACCGAATAATTCATTGGCCGTAACGCATGCTGGCGGAGAAATTGGGGAGATAGTTGGTTTGGACTTTTTCGAACTAGATCCTTCACTCGACTTGCCGGATCGCTCTCTCTTCATTTTCTTGTCCTCCGACTTCCCCTTCGGCTTCACCTCCGCTTCAGAATCGTCGCTGGAGAGAAAGAGATCGTTGGCGAGTAGCTTCGACCTGTGTATAAATAATATATTATTAGTGCACTGTAATCGATAATTTTATTTTCTACATATGTATAGGTGTTTATGTTGATTAGGTTTCGCTATATCTCTAAATATTTCTATGTATAAATCTAATATTAAAAATTATAAAAATCGATGAACAACAAATACAATGCTTGGTATAGGTACAGACACATAGTCTTAACGTCAAACTAGAATATTCTATCTATGCTACAGAGATAAGAAATAATGATCAGATTAACTATATGTATGTCACAGTTAGACTTGAAACGTTACGAGAATGGAACCCTCGACTGTCCAATCTTTCATAAGCAGTCATAATTATCATTGTGTTATAGTTGAAATAAATTAAAATAATTATGTAACTGGTACTTAGTTTTCATTTTTTTTCAACACAAAGTAGCATATTCGATCTGTGCAGGAATCGAACCTGCATCACAATATTGACGGTCAACATTCGAATACTTGAATATATCAACTAATACATTGCTCTGACCATTTAATAGTTAGATAAATGATTATGAATAGATACTTACATTCTTGATAGGTGTTTAGACAGGTAGCTTGATCAGGAGCTCGGAGAGTTGATCCGTTGTAGAGAGGATTCGTACCAGAGAGGAATTGTACCGGAGACTAATTTGCTATGCGTTTTTATAGGCCTAAAATCACATCATTCAATCCAAATTTGTAAAACTGCATACTTGCAAAAATTGCATACACGAGCGTACAAATCTGAGCGGTTAAGGTTTTAAGCTTAGTGTTATTATATAAGATGGCTTTTACCCATGGCTTCGCCCGCGTTAGTTTTAAATTATCCCACGGGAACTTAATACTGAGATAAAAAATCCTATGTCATATTCCGGGTTATGGTCTATCTGTATGCCAAGTTTCATCGAAATCGGTTAAGTAGTTTTAGAGTTTATTCGTTACAAACATACAAAAATACAAATCTTTCCTCTATATAATATTAGTGTAGATTATTATATGTATAGATAGATAATGTAGACGGATGATGAATATAGATACTTACTTAAATAAACAATAGGGGAATTTCATATTTAGAAAAAAAGTTTGAAGATTGTTGTTTTTTACTGAATGTTTTTGACGTCAGGCGACGGTACAAACGCTGCGGTTTGCACGCTCGCATGCAACTTCTAGACATGTGGAGGAATGGAGATATGACTAGTCAGAATCTCATATTTCGGTATGTAAAAATAAGCTTGTATTTATCTTATAATTTTTTCACAATTACTATGATAACTTATTTGTTTTTATGAAATATAGAAGAAGTTGAACAATTGTATGAAAACGTAAAACGTGTCGATGCTCACTAATTGTAGGTACCTACTACAATAATAATCAGATCGATTAAGTAAATCTTGTGTTTTATTCCAGCATAGAGGTACATCTAAGCTATTAAAAAAATAAATTAATAACAAAAAACTATTTATTTTTAATCTTTATAATAATAATAGCAGGTAAAACCAGGCTTAATAATTGTATGTCGATATTGATCAATTGTTATGATCCGTCTCCTTAAAAAGAATTCAGCTACGTTGCAAATTCGCTAACGCTGATATACTATTAACATACCATGATTTTGCTTGCCAAATCATTTTAATAAAATGTATGAAAACAATAACCGTGAACAAAAATACAGTAGTATTATTTTGTCGATATATATTTTCGATAAACAATAAAATGTTAGGCGTCGTAATGTCTGCGGTTTCAATTTCACCATACCATTTTTGTATAGATATTAACATCTAACAAAAATATACGATATTGAACTCTATGTATTAAAAGAAATAATTAAATTTAAAAATATAAAAGGGGGGTATAATAAATTGAAATCCATTTCATCTTTGAATCTGATGGTGAAGACTGAATCAGACTGATATAATTGCGGAATGTCGGTAAGTGTTACTTTAATACATTCACTAACAATTTAAAAATGTATTAATATTAACAATAGTAGTAAGTAGCATCACAGCATTAATTATTTCCACATAAGCCTTTATTTCAATCGTAACGTTTGTAGTGTAACTTAAATTAATATTGTATTGTTATTTCAGGACTCGGAGGATCTCTTCAATTTTGTACCCATGAATCAACCAGTCCAACAAACCACTGGACAGAAGACGCTGGGTCTCGCTCGCAAGAGATCAAAAACAGATCAGACATTCTATCAATTTATAAAGAAGCCTGTTTCTCGTGGAACGAAAATAATAAAAATAGAAATCTATGATACAGACAGTTTTCAAAAATCCGAACAGCCGATGTGTAATTGTGAGGCTGATGTGTGTGTTCAACATGTTGTGAAAACTATATTATACGATGATATATATACCAGTACGAGAGAATTAATTGCCAAAATTCAGGATGACATCGAACCAAGAGTATAGATTTAATAATTTAAAATGTATAGACGTTACCGTTTACCACTTATGTATGTTTAATTTTCTAAAAAAGTTTATGTAAATAATTATAAGTGTACCTATGTAGTAATGAATAGATATCAACTATAAAAATATCAAAAATTGTATATTTAAAATAAAATAATTCAAAATATCATTTTTTTATTGCTAACTCATTCTTATACATGTAATAAATAGCCACTGCACTACGTACCTAGGTATATAAGGCAGCGCAATGGACAATAGCGAGAGCATTCCATATTATCATATTCAATAAGTATGATCTTTTTTATGAATATTACTGCCATGCCTGCTATCTTAAAATAATATGTGAATAGAAGATTAAAATGTGGAAAATAGGGTATCCAGATCTCTGATCTGGATGCCCTATTTTCCAACTACTTAAATCGATTGTATATTATACTATAATAAAATAGTATAATGTTTGTTTGTTTATTCACCAAAATATACAACCGGTTTCCGAAAGGCCGATCAATGTTAAAATTAATTTAATCTCTTGTCAGAGATTTGACACCTAGTTAGTTGATGTTAACATTGATCGGGCTTTCGGAAACCGGACATTAGTGTGGGAGAGCCAAGCTTCGACACGAATGGGTCTGCTCGAACCGGAGTGATATTACGGCCTTGTGTTTCGCCGTGTGCGTGAGGTTACCGGAGGCCCAATCCTTCTATTCCCCCCATCCGTCCCAACTCCCCAAAAGGCCGGCAACGCACTCGTAACTTCTTTGGTGTTACGGGTATTGATTTGATACAATCTTTAACCATTAGAATACTTAAATTTCACGGAATATAATATTAGCCTATTAGATAACAATATCCATGCCAGACAGGTCACGTACAACTGATTATATATTCCACTCGGGTGCGACCTATTTTCAATACATTATTTTATTTATTACGTTACATATTTCTGGATTAATATTATCAAAAAAAAACTCCGCAATTGCCGGTACAAGAGCGATAGGAAACCCTGTCAATGCTCTTGGGAGTAGAAAGCTGTCATGGATTTTCCTCGAAGTATATAATATGGGTGGGGAAACGAAAACAATTCTCTTTGAAAACATTTCTCGAAGTTTCGACGCGAAACAAGTCATCCAAATAATGGACTGTGTTTGGGGGTCGGTTAAGACGTTTTACTACTGACAAAAAAGGACAGACGAAAATGTAATAAAACATTCAACCTTTTACACTACCACCATTTCGTCAGATCGAAATTGACGGTCAGTAGACCTACCATAACGTGTTATTAGACGTCTACTAGAAAGAGGGATGGAGCTATACACCTTTTATAGTTCCATCCCTCTTTCTCGCCCGGAAGATTCACGCAATTACACGTCATGGTAGGCCTCCAGGCGTTTATTAGGTACATTACTCATTATGATTGTGCGTGAACGACGTCGCTGACCGCTTTTTTATGTCATAGCTCAGCTTGGCAAACGAGCAGACGGATTACCTGATGGTAAGCAATCAACGCCGTCCATGGCATGGTTCGCTGCCGATCTCTTGTGTTATTGGGGATTTACGAATAAGGGATTCCGGGCCTTCGGGTATCTCACTCACGCGGCGAAATACAACGTAAATGTTCCTTCACGCTGGTTTTTTTTAAGGCCGTGGTATCACTCCGGTCGAGTCGACCCATTCGTGTCGAAGGATAGGTCTCCCACACTTAACCACTTTCCACCTCTGCTGCAATTCACAACGGAAACGTGACGTATTGCGCAAGCAACGCACCGCGTCTCTGTAAATGAAGCCTTAGGCCCTGTGTTAAATTTTTTAATTGCAATAGAAGTCAAACGAGCTAACGGATCACCTGATGGTAAGCAATCAACGCCGCCCATGGACACCAGCAACAACAAAGGAGTCACAGGCGTTTCCCACGTTTTTAGAAGTATGTGCGTGTTTAAAGCTTTGATGGTCATATCGGTTCAGAAATACCGCAAACGAAATATAATTCCGAAGTTTCGAAAGTTCGCGAAAATCGCACACTATGTTCGTCCGACCATGGCAATAACCAAAGCGGCCCGACTCAGAGCAGGAATTGATACACCATGGCTTTTCATCAGTTAGAGTCTGACGCTCCTTTTAGCCTTACCAAGGTAGAGAGAGGACATTGGATGATTTCTGTACCCTTTAAAGTCCTGAACGGTAACGCAACAAATGCAATACGGGACAATCGAACGCTAACCTCGTAAACACAAATGACTACAACGTATTACCCTAAACCATCCATATGGTTAACGATTTCCGACTCTAAACGTCGTAGAAAAAGGTTGACAATCGATGAAACTAATTTGATATAGGGCTGATTTTTCAATAGTCAAATAAATGTTATCTGAGGAATAAAATTGTTGCTGTCACTGTCTTATACAAACATTCTGACGCGACAGCATCATAATTATTACCCATGTTACTTTTACCTAACCATTGAAAAATCAGCCTTAATTCGGATACCTCCTCATGCTGTCTGTATTTAGAATAATAATTTATTTCAGTTCGTCACGACAGAGTGACGTCATCGCTGCTTTATTACTATTTGATTTATGTTTTAGGGACAATTTTTATTGGCGTTTCAGTAATTTGTTTGGATAAAGGTAAAAGAAACTGTGTATCTTGTATCTTGTAGATTCAAACGATTATTGTTTTATAAAGATACAAAATGAAATAAAATAAGGAATTTATTTTTGTAAATAAATTCCCAGAATAGTATTTTTATTCGTCATCATTACAAAAACGAAAGAATGCTAGATGACAATTCTAATATTAGTCAGATAGGAAATTGCATTTCCATAGAGGAAAAGCTTCTTAATACGTAAATTTAAAAAAATGAGTTTATTATTGTTTTTTATTTATACTTTTTACAAAAGAATGTCCAGGCGGACTTAATGCCGATCAGCCGGCTCGATATTTTAAATTGCATAGTTTCCTAGATGTAAAATAAATAATATAGGTAGGTTTCTCATTGATTGATTCAATAAAATCGATAGATTATCGATTTTTATTCGAATCGATTTTAATCGATAAATTAGGGATCGTTTTTTTTTCAATCAAACTTTTCTGAAATATTTTATTGTGATATATAATTTAGCGTTTAATTAAGCGTGATTTTTTTGGTCTTCCAATTTCGTTACTTTGATTCTAGTGTAGAATCCGGTAATTTTTAACGAAATAGTTTTCTTTTCAATACTTTTATTGATATTTTAAATAGCTACTTTTAATGAATTTTGTATCAAATAGCAACATATTATTATGACGTCACAATGTTGTGACGAAAGAAAACTATTTCATTAAAAATTACCGGATTCTACACTAGAATCAAAGTAACGAAATTGGAAGACCAAAAAAATCACACACTAAATAGGTATTTTATGCAGTGGCAACTCTGGAGTGGGTTCTTCCCCGTAATATGATAATAGTAGAATAATTTATCAACTATATCATTACTAGGAATAAAATGTTTAATTAGGTCGGAATGTACCTACATAACATATGAACTATGTATTAATTCATATAACATTGTTAAATATGCATCATTTTATGAGATTATACTATATTCCTGGAGTGATTAACTACTTCATCATCATCAGCCTATAAGTGCCCTCTGCTGAGTAAAGGCCTCTTCTCATACGGAGAAGGTTAGAGCATTAATCACCACGCTTGCTCAATGCGGGTTGGCGATTTCAAACTTATAATTAGAAATTATAGGTCTAGGTTTTCTAACGATGTTGTCATATAGTCGTGGCGACCCGTGGAGGTTAGGCGCCCGCTTCTCATGCATGAGGGTGCGGGTTCGAAACCTGGCAAGAACCAATGTGTTTTTTCCGAGTCATATGTACTTTCTATAATTATTTAGGCACCACTGACAAACGGTGAAGGAAAACGTCGAGAGGAAACCTGGACTTACAATTTCTAATTACAAGTTCGTAGTAAGATTAAATATTTTTTATGGAATAGTACGGTATAACAATGGCATTTCACCTGGCTCTATGATTTGTCCGCATAAGGGCTGATTTTTCAATGGTTAGATAAAAGTTACCTGGGGGATAATTTTGTACAAGACAGTGACAGCAACAATTTTATACCTCAGATAACATTTGTCTGACTATTGAAAACTGAGCAATAAACAATGAAACAATGAATTTATTTTTGCAAATAGGCCATAAAACGGCACTTTTACACGTCAATTTATATGTGAAAAACTAGATGAATCCGGCATTTCCTATCTGACTACTCTGAGAAAAATGCCGAAACAAACTCAGAGGTCAGTCTCAGTAAAAGATTTATTTTTCATAATGCGAAAGTAATTTTTGAGATCCGCTTTCTGAGCATTTCTTGTAGCATGCTGCCTGAAGTTATTGGATCTAGTTTAAGGCAATTCCAATCTTAGTCTGGAAAAGTAAGATTGCTTTTCAATTACTGCAATGAAACACGAACGATGTAAAACTTACAGATTACAGCTGTATCAAAATATATTCGAAAATCATATAATACCTACCTTAAAAAACCAATCGTGACTGGTGCATTTGAATTTGAACCCTATTTATATTGTAATAGAATTACGATAACTTTGGTCATCATAATTTATCTTCCACTATATTCTTCCACCTATGTTAGGAACAAAATAAAAAATACTCTAAAAAGGATTTATTTCACAATTAAAATAAAATTATTTCACCTGCGTGTGTTTATAATCGGAGATAAACTGGCTATTCAGGATATAATCCGCAGATTATCAGCCAGTCTGTATCGAATTTATCGATACTATCACATTAGAAAGAGTTTCTCTAATCGTGTTACGTCAGACGCAGAAACATTTATCCAAGGTTACAGAAAACTTTTTTCCGAAATAGATACCTGAAGCTAAATACGTACGTACAAATATATATTCATTCAACTATAAAATCACACACAAACAAACCGATGTATCGTTCCAAAATTATCCTAAAATAAATAAACCAATCCCGTTTAAGAACCTCCTTAGACGAATTTTCATAAGGCATTTTCCACAAAACCTTGATCATCTAACGTTTCAGAAAATTAAAAAAAATAAAACGTCACTTACGTCATTTCGGCTGCGTAATGTGCTTCGCTTGGGTCTTAGAAGGACATCTTTGAAGTCCAATTTAACTTCGTTTATGATATTGGGCATTTTACACTGAACTTAATTCTGTGATAATCGTAAAATGTTTTTGCTGAGCGCTGAGTACGGCCGCGCGTCCCTTCCCGCGCCGTGTATCGACTGTCCGATGCAAACAGTGTTGCTAGGATATAGAACTACTTTCCCCACGGGTAATCTATAGATATGAGTCAGCTGATATGTGGCAGGTCATTAAACTCGCATGGAACAATGTGTTTAATATGTTATTAGAAACGGTTTAGCTAATGAAAAAAGAAGTACTTAATATTAAGGGACTTGCATATTTAGAATACGTATGTTGTTAGTTTTGAAAATGATTTAATTTTCTTTTTTGTTATTAAAAATAAAGTTATTTATTTTAAGGAAAAGTTACATTCTCTATTACTTCGTGACGATTTTCTAAATTAAAAGAAAGTTTATTACTTTGTAATTAGACGTGTCAATAAGTTTCATTTAAACTAAACAATTTAATTAGTATTTACTTAATTAAGAAGTTCAGACAAATTTAATAAATTACATTAAAAAACTACAACAAATTGGGTAATTCTCCTCGACTGGCAACACTGTCTCTAAGTGTGACACGAAACGTCACGAGGGCGCCAGAAATACTTCGCTTTCAGTCGCTAGGTGAAGGTTATTTAATGAACCGAAGTTACACTGTAAAAACTCAACATTATTTCAACACAAAACTAAAATTTTCCCTCTTATTTCAACTGGTTTCTTTCAAACGTCGCATTCGAAATCGGGAGTGTAATGTTATTGATAAAACAAGTCAGCTGTTTAGTTCGGGCGTGCGCAACGCGGAAGATAGTCTTGCCAAATTAAAATGACATTGGGAATCCGACCGAGGACGAAGCGAATGATGACCATCTTATTTTACGCGTTTAACCTTACGTTGTAAATGTCAAATGTACTTGGTAATTAGTAATATTATATTCTATATAAATGCACTCTGCGTGATTGATAAAGTTACTACAAGTTAAATTATTGTATAAGTACGTATCGGTACTAAGTATTGTAAACGATTTGTATTAACGGAAAAATATTAATTAGTATCCTTTTATTTTATTTTTTTTATATCATAGGACGAGTGTACGGATTACCTTATAGTGGGTACGTTACCTTAGCAATCAGCGCTACGCGCAACGAAGGAGTTTCGAGTGCATTGTCAACTATTAAGTTTTTATTATTTTTAGTTCATAATGGACAAGCATTTGACCACCTTAACGCCTGGTGGTAAGTGATGATGCGACCTACAATGGAGCAGGCTGTCGGCTACCCATAAGCAACCTATTCGCTCGGGCCTTGAAGACACCCTTACGGGAGCATAGACTCCAACAAGGAATTCCACTCAGCCATTCTGATTATAAGACTGGAGGCGAATCGCTTCCCTTGGGATATGGAAGTTTAGGTATTGGGGGAGAGGAAGGATTGGGCCTCCGATAACTTCGCTCACACGGCGAAACACAACGCTGTGGTTGTTTCAAGCTGGTTCTCTGTAAGGCCGTGGTAGTCCGGTCCGAGTCGATTTTAAATTGAGAAAAGGTTTGTTCATGCGTGCCTGAGTATTACGTTCGCAAGGCGAATTTGTGAAGGTGAGGATAACGCTGCTCAAAGGGTGTCGTTAGGCGTTCTAAATTTAAAATTCAATAAATTTTTTAAATAGCTATTTTATTCGCAAAAGCATAGAAAAATTCATGCTGAAAATTGTGTGCTATATATCTACGTGGCCTTTAATAGGATTACTTGGTGATAAGTTATGTGAAAAGTGTTGCTTTTATTTTCTTTTCCCTCTTATATTTCTTCTTAGACACTGTGTCCATGTTGTAATTAATACTCAACAGATAGAATGCGATGAGGTTCAGAATGTTTTTTTTTTATATTTAAACAAGAACAGCAATGCTTCTGTAACACTATTAACTAGTACCTATCCCTACTTTTTGTGGGAGGAAGGGAGTAAGTCTTTAAAAGGCTTCTCTTAGCGTCTCTTACTGCCCTAAACCTACTTCTTCCTTCTTCTGCTCTTGGCCGTGGCCAATACATTATGGCACTCACTCGCATTCCTCTGATCCTGATTCTGATTCACATGGTCCAAAATTACATGGATATAAAATTAAAGTCTGTGCTAAGTGAGTACTATATTTATTTTAATGTCATTGCACCATAGAAGTTAAGTCCAGCAGCAGCGTTGAGCGAGGGTCTTCTGGAGCCACGGATACCGAAGTGACCGGGTCTGTGAAAAGGAATAATTTAAATTATTTAATTGTGAAAGAGCCATACTTCGGTAAGAATGGGCGCGCTCGACCGGAGTAATACCACGGCCTCACACAAAATCGGCGTGAAATAATCACAGTGTTGTGTTTCATTGTGTGAGTGAAATAACTGCAGGCTAAATCAAATTCCAAAATCTCCAATCCCTTTACCTTCCCTTCCTCAAATCCCTAAGAAACCCAAAATTGCAGCAACGATTGCTTGATGAACGATTGATTGGTGACACTCAAGCTCCTTTGCCTCCTCTTCACTGTCTGAATGGAATGAAAGGAACTTGAGTGGGTGGGGGAAAGTGGGTTCATTTTAATTGAAATTCATTTAAAATAGGTTTTATTTCAAATGGGTTCCTTTAAAATTGGGTAGGCGAATACTAGGCGTTTCCCTGAAAGGGTGAGTATAAGTACGGTTTAAAGGAAGACTCAGATTTTTTCACCTGAACCCCCTTGATGAAGGAATGCCTTTTTACAAATTACTAACATATGTAGATCTCCGACTGGATGTTTAATCTACCTATATAAATAAAAATCAATGCCACTCTTCGGTGTAATTTTATAACTCAACAATGCTTTTACCGATTTGGCAAATTTTGATCTTGAATTATTTGTGGAAGTCCAGAGAAGGTTTTTCCGTAGAAAAAATTTAAAAAGTGTAAAATCGTCCTTCACGCTGGAGGAGCCGCGGGCGACCGCTAGTATTGTAATAAAACTATAACCGACTCGAAAACCCACTTCGAACCACTCCCACTCGTCAAAGTCACTTTTGAAATCGTAATAAATATTTTGGTCAACGTGAATTCTTAATCCTTACCCTCATCTTTTTCGTTTGGCAGCTTCCATTCTTCAATGTGTGGCGAGAACACGGCCTCCTTGTAATTCCCGTAGCCATCACACTCCACATCTGAACCCGTGCGACACCTCTCTCGGGCACAATCTGGACATAGTATATACAAACGAAAAAGCATTCTTGAGAGGTGTCAAGAAACACCCGGATGAAACGTAGCCTTTCATAAATTAGTGAAGAAATTTTTATTTTATGTCTGTGGTATCTAAACATTAATATAAAGTATAAATAACTCGGAAAAAGTCACATTGGTACTTGCCAGGTTTTGAAACCGCCCATGAACCTATTCATGCATAAAAAGCATGCACCTTAACCTCCGAGCTTTTTTTTTGACGGGGGAAAATCATCAAACTACTTCTCCCGCCCAAGGAAAGCCGAGAGAGTCAGACTCTTACTGACTAAAAACCCCCGTTCCTTCTCCTGTTTTAGGCCGAGGCCACGGTGTCTCATTGCGCTTACCCTGCAACCCTGGCTGAACATTAGCCCTATAGCCCCGTCTGTAATGGTCTATTGGCTCTTTGAGGCGCGCGCGGAACGCTACGCGCCGTACGCTCGGGTCTGGTTCTGGCCGGGCGGCGAGCTGCCCTTACTCGCCGTCCGCAGACCCGCGCTTACGATGGCCGGAGATCATCGATCTCAATGATCACCTCCGGGCTACCACGACATTTTTGCCATACTCGCCTCTGGAAAAACTATTTGACGACTTAACCCTCAAACAAATGTATGATCTTGGACGTAAAATATAAATAATAATAGCTTATCATAGTTTGGAGCTAACCGCAATTCATGTTGGAGACTTCAACTCTTGGAACCTTGATCCCTAGGATAAAACTGCCATCTTCCAAAGCGCAGTAACAGACGAAGCGGCGACACTGTAATAAAAAATATATAATTGTGTACATGGTACTGTAACATAGGGCGATACACGGCAAGCGCGCGTAGGTGTTATCGTAGTAGTAATAAAATGAATCCTTATAGGTAAGTGTGGGAGAGCCAAGCTTCGGCAAGAATGGGTCGGCTCGACCGGAGTGATACCACGGCCTCACAGAATACCGACGTGAAACAACCACAGCGTTGTGTTTCGCGGTGTGAGTGAGGTTACCGGAGACCCAATCCTTCCCATCCCCCGATCCCTCCCAATCCCTAAATCTTCAAAACCCTAATCCCTAAAAGGTCGGCAACGCACTCGTTACACCTCCGTTACGGGTGTCCATGGGCGGCGCTGATTACTTACCACCAGGTTATCCGTCTGCTCTTAATAAAAAAAAAAGTATAAAAAATGTTTCTTAAGGAAAGTTGTTTGTTATCATGAGTACAATCACGTGTTTAAATATCGTTTACTAATTACCAGTCACTCTTTATACAGATAAAGACCTTCTTCTTATAAGAAATAGTACCAGGTTCACAGTTTACCTGGACGGGAGCATATAGCCAAAGCGGAGTGCATTGCGGCGCGTTGTAATGCAGATGACCCTCTGGACCGTACTTCTTCTTAAAGTACTTCAACTCACGCTTACATGGCTCTGTTCATAAAAAAAAACATTTCATAACGACTGTAAGGGTCTTTAGTACGTTGACTACGTCAAAAAATTGTTTTTGTAAAAATGGGTCTTGATTAAAATTCGTCAATTGTACATTCACATCATCAGCCTATAAGTGCCTACTTCTGAGAAAAGGTCTCCTTCTACACGGAGAAGGTTTGAAAATAATCAGCACGCTTGCTGAAGGCGGACTGATGATGTGATGCTGTGGAGATTCTAAGATGGCAAATTTTCCTAGTATCTATTTACTTCTCGAATTCTATCAACCCTATTTTACCGTGGTACTAAAATGTACTAAATACAATATTAATTAAAAAACACTGCTTATACACGTGAGCCATTCGAGAAAAACTGTACAGAGCGCGAGATCATGAATATGAGTCCCGCTGTGACTTGAAACTTGTTGAGCTTATCTCGAATAGTTCACGATTCATCAAAATCGAAAGAATTAAAAAAAATTGGTACCATTAGCGAGAACCTCCTCATCCCTCTTGTATCGTGAACTAACAGAAGGCGGCACCATGTGTATGTCCTGGCAGCGTCCCTGTCTGCACACCAGTCCATCATCACACCCTGGCTCCAAGAATTCTTCTTCCACCTGAAGACCGTTAGGCATGATGAAGAAGTAAGGTCCTTTAAGAAGTTGATCCTTAAATAATTGGAATACTGATTATATTCAGAAGATACTCCTACCTCAATCTCAACCGTTCCGTTGACATTTTGAAAGGTCTTCTTGAACTCCGCGCACTTTTCATTCAATTCTAAAAAGATGACATAACGAAAAAATATCATAATTGTCTTAATACAGGAATAAATAAATTAAAAAAAAAAGGTTCAATCACTTTAATGGCTGTCCCCTTGTCCTTAGTAATAAATACAAAAACATTTATCAAAAAGTTACATAAGTGAGTGGTTGAGTTTTGGAGTCTCCCTTTAGGTAGGCAAGCCTGTGTTAAGAGACTCCAACAAAACGACCTTACACTTACGACAAAAAATAACTTGTTAAAATCTAAGCTAAAGTATCTTACAGTAAACAGAATCCTGTCTCTTTTCTCCCAAATCCACTAGCTTTACAAATGCACAAGTGCGAAAAGAACAAATACATTTTTAAATGTTGAAGAGTTCCAGACCGTGCGATACCACGGCCTCAAAAAATAGCGACTTATAACAATCCCACAGAAGATCGACCACGCACTTGTAACTCCTTTCGTGTTACGGAGTGTTCAAGGGCGGCGCCGATCGCTTACCATCAGATAAACCGTATGCTTGTTTGTCAAATTATCCCATAAAACAAATATCCTGTATTTATTATTCATCATCATCACCCTGCCCGTGTCCCGTTTTATTTGGAGCAATATGTTTTTTCTTCCATTCTGTCCTGTCACTCGTCACGCTATCGTTAACTCCTCTGTCTTCCTTATCACTTCTTACACAATCCATCCATATTTTTTTTAGTCATTATTTATTATTATTTGCTTGTAATTGGTTATACATTTAGCTTGCAAATTAATTAATTTATCTTACGCTGGTACATGCTGCATCGCCCACAGCAATTACATTGTTCCTTGTCCGGCAGGAATCCGCCGAGCACACAGCTGTGTTCAGGCACTAAACCTCCTTTACATTCGTAGCCCCTACACGACATAGGACAGTCGCGGCTCGTAGCAACTTCGTAGCGGAAACTACGACGGCTACGAAAAAAGAAAAACCTATCTGTATTTTTTATGTTTGGGTGGGAAATGAGTAATATATTAATGTTTTGGTCATAAAAACTCCTGATTCTTAGGTGGGAGGGAGTATCAAACTCTTAGTGACTGAAAACCGACCAAAGTTCAAACTCATGCACCGTGCTAGACTATATAGTATGCCATTGCGCTTGATCCACAACCAATTATGAGATAAGTTCTAGATTCGAAATAAACTGATTTATTTTTATACGTCGCTCGAAGGAAGGCAGGCCGATGGACCCAAAAAATGCGAGAGTGGCAACCAAGAATCGGGAAACGAAACGCGGGCAGGTCTCCCACTAGGTGGACCGACGACATCGTCAGAGTCGCGGGTAGCCAATGGATGCAGGTGGCAACTTGTCGTTCGATATGGAGGACTTTGTCCAGCCATGGAAGTCTTCCGGCTGATGATAATGAAGTACTTTCTATGATAATTTAGATACCGCTGACATACGGCGAAGTAAAACAGTGAGGACACCTGAATTTATAATTAATAATAAGTTTGAAATCACCAATCCACCAGCAAGCGTAGTGATGCTCAAACCTTCTCCGTCTGAGAAGAGGCCTTTGCTCAGCAGTGGGCACTTAAAGAATGATGGTGCAATTCTTGTTACTTAAACAATCCCTTGATAATTCATTCATATGTTATTTCATAATTGTGAACTTGTCTGTATGGATAACAAATAGCATATAGTTATTTAAGAGTAAAGATCTTTATTACTTACATATTAAGAGTTTCCTTTGGCAACGGCGGTACAGTAACAGGAACACCTAAAAATAAATAAATTATAACAAAAACCTTTTTATATCCTTAACACTCGATCTGCGTAAGGTGGTTTTAAAATGTGGGAGAGCCATACTTCGGCACAAATGGGTCGGCTCGACCGAAATGATACCACGTGAAACACAAACAGCATTGTGTTTCGCTGTGTGAGTGAGGTTATCGGAGTCCTGATAATTCCCCTCCTCCAGTGAAATCCCAAAATCTCGAAATCCCTAATCCCCAAAAGGTCGACAACGCACTTTTCACTACTATTTTGTTTTTAATAAAAATACCTTTATCATTACACTACTCGAGAAAACATTACAAAGAATTATAAAGATAAAAGATGTACTCACATCTCCGCAGAATTCTGTCGCATCTCAGAGCACGGAACTCTTGCTCTGGGTGACCCCAATACGGGTTACATCCCGCTCTGAAATCTAGAACATTTATACCAAAATTTAGCTTAATATCCGCCCCTGGAGCGCTGCCAACACTTGCACTGGAGGTTAGTTGGTATAAATCATGCCTTTCCACTTTGACCTTTAAAGAAAACTGGTTCGTGTCACAAATTCGCTTTCTTATGTACGTAAGTATGCCTTACGTAAAATATCTTTATTGCGTTTTCTGTTACTATAGGTACTTTTGACCACAATTATTATATAAATCAACGAGATTTCGTTGATGAACTAAAACCTCCTTCTGAAAAGCTTTTTATAACAAGCCGAAGTTACTGACTTCTTTATTTCTTTTTAGCAAATGTTTTGAGCAAAATGCTTGTTATGAGGACTTTCTCCTGTGTCATGGAGTTTTTTACAAACACAAATTCATATACAGACCCGGTACGAACAATTTGTGGATCTCGTGGCGGGAATCGAGCTCACGACCCTTTACACGCGCTTTGCGTGTGCAATAAGACAATGATTGAAACAGCATATCCAAATATTTTAGAGGCAAATATTAAAATCATTCTACTTTTCGACCCCATATACACTTATTTAACGATAAAACCAAAACTGCGCCAATTTTTTTCCAAAAAAACCTTAAGTACAGGAAAGGACCGTAAAAGAACAAAACACGTTTATTTCAGACGAGAGTTGAATATTGAATATCGTCCTACAATTCCTTCTTCGCTTACTCAATTACGTTAAATAAATTCAATTTTCTATACCAACTTCGTTTATCTTTGATGTAGAACACGTATTTTTGTTGCGTCACCTTAAGTGCGTGTATCTACGAATATGTGTAGGTATATACTATATAGTATTGAATATATTTCCTAGATTTTTACTTTTTTTGTCAGGGGAAAATTATCAAATCACTTCTCCCGCCCATGATAAGGCGAGAGAGAGTGTCAGACTCTTACTGACTAAAACCCCCCGTTCCTTCTCTTGCTGTGGCCGCAGTGCCTCATTGCGCTTACCCCGCAACCCCGGCTGGACATCAGCCCTATAAGGCCCCATCTGTGGTGGTCCATTGGCTATTTGAGGCGCGCGCGGAACGATACGCGCCGGTCGCTCGGATCTGGTTCTGGTCGGGCGGCGAGCTACCTTTACTCACCGTCCACAGACCTGCGCTTGTGGTGGACGGAGATCATCACTCGTCCTAGATTTTTACTTAACCTTTCATTCCGGTAATTGGAGACATAATAGTAGAACAATAAATTCTCGAACACCAGCGTTCGGTTGGGGTTTAATAATAAGTAAACATAGATTCGAAGACTGCACGGTTGACGCGGTGGCTGGGCAACCAGCTACCGCGTGACGGGTTCGATTCAAACAACAACTCTTTGTGTGATCCACAAGTTGTTGTTCCGAGTCTGGAAGTGATGTGTATGTGAAATTGTATGTTTGTAATCGCGCCCACGACACAGGAGTAAAATCTAAAGTGAGATAACGTATTAAAAAAGAATTCCCCCGGAGAATATTTTAGAAAGAATAATAATATGAAGTGTTTAATTTCTATAATAAAATTATGAAGTAGGTACTAGATACTTTCGCGCGGTTTCAACCGCTGCTCGGCTCCTACAGCCTAAAGCTTACCTGGATAAATAAAAAAAGAATTTTTCAATTCGAACCAGTTGTTAGATTAGCGCGTTCAAACAAACAATAAAACAAACTCTTAAGCTTTATAATATTAGTATAGATTAAATACTTCGTACGTACGAACCTATAGTAGTAGTTGGTAAAAACTCTTCAGTTTCAAAACTGTACTCATCCTCCACACACGACTGGTCCAACTCTGAAATCATCATCAATCAAAATATCTATATTATTCTTTCACTGAAAATAGGTCCATATACTTATTATTATTTTTTTCAGGGAATAATCATCACATGGCTTCTCCCGTCCATGGTAAGGCGAGAGAGAGTGTCAGACTCTTACTGACTAAACCCAAGTTCTTTCTCCTGATTCCTCCTCGGCCTACCGAGGCAGTTGTGCCACATTGCTTACCCGGAAACCCCGGCTGAACATCAGTCCTATAGGGCCCCGTCTGTGATGCTAATCCGTCCTGCCCTTATTTGGGACCCACCTGAAGGAGGCGCGTTCTATCCGTATACTGCTTAAAACTTTGCCTTTAAGATTCCACGAGTAAAGAAACCTCTTTCACCTACTATATGTTTGACCGATTAGAATGTGCATAAATCAAGGATACCTTACCTATATCCACCCTCTATCATCGCACTACGTAGAAGAAGGACATGGAATGCGGGAGAGAACGATTCTCCTTACGCTGGAGACGAGGTAGACGCTATGGTCGTCGGGGATCCCACGATAATCTCCGACCACCGTGTCTCACCGGACAGCGAGCAAGGGTAGCCCACCAAGTGAGCGTATGGTGGTAGCTGACCACCACAGATAGGGAGGACGAAGGAGAAGGAGAAGAAGGAACGGGGTTGTTTTTAGTCAGTAAGAATCTGACATCTCCCCCATCCAGAGCGGGAAAAGCATTTTACTATATTGCCCCGCGACGTAACGTAATAAAAAAGTCAAAATTGGTTGAACGGACAGTAGTTAAGGGACTTAGCTGCCATCGTTGGCCAAAGATGACCAATGACTATATAACCCCTGGTCCTATATACTGGTTATATTCTCTTTGAAGACGACAAACGAAAAATTGGCCATTTCGGCAGTGTCGAGCATAGCAGACTAAAAACCGTCATTTGTTTTTACGACTATGGCGTTCGAAATGTTAAACGAATTATGTTACTTTGACCAAAGTATAGTTGTTACTGACCTCTGAAGAAGATGCACTCATCACAACACCGGCACTGCGAGTAATCAGCTGGCAGAAACATTGCGCGCCATTTGCCGTACTTACGATCGCAGTACGTGCGGTACTCCGACGGATTCACCCTACGTTCCCTGTAAAACATTCATAGATATAGAGTGATAGGAAGTGAGGAAGTTTCGTTTGTATAATAATTCCAAGAGGGCAACAACAGCCTTAAAGCTACTGGTCCATGGGCGGCGCCGATTGCTTAGCATCAGAAGATCCGGCTGCTTGTTTACCATAAAAAAACTCAATACTTAACACTTTTACATTTGTATAATGAAAAGCCATACCTTACTTAATCAAGCTGGGAGTAAAACAGAAATAATAAGAACAAAAAAATATGTTTACTTGCAAGAATCCCTGAACAGCTCGCATTCAGTATGATTATTGAAATGTGGACATTGGGGGCACTGTTGGTAATCTAGAAAAAACAATGACATGTTATTTCAGAACCTCTTGTGTTATTAAGGTTCAATATCGAGTGTGCCCCGCTTTTTTGATAGAGTAAATAAATAGAAAAAAGTTTCGTAAAAAAAATAACCTACATTAATTATAAAATGTTTTAGACACGAACTTTTTTACTTCTCTTTATTTTTCTCGATAATTTATTTATTTAATTGCTATTCTATATAATACAATACCGTCAACGTATCTTGGCAAGTCTGAAGTTAGCCGATTAGCTGCGCAGTACACAATTTAGTTCCTAAAAGATACATTGCGCAGACAAACTGAATCAGAATTCTGTATGTTTTCCAGTGGATTCATTTTGTGAGGTAAAACTATCTTGGCTCCTTTTGCTCAAACAAAAATTACTTTCGTAGTTTTCTTCTAAGTAAATAAAAAATTAACAGGCATAACCTTATAACAACCTTATTTGCCACATGCGTAAATATAAATAATTTCAAATTACTATAAAGACCAATATCCAAGCGTGGCGTAGAAAAAAGTCTCCGAAACAACAAATTCTTTCGTATTGTTTCACTTCTGTACGATTTGAACCTTCTTCTTCTCGCACACGGACATTTATGATAGTGCATGAAAGTACGATTTTTAACCTTAAAAACTTCAGGACGAAAACGTTCGCAATGACAGAAGTCATCAAAATTTCGGCGTCGAGGTAAAAGCTCTGAATAACAAAACATTTATGAAAATACGGTAAAAACTTTACTTTCCAGACTTCGTAAACTCACAAGGATTGAACCCATGGCTTCGTAGAAAATCGGTGTTACAACCTCAGCATTTTCCTTCGTCGTGTGAGTGAGGTTAGCGGTGACCAAAGAGGATATAACCACGTGGTTATATCGTCAATGGCGTTGATATTTCTGCCCTCCCCAATCCCTAAAATATTCTAAAACCATAACCTCAAAAAGATCGCCAACGCAATACTAACTCTTCTAGTGTTGTCCATAGATGGCGCCGATGGCTTACCATTAGGTAATCCGTGTGCGTTTCTCGATATTAATTAATACTCAATTGAACATCCTTAACAGTATTTACTTCCTGGATAGTATAGTTTTATTGTAGTTTACTTTGAAAATTAGAAACTTTTTCTAAACATATGCTGCATTTATTTCCTTTTTAACCCCCGACGCAAAAAGAGGGGTGTTCTAAGTTTGACGTGTCTGTCTGTCTGTCTGTGGCATCATAGCTCCTGAACAAATGAGCCGATTTCAATTTAGTTTTTTTTTTTGTATAACAGGAGCTTTACGGGCGACTGTTCTTAGACATGTTTGATGAAAAACGATTCAGCCATTCATTTTTAGTCAATAAACTATTAGTTCTAGCTCAAGAAATAGAGTTTCTCACCAATCCTATTCCTGCAAATAGGTCGGACCGTCCTGAAACTGTTGATGCGTACCACGCTCTGCTCGGCAGGAGTCTGTTCACATTTGTCGTAATCAATGTCCGCTTCGTTATTTCTCACGAGATAAAGGATCTCAGTTTCACGCCAGTACTCACTCGTGTCCATATCTTTGTCTATTAGCGTTATAAAGCGTAGGTACTGCGAAAGAATTTAAATTTAATGTGTTACATTAGGGTTTACTTAAAGACTGCATGGTTGTAGACTGAAAACCTGTCAAGTACCAATGTGGCTTTTTCCAAGTTATATGTGCTTTCTATGATTATTTAAACACCACTGATATACGGTGAAGGAAAACATCGTGAGGAAACCTGGACTTATAATTTTGAATTGTAAGTTTAAAATTGCCAATCCGCCTTCAACAAGCGTGGTGATAATCAAACCTTCTCCGTGTGAGAAGAGGCCTTTGCTCAGCAGTGGGATTTTACAGGCTATTATCCCACTACGTAGAAGAAGGACATGGAATGCGGGAGAAAACGATTCTCCCTACGCTCGAGACGCAGTAGACGCTTCGGTCGTCGGGGATTCCGCGACAATCTCCGACGACCGTGTCTGCGGCGGTGGTAGCTGACCACCTACTAGTGATACTGTGGTAGGTACTGTGATATGTATAATGACTTCATTTCAAAAACCCACATTTAGCACTTAGTAGGTAGTACACAGATATCCAATCCAAACTATCCAAACTGCCAAACTAATATTATAAATGAAAAAGTAACTCTGTCTGTCTTTTCTTCAAGCTTAAATTACTGAACCAATTTCTGTGAAATTTGGTACAGACATAGTTTGGAACTCGAGAAAAGACATAGGATATGTTTTATAGCAAAAATCTGCAGTAAGTCACTATTCCACGCGAACGGAGTCGCGGGCAAAAGCTAGTATAATAATATTACTAAATTATAACTTTATATTGACAAACCTTTAGGTCTTTCGTCTTGTTTGTATTTGCCGACGCTGGGCTGCTCGGCCTCATTTCCAACGAGAGCACAGGCACCATACTCTTACACGAAACTTGACGTACATTATACAATACAAAAATATAATTAACAAATAACAAACATATATATTTCATTGCCATTGATTGATTTTACAATTTTTTTTTCTATTTGTCTCTCTATTTGTATATTTGTACAAAATTGACAACATGGCCGCTCGTCACTGACTGAACGTCAGTTTAGTCAAAGAAGAGTGTGATTAATGGCCTGAGATTTTGAATCCTAGATTATTGACCTTCTTGGTCAATTATCCAATATGGGCTTTCATCCGAAAACCAGCAGGAAAGCTTCTTAGAATCTAGTAGTTAGGTATTTAATTTTTATGATCGGAGAGTATGTAGACGGTTTCTGAGTTTTTTTTCTTTAAACGTTGCCCCACGCTTGTATGTTCTCCTACCCAGACCCGAAACATCAATTTGTGAATCAAGCAGTGCGGGGATTGAACCCGCGACACGTTGCACATCAGCCAGTTACTCAGCCACTGCACCAACCATGCAGTCAAGTACCGTGCAGCAGTACCTGATGGTAAGCAATCAGCGCCGCCCATGGACCTCCGCAACAACAGATGTGTAACGGGTGCGTTGCCGACCTTTTGAGAATTAGGGATAGGGGAGGGATTGGGCCTCCGGCAAAATCACTCAGAAAAACACAACGCTGTCGCTCGTTTTATTCAACATTAATGAGGGTTTTCTGAAGTGTTTCCCCCGTGAGATGGCAGGGCTGTAACGTCCTGTCAAAACACATACAGTACGGCCGAAGTATCTTGGCGACTCTGAAGTTAGCCGTTTGTCTGCGCAATGGTTCTTTTAGGAACAAAATTGTGTACTGCGCAGCTAATCGGCTAACTTCAGACTCGCCAAGATACGTTGGCGGTGTTGTACACGATTTATATTTTCCGATCACTTTTTTTTATTTATTCTTAAAAACGTTACAAACGGAATATTGTTTCCCAAAATACCACAGTGCAGGTGTGCAGTGCCTATGTGTGCAAATAAAAAAGGAGGACATAAGCTCACTAAAGAAGATAAAAGCCGATTTAAACAGTGGCTTGTAGCCATAATAAAATCAATAACACTTCCAAATACATAAAATAATACGTTTGGTAAGAATCTGTGCTATCTGACAGCTGTTTGGACCTGACGCATACGAAGCGCCGCCTGGCGCAGAAAAAGTATCGAGAACCCTCATTACAACAAGTCACAAGACGTTTTAGGTACCAGTCACCAGTCCAATCATTGAAAGCGCTTACTCATTTAACTTTTCAATGTGTCGTGTGTCACATATACAGGTCATGCCTATGAGACCCAATCGTGGCTTGAAATCAGTCGTGTTAGTCTGTCGAACAATAACGTGAATGCCGAAATTGTGTGTAATATACAATATACATATAATTCAAAGGATAGTGAAATCATCTCAAATAAAACAAAAAATCACATACAATCGTTTATTCGCCATGTAAAATACAATATACAAAAAGACTATACCAACCAAGAGTAATTAGAACATGCCGAAGACACGGTGTTACATTTTCAATATTTCTGCACGCCCAACTTTTTACCATAAGGATTCGAAGTTACCCATCAGAGTAGGATTATTTACTCTAAGAATGTCCATCAAAAGGCTCCCACAAAAAGTATACCTACAATTTCAAATTATTATTCGTCGAGATTACAAAAACAATTACATTGTTATCAATTTGCGTGCAGAAAATATTAAAATAAAGTCAATGAACACAATCCAAGAGCCGAGTTTGAGCTTCGATCGTTATTAAAATGATATATTTATATTAATAACGAAGACTTTAATACGTAGGTACTTTAAAATCATTATTAAGGGCTGATTTTTCAATAGTCAGATAAAATTGGGGAATAGTTATGATGCTGTCGCGTCAGAATGTTTGTTATAAGACAGTGACAGCAACAATTTTATTCCTCAGTTAACATTTATCTGACTATTCAAAAATCAACCCTAAGTTAATCAGTAGAACCTCGGTAACTCGAAGAAATAGTAGTTACAATTTTTTTTTAATAGATAGAGACTCCGCTCAAAAATTGAGCTTAGGAAGTTTCACTTTATTTTGGCCATTAGTGTTGCAAGTAAGAAAATAAAGATTGTACAAAGACAGTAGCTATTAAGTGCATGGTTTTAATTAAGCCTTTTGTCACAAACTTTTAATCTTACGCGTTTCATGTTCAAAATATTATTAAGCAGGTAAGTACAACGTCAAATTTTCCAAGGTATTTAAATAATTATATTCGCGTTCATACCCGCTTAATAACATGTTGTTATATTGTCACCATTGGTCGGCAAACCGGCTCAGTAATGGCTGCATCTATACTACATCTTTTGTTGTCATACCTCCAAACATAAGAGTGACTTAGGTAGCCTTTTTACATGAACCCAGTATGTACATGGTCTGTAATTCAGTGCCTACTGCGAACTAGCTTTACATAACCGTCAACGTCAATTTCAGGTCGTGGTTGTCCGGAGATTAAGGCGCTCGTTTTTCATGCATTGCATGCATCGAAACCTTCGCAAAGCAGTGGGGGGAACGCATGAGGGAACTATCCTCATTGAACCGCCGCAGTAGGCGACATTCCGGGCGTCGGGGATCGAGAAATGATCTACGGCCACCGTAAGCGCAGGTCTGCTGACGACGAGTAAGGGTAACTCGCCGCCCGACCAGAACCAGAACCGAGCGTACAGCGCGTAGCGTTCCGCGCGCGCCTCAAAGAGCCAATAGACCACCACACGAGCAAGCGCGTTGATTAATGCTCAAACCTTTTCCGTGCGAGAAGAGGCCTTTGCTCAGCAGTGGGCACTTATAGGCTGATGACGTGTGATATGTACCGTGAACGTTACCGCGTTAAGTCCTTTGATTGGTTGATTTCCTTGAAGTAAGGCCAATCAGAGAGCCGAACGGCATAAATGTGTCAACGACAACAACATAAAACAAACTCGGACTAGGCTTTCCAGCTCACAACACAGGCCGTAAGCTTAATAGCCATCTCAGTGGTATGAAAAAAAAGATTCGAGTTACAGAGGTTTTACTATTCCATTATAAATATAAGGTCACTTTGTATGCAAGTTTTATCTCTAAAAATCTGAGCAAATCGTTGTTTGAGTTAGATAGATATATCATCTAATAATTTTATACTAATTAGGTACAGTTAATTTTAGAAACATGAGTTATAGGTATAATTTATTGACATTTTATTGTAATATGGTTGCTGGGGAGAATTGAAAAGAGCGTCCATTACCTAGTTTGCTGATTTCAAAAACTTTATTTCAGTGTAATCTAGGGAGGGCAATCGTTATTATTGATTGCCCTCTCATCATTTGTATCCCTTCTTGATATGTGAATAGCTAAAACCTTCAGATTTCGCGTTTTACAAACATTATGAGCTTCATATACAAAACCTACTTTACAAGTATTATTAACTATTTTCTATTTAATCGTCTTCTGTATTTTAGTGTGTGTAACTATTACAGTAGATGTATAACTATGGCAGTGTTATTTTATATAATATTTCTAATTAGTGTTTCAGGTAAACATGTAATATCAGGTTGTTTATTTTCGCACCGTCGCTCAAATACTGCCATAACTCAAACAGGAAACCTTGCCTCTCAAACTTATGACACTATTCAAGCGTGTCAATGCGAATAGTATTTCGATAATTTTATACAAATTTTATATAACTATTTACTGTTTAATTTTAAAACAACACATTTTATCCTAGAATATTAACTAACATTTTATTTATTTATTTAATATTAAAACTTCAAGTCTAGCGTGTGTACCGGCAGATATTATTGACTTAGATGTACGTATGAACTGTAATTAAAAGGACATTCCTTAAAAAGTAACTTCATCGTGAACAACACAAAGATTCTTGTCATATTTAGTTCAACGAACACTTTCTTTTCTTTAGTTTTGGACGAGATGAATTTAGCAAATATTGCACATAATTATACTATGCGTAAGAGAACTGAAAATTTTGATCAGAAATTAAAATCATACCGTGTTAAACGTCTTACTTATGACTCCTCACCTGACCAAAAAGCCATACCAAAGCAACAATCGCTGGCTCTCATGAAACTTAGTTCGCCTAATAATATCTGCCGATACCTAAAACGCCAAAACATAATCTTCAAAATGGACGGAATTAAAACATTTCATTCAAAATAAACTCAACTTTTAAACAAACAATTAACAAAATTGACTAGACATCGTAACACAGGCTGAATGGGAGACATGACCATAAACAAAAACTATAACCTCTTACGAAGTGTCAGTTTCTTTTAATAAAAAAAACGTCTAAAGTTTTCGCTTCAAAATTCAAATGTCATTTATGATAATTTCCCTCCATTTTGTAAAAAGGAGGTATTATTAGGAACACTGTCTACCTTCTCAAAGTATTCAAAATTCTGGTCAGAACTATTGTTTCATTTTATGGCTACGTAGCAATATATATAACAATGTGCATCTATGCAGTTTCAGTTTTCGAAAATTAGAATCATATACAATTTCTCCTTCGAAGCGAAAAGTAGAAAAAAACTTATACGTTACACAATAAAAAGTTTCGACTACAAAAAGTCGTTACAAAAATTGGGCAAATACAAGACTACACACACACTGCAGTTAAAAAGGCTTACTGATATTCATTATCATGATATGTTGTCATATGTTCGAAAATTTAATAAAAGTTAAAATATTGGAAAAATTAATGCAAACCTTCGGAATTTTTATCAAATCTCCTGAGTTATTTACGGCATTTGGAAATTTTAATCTAGGAAACTAGTTTGATGAGGCTTGCCCTGTGGTCGCGGGGCAAGCGCAATAAGGCACCGCGGCCTCAGCCTCGAGCAGGAGAAGGAACGGGGGGGTTTAGTCAGTATGAGTTTGACACTTCCTCCTGCCCTACCCTGGGTGGTAGAAGTTATTTGATAATCTTCCCCTGAAAAAAAAACCCCTCCCCTATGACTTTATCATCCGCCCACCTGTTAGACGTCCTTCGCATTACACCACATGATTACTATCATCAAAGATTAAAATAAAAAATATCAGCGAAATAGTAGTTTCCAAATATGTTCTTTGTAACCTTTTTAATGGCAGTGTGTGAGCATCCTACCATAGTGTATAAACCACTTACGTGACAGTCTATAAAATTACGAACACATTACTCAAATTCTCGAAAATATTTATTGTAAGATTTATTTAGTATGGGAGGCATTTTTATTGAGATTATGTAGTTCTACTTTACTACAGACTTATTGTGAAAACTGGCTAATAGGTAATTTTAAACATCGAAATTATTTTTTAAATTTAGAATAAAATATGTAAAAAAACAAATCTCGAGACGATACCATAAATAATCTTAATGTAGAAAGGGTAGAAACCTCTACTAACTCACGTAAGGATTGAAAAAAAAAGTCGAAAATGTCCTCTAAGTAAAAAAAAGTACAACCACATTTTAAAACAACAATTTTGGTCTTTGGATTTCTTGCAACAACAAAACCTCTCAAATCACCAGACACGCAAACCACGAGCCAACTAGCAGTTTTCTCACAAACCCTTATTAATAATTTCCCAAAAATCCCCCAACACAATGGACAAAACCGATCCACAAATTTCCAAAATCAAAGACCACCATTCATCCATTCGTTCATTCTCGCTAATCAGTAAAAATTACCCCTCCAATCTTTAGACCATTTACATCAAGTAGTTTGAGATTCGCAAGCCTACATGATAGATCGCTTACCTATCGTATGCTTGTTCTTAGGTCCATGAGGGCACTGGCTGTAATGACCCCATGTCTTTGCTTTCCACAGCTCCCATATTCCGCATCACCCCCTATGGTGACGGTTGAAAAAGAGGTCGAATTCCTCCTATGCTGTAATGTGGATTTCTTGCCTCCACTCATACATCCCGTCTCTGAAGGACTTTGCCTCAACACCGGTTGAAAATAATCCCCATGGCAGTTTGTGTTCGGTACCCATTCATGTCTCTGTTCAAATATCTTCGTTGCCCTAAGGGGCTTAGTGACGCTTTGTTCAGACTTCTGTTCTTTCAAAGGTCTCTCGAGTTGTGGTCTCGTTAATTTCGGCCGGCTCTTCGTGTCAGCTGAAGCACTCAAGTGCTTGGTCTTCGAGTAAGACTTCGTTAGTTCCGTTTCGTGGAAATTCTTGCTGCTTTTGCTTGTGGTCGTCGGTAGTGGATGCGTTTTGTTACTGTAAGGGGTATAGTGAAAATAAACATAATTAATTCATTGTAAACAATCGGCTTCATCAATAACCGGAAAACGTCCGATACTGAAAATAGCCGTCTTACTACCTGAAGCAGGAGAAGGAACGAGGTTTAATCGCTAAGAGTCTGACACTCCTTCTCACCTTACCATGAGCGAAAGAACATTTGATGATTTCCAAATCCATTCTGTCATTTTTATAATCCCTAATTTTTTACGTTTAGAAATCGCAGTTGTTAAAAATACTGATACGAAGCCGTTGTGAATGGACTGTACTGCTTATCATTTATTAGGTCATACTCAGATAAAACAGTAGAAAAGTGAAACATACCTAACTATCATGAACTAGATACAAACAGGAGTACTAAACAATTATAATCCCATTTAGGTAAGTTTTTTTTGTTAAGGCCCTTTATCGTGGACACTTTACCCGCGACCACACTGAGTAGTTGAAGAGGATTCAAAGCCCTTTTTCACTGGTAATGGCCACGTTTTAGTGTCGTAAGAATCCCATAGTCACTAACATTTCTCCCCAAAAGCTATGCAGGCAACTTTAACCCTTATTAGTTACAAAACAAGATTCATCTTTAGTCTGGGTTTAAACCATCCAGACAGATTTTGAAATATGAACCTTCAAATCGAAATACAAAAACTGGTTCAATGGTTTAGACCTTTACTAACAAGAAACCTTGTTTTGTAATAAGGCCGTAAATGTTTTTCCAACACACTTCCTCTTATAGTAGGTCTAATCCCACGGCAATCAGGCACGTAATGACACCTATAATCAAACTGTGACTTTTTCATTACTATTATAGACAAGCGAGTAATAGAGCTTTTTTAAAATTATTGGTCGAGTTACACTTGCACTTGCGCTTAAATGCCATCCACGAAATGCCCAAAAAAAGTAACTTAGGTAATTTTGTAGTCTATGGCCGATGCGAGCGCATATGTATACTGATTATTTTTTCCCGCCATTACGAAACATTTTTCACAACTCGTCTCGTTTTCTCTTTTGAAGTTTTTTATTTAAGGGCGCGTTCCCACCGTGTCGTGACGACTAATTTATCGTTCGACGACTGTCGTCTCCACCTGTTCCCATTATAACGATTGTTTGTCGTCAACATTTTTTATCATTTAGCGACTGTCGTATCTAGCTGTTCCCATTGGAACGCGACGACATTTTATCGTTTCCCGGCAGTCGCTTTGTCGTTTACACATCATCAGCAAGCTACAAATCTAGTCGCCTCTGCGTTCGCTTGGTGATCACTAGTGCGTTTACTCTCCTGAGTTCAATGGACGAAGATGAAATTTTAATAATGTATTACTTTTTGAAAAGAAGGAAAATGAAGCAAGCAAGGAAAAGAAAGTACTGGGTACATCCAATGTTAATGAAAAGAATTCCATTAGGATTATGTCAGAGTTATATAGAAGAATTAAAAAGTGATGATGGAAAGTTTTATGAGTATTTAAGAATGACTGTCTCCACCTTTGATAGCCTACTGGCACGACTTGCAGACAATCTTAGAAGAGAAAACACATATTTCAGAAATTGTATAAGTGCCGAAGAAAGACTAGTGATAACTTTAAGGTAAGTAAATAAAATGAAAATTCTTTATTAATGTATACATTTATTTATTTAGATATTTATTTTAGAGTTACACGTTTTATAAGTAAAGACATCTTTAAATTATATATTGTCAAAATTAAAAGAATCTTGTGTGTTATCAGACAAATTAGTATAGACTGAATTTGGTGATGCAGCCGGTTCCATAACTTGATTGCTAGTCGAAGTTGATGCATCTGGATCTTGTGTAAAATATCCTGTCGGTTGTGATAAATGGTTTTGATAGTCACCATAGTTTGCATAAGTATCATATAAATTATTACGAAGGCGTTTCTTTCTAATTTTTTGGATCAGTTGCATAATACCCGTTTGGAATTCAAAATTGTCATCATTGTCGAATGATGCCAAAGATGGTAAAATTCCTTTAATAAAGGACACATGTGGGTGTTCTTGATTATTTAATTTATAATCAAGAAATTGTGACATTTTATCATCTAATGTGTCAGTCTTAGTTTTCTTTTGAGTAGAAGGTGCTGCATCACTTAATGTATCAGAGATAGAATTATTAGGCTCATTAGATGAATCAGAGGTCATACGGGGCTCAGTAACTTTTAATAAAAAAGACAGCTGATTCTTATAAACATACGGCCTAGTTGTTTTTGCGCCTGCACCAGATCGCTTTTTTTCTTTTTCATTTTTCAGGGATCTCATAAATGCATCTCGAATATGTGTCCACTTTGTAGATATGTGTGTAGCTGTAAAAGTAAAATAGACTTAAAATTAAAATTTGTTTGTGTATAGATTTAACATTATATGTATTAACATATAATCAGTCTAATACGTAGTCAAATTATTGTTCACGCAAAAATCTGCACGTTTTTCAGAGTTTAAAAAACTATAATAAGATCGAGTTTTTCCATTAGTATCCCCGGATGTTTCCGTGAACAAGTAAGGGACTACCTATTAGACTGATTATATGTTTATACATAATTATAATGTTAGGGCATTGGTCCTCGAATATAAGCGTATTATAATAGCTGTTGTATTTATTTACAGATATTTGGCGTCGGGATGTTCGTTTAAACAACTGCATTATAATTTTAGAGTGGGAATGTCAACCATCAGCAAAATAATCAAAGAAACGTGTTCTGTTATTTGGAGCGTATTAAGTGCAGAATATTTAAAGTTGCCCAATACCGAAGAAGAATGGAAAACGGTCGCTGAAGCTTTTAAAACGAAAGCAAATTTTCCTCATTGCCTCGGTGCGCTGGACGGCAAGCACATAAGGATTACAAAGCCAATAAATAGTGGTTCTATGTTTTTTAACTATAAGGATTATTTTTCTTTTATTTTATTTGCAATTGTTGATTCAGAATACCGCTTCATTTACGTAAGTATTGGTTCATACGGAAAAGAGTGTGATTCATCTATCCTAAAACAATCCAATTTTTGGAAGAAATTAAATGATGGTACTTTAAATATACCAAGACCCACGCCATTGCACGAAAATATGCAAGAAGAAATACCATATGTATTTGTTGGAGACGAAGCCTTTACATTGTCACAAAATTTATTGCGACCTTATGGCGGTACTCATTTAGACAATAAGAAAAAGATATTTAATTACCGTCTAAGCCGCGCGAGAAGATATGTTGAATGCACTTTTGGTATCTTATCCAATAAATGGAGGATCTTGCATAGACCATTGGATGTATGTGCAGAAACAGCTATTGAAGTTGTAAAGGCTTGTACGGTATTACATAATTTTTTAATAAAAAAAGACGCTATATACTTGGAGAATACCCCAACCGTTATGCCCCAGGTAAACATGCCTGCAACACAGCTGCGTTCAAACGGAAATGGTGGAAACGCAGTGCGCTCACAATTTTCCGACTATTTTGTATCTGAAATAGGCTCCGTACCTTGGCAAAACATTACAGCACACGTATCATAATAAATAAAAAGTTTCAGAAACTTACCGAAATCTTTTCTTTCCTTTTCCTCCAACTTGTCAAAATTAGGTTCAAAAACGCAACAAATTTCTCTCCACGCGGCTAATTTCAAACCTTTGTCTTTATAAACGTCTAAAGTTTTGTCCCAAAGGACAGCCCTTTGTTCCACAAGTGGAATTAAAACTTCCGGTGTTATATTATTAGCCATTGTTATACGTCCACCATGCGCAGGAGTCTGACAAGTTCTAACACGCACAAAGCAAACCGAGTACAGACGCGAGGGGCGCGCGGGTGCGAGAGGGAAGGGAAAACACAGTTGCCGTCCACGATTTTTTATCGTTTTACGACTGTCGTGCTTGCCGTTCCTACTGTCACGACAAAGTGTCGTCACTGCAAAAACTGTCGTAGACGACAGTAAATTGTGTCGTTCTAAATGTGAACACCTCCATTTAAACATATAAGCCACGACACTTAAAACTACACGATTATCTGTCGTCACGACACGGTGGGAACGCGCCCTAAGTATTATTTTATTCAGAAGTATGTTGAAAAACGTCGTATGATACGCGTGTGTATTGACGATTACCGTCCTCGGCTCCTTAAGACCCTCGCCTAACAACTCGGGCCTAAATTCACCTCGGCGGCGGTAATCACCAACTTTACACACTTGTACTATAACGTAGGTACTAATACCTGGAATGTATTTTCCTATGTTGTCCCGTATGTGACTGTGATCCCTTCGCCATGATGGAGTACAATTTATTCCTGTAGTCGTCCACTGACATCTGCTTGTCGTCCCTCAAAGGCAGGAGAACATCCGACATTAAAGTCGGCTCGTCGCGTTCGCGGTGGAATCTGAAAGTATGTGTACTTTATAAATCGCTACCTACATAGTATAAAACAAAATCGCTTTCACTGTCCCTATATCCCTATGTATGCTTAAATTTTTAAAACTACGCAACGGGTTTTGATGCCGTTTTTTTAATAGATAGAGTGATTAAAGAGGAAGTTTTGTATGTAGGTAGAATAACATTCATACAATATTGTGGAGAAATTTAGTATCAGTAATTTAGTTTATCGGGTACTAATAGTAGGTACGTGGTAGGTACTATATGAAGGTGATGAAACCAGTTCCTAAGTCCTACCAATATAAATAAAAATCAATGCCACCTTTCGTTGTAATGTTATAACTCAACTAAGAAACTCAATCCAAAACATAGATTTGTATGGACAAGACTAAGAACTCATTATTAGGTAGATACCTACTATTAAAAAACAAACGTGGTTGTACATTGGACTTTGTACTATCAAATACAACAATAACAAATATAGTCCATTATCATAATCCCCGCTAACGCTGACTAGACATTATAAAATACAGGTTTTAATCAAATCATAGTGATTCGTCACTTTACTTCTGCGACATGAATGAAACTGGTCGCGTTTTTTGATAAAACACGCGAAATGATTATGGATAAACATGACATAAGAAAGAATGAACGTAATTGATTATTTTCATATCTGATGTTCGTAATCCAACTCATGATAATATGTTATTTTTGTACCGCATCATTGCTTGCGAGATAATATAAAGAATGTAATACTTATTTATACATGTTTAATGTACTAACTTCTTCTGTCTATTAGGCGTATTTCTTTTTCTTTACTCTTTGTTTGTTTTATAATAAAACCGATCGACTAACTGACCGCGTCCGAGTTTTACTACTATAGAAAAAAAAATAGGATGACAGACTAGACAAATTCAATTCTTTTTTCGAAACATTAAAAATGTAAGTACTTATTCTATGGATTTTGTTTTGACTAAATCGTGACTTCGTAACTTCATGATTATCTATTTGCGTCACAAAAACTATTTTTTAAATTAGATCTCTATTTCACCAATTATAATTTTTACCTATAAGTACTGGATTGTAAACAACATAAGTATTATTAATTACGCGGGTACCTATTAACGCGAAAGGTAATAATTATTTTATAATTTTTACCTACCCTAGGAATTACTCTATCCACCGATGAATTAAATCAAAACTCGTTTATCATACATAATCAAATACATTTTGTTTTACTCCGTAGCGTATTACGCTACTGTTGTCCTACCTATGTTACTTTAATTAGTTCTAGTTTTACATTTCTAAGTATATATTTTGTCTGTATAAACGCATAATTTTTACAATGTTGGTTAGCTCCTAACTGGCTAATGTATATGACCTACTGCCTATAACCAATACTTTAAACCACTTTGTATACGTAAGCTGTGAGCCTACCTTATAATAAATAAATAAATAATGATCGCCAAGAACAATACCAGAGCTACACTTACTTGGCGACATATTCATGGTCCAAAGCCCGTTCAGCGCTGAGCCTCTTAGCAGGGTTGAACACAAGTAGTCTTTGCACCAAATCTGCGGCGTCCCTTGGAGCGCAGGACAGCAGTGCCGTCAGGGAGGCGCCCCCTGAAGAGTTGCTAGCTTGCTCCCTGATCAGGGATGAGCCGTAGCCACTGCATACTATCGCTATGTCTTTGGAAGAGAATTTTGAAGGTTATAAGGCGCTGCATACTTCCATTACTCTATTAAGGATTTTTTGTGTGATAAGTCGACAAACGAGTGAGGTATACCTGATGGTAAGCAACCGGCGCCGCCCTTACACATGAGCAACATCACAAGAGTGAAAGTGCGTTGCCTGCCGTTTGGGGATTAGGGTATCGGAGATTTAGGTAGGTATGGGGGAGGGCGAGATATGGGCCTCCGGTAACCTTAATCACACGGCAAAATACGCTGTCATTGTTACACTAGGTACTGTTTGCTGTTGTTGTTATGATTAAATACCTAATATAAATAATAAATACATATTTTAAAAAGCTATTTTTTACAAAGGGAAAACCATTTTAATAAATGCTATTTCTCAACTAAGAAATGTATTAAGTACCCTTACAATTATAATTTTCACTTACCTTCAGCCGAAGGTTTCGGCAACGCAGACATGATCCTCTCGACCTGATTAACGGTCGAGGTGCCGGGGAACAGCGGCTTCCCAGTCAACATCTCGCCGAGAATGCAGCCCAGAGACCACATGTCTATCCCTTTAGTATAACTGGAAGGTAACGAAAACATCACCATCATCAGCTGTAAGACCATTCAGTAGGACAAGTTCTTATGAATGAAAGATTGCCTAAAAACCCTAACCTTGATATCCGGCTAGGAGATCATGAAAATAATGGGGATTTATTTTATTACCAGACGAATTACCTGGTGGTAAGTAATCAGTGCCGCCCATGGGCACACGTAACACCGAAGGACGTTATACTACAAGTGCGAAGCTAGCTTCTTGTGGTTTATTAGGGCGATTTTTTTTTATTTCTAAAATGAGTATAAGGGATTTTTATCCACATGGATACGTCAACCCCATTGTGCCGTATAACTACGACATATTATTTAGATTTTACATGATACTATTACATGCAATCATAACTCGACTAGGTTCTACATAAAGGTATAGGTACAGAAACCTACCTATAAATATCTACACAGTTATTCACTGCTTAAGCCTCTAAACTAAACCAGACAACCTTTAAGCAACATTACATTTAGGGTTCGCCAAAATGCTCTGGAGGAGCCCAAGATCTAAGACATTTAGATAAAAGCCCTTAAACAATGAATCCCTTTCAGTTTTGTTCTTAACACATTCCATCAGCAAGTGTTGCACATCTTCTATTCGGTTGCAGACATCGCAGTTTGGAGATGCTGCCTTTCGCATAAGGAAAGCAAATTTTGATTAGGATGGGATTTGAATATTGAGTATAGGGAGAGGGAAAAATTGGGTCTCCGGTAACCTCACTCACACAGCGAAACCCAACATAAGTGTGAGGCCGTAGTATCACTCCGGTCGAGTGAGTCGAGTATTCGTACCGTAGCACTCACTCTTAGCGCTAATCCTTCTTGCTTACTGCTAGTCCCTCTGCGTTTTGCTGTCTTACAAGAGAAACCTTTCTAAGGAAACTTTGTTTTTTTTTATCAATCATGTATTGTATGGCTGCACGTCGCGTTGGTGAAAACGTTACGTCGGTAAAATCTGTCCAGCTATTTCCGAGTTTATCGCGTTCATAAAATAAAGACAGACGTGAAGAAAAGGGTCTTCTTTTTGTAATAATGTAAGTAGGTATATAGTACTAACCTTTTGCTGGCGATGAGTATTTCAGGCGCTCGATACCAACGGGTAGCCACGTAATCAGTAAGGCAGGGATCAGCGCCTTCCTCCCCACCCGAGTAAAGACTGGACACCGACCTAGCTAGACCAAAGTCTGCTAGTTTCACCCTGTTTAAAGAATATTATTATCAAGAATACATATGATTGCGTACCAAAATTATAAATGTGAAAGTTGTTTGAAAAGGATGTTTGTTACTCAATCACGCCAAAACGGCTACACGGATCTGGATGAAATTTGGCACAGGCATAGGATACACTCCGGAATATGACATAGGCTACTTTTTATCAACATACCACGCGGGTGAAGCCGCGGGCGAAAGCTAGTAGGTACATATACAATAAATTTTATAGCCTATAGCATTCAGGATCACTGTAGCCATCGACTATTTATCAGTGAAAAAATTTTGGCAATCCGACCAGCGGTTCCAAAGATTACCCCTTACATACAAACTTACAAATTTAAACTTTATAATATTAGCATAGATAACAATTGTCCATGTGATGAATCTTTATTTTCTTCCTAATCTGAACACCAAACAACTATGCCAATTCGTACAATCAGTCATGTTATTATACGTTTTATGTAGGTAAGCGTGGGGAAGTTGTCTGTTAGGGTCCACCATCGCTTTTATTTTGTCAAAATTCAACAGGGTTTTCACTTTACAAAACTATTATGTATATGGTTGATAAAATAAAGTTAGCTTAATTTTTTTTTAACTTACGTCAGCCATTTTTTCCAGTAGGTACCTAAATAAGGTACCTAAATTTGTATAAGGAAAAAAAAAGTAAGTAAATTTCTTACCTGCAAGCGCTGTCAATCAAAACATTACTAGGTTTCTGATCTCGATGTATTACATTGCCTGAATGTATATACTTAGTTGCTTTCAGCATTTGGTACATAATGTACCGCTTATGTATGTCCTTGAGGATATTCCCGCGTTTGATCACGTTGTGAAGATCAGTCTCCATGTACTCGAAGCCGAGGTATATGTCTTGGTTGTTCAGAGCCCTACAGCAAAGGAAAAAACGAGTTACAAAAAAAAATCTGCTCTATGTAGATGGCGCTGGTGTTGTTTTTGGCTCCAGTTCCTCTAATGGTGGCTAGGGCTACGTCGTTTTTGTTATTCAGTGGTGTTGATATAAACCATACGTCTATTCGTTTTGTGGAGGATTAGTAAGCGACCAAACGTCCAATTTTTACAGATACAAAGCTTGGACAAATGAACCTCACGCTACACTAACGCCATCTGGCGAACAATAAATCGGTAGCCTAGTAGTGTGTAGCCTAAAATAAATAAAGTTCCTTCCTTTCTTCCTTCTAAAATTTCAAGTTTAGCTAACGAGACCCCTATCTTGGTATGCTAATATCCACTTTATGGAAAGAAACCTATATGGATAGTCAAATTCAACTAACAATTCTTTGTTAGTTAAAAATATAAAATAAAATAACACGTGCGATCTTAATTACCTTCCTAATTGGTCACAATTTAATTTTTTCTATTTATTTTTCAATATCAACTCGAGACTTCCTAGTACATACATACCTATATAGGAACTATAGTGTAATCTGTGTTCTTAATTAGAAAATCAAAATAGGCACAGAAAATGTATATAAAAAAATACATTTTAAATCTTGTATAATGTAAACAAATATTAAGTCAGGAAAAAGTCACCTTTTATATTCAATACATTTTAAAACCAATAATATAAAAACTACAAGGAAATATAATATATATTGTTTACAAGGAAATATAATAAATAAATATACCTTACCAAGGTATTTACTTATAAATTTACCTACAGTAACACTGTATAATTAACTTTATTGAAGAGGAACTTCAGTAGTTCTAAAAATAATATAATATTAAAAATCTTGAATAATAAAAATAAAAAAACACAAAACTGTATACATTGAACAAATGTTTTCAGGTAACATGAATTGGTTTGAAGTAGGACCTATTTGTGTATTAGGTTGGTGGGAATTCTCACAGAGAGTGCCAGACTCTAACTAAGTAAAAACCACCATGTTCTTTCACCTGCTCTGGGCCAGGCGTTAGAATATGTCCATTGGACCAACAACCCCAGCTGTAAGCAGGCCTTAGTGAGCCCTGTCTGGGGTGGTCTAGTGGTGCCTTGAACCAATGTTTCCTATTCCAATAGGTCTGGTTCTTGTTGGTTGAAGGCTAAGCTACTTTTCACTATGGGCACGGCTACAGACTAAGAATAGTGTAGAGCTTACCTGTGTATGCTATGAAGCTTTATAATATTAGGATGGTTACGGAACGACTGAAGGAAAATTATCTCCCTAAAAGTCCGCTGAGCATCAGTCTGGTTACGGAATGCATCAAATATTTTCTTAATCGCCACCACATCCTTGGTCTTCTTATCAACAGCCTTCCAGACAATACCGTAAGCACCTTTCCCGAGCCTTTTCTTTACTTCAAAACGTTTTAGTATGTGGTCGTCGATCTCCGACATATTTTTATCGGGGACCTTCTTCTGTAATTGCTTTTGACCCACATCTTTCTTCCGGTCCTCTTTCTTCCCTTGATTTTGTGACATCAGAACTTCTTTTCAACACAAAAACTTACGCGGAGACTGTAAAATCAAATTCTGCAATCGATACAAATTAAAATTCATATATTCGCAGTTTTCATGTTTTCCTATCAAATTGCTATATAAAATGTAAATTCGAAGGGTATCGTGAGCTTATTTGAATATCAGAAAAGCGTGACTACCATCATTGTCAAAATATTGATTATTTACGCTAAGCAACGAGAAATATGTCAATACAACTGATAATTGAAAAATTATCAATTTAATTTTAAATGTAACCGCTAAAAGTTCACTTACGTAAAAAAAACAGCAATAATATCTCACAAATCCCATTATACATTTACTATGTTTGTTAAAATCTGAATACTATGTCAATATTACTATTTAAACATCGGCACTTTGAATTCTGCCAGTCGTGTTTCATTTGTTTACGGTTCCCCAAACAACCTGTCAGTTGCTATAGTAACCAAGGATGTCAACTATAGATGTGCACCAAAATGTATAATCGATATTTTCTGACGTGCGGAAGAATTACAATCGAATATTTATGATTGGTGTCTCAGATGAATTTATCTAAGATTGGTGTAATATTTTGATTTATTTTCAAATGAATAATAAGATTTTATCACACTGTACAAATAAAAAAAGCCATGTTTTTTTTTCAAAACCGTTTATTTTATTAACACATTAATAGTACAGTCAATCTGATAAGTAACACGCTAAAATTGAGAAGAATTACATCTAATATTTGTCTTGTAATACTTAAATATTTCACTTAGACAGTTATTTAATAAATGCATAATCTTCATAATATATGAATTCATATAGTGTCATATACGTAGTAATAATGGAAAGACTTGGAACATGAATATTATTAATATAATCATGTTTAACATAAGTACCTTCTGATACATTGTAGATAAATAGGTGCATGGTTTGGCATATTGAATTGATAAGTATTTATCTCAAAATGATAAACAAAAATAAGTATCCTCAAAATAGACTAGTATCGACGATGCAAATAACAAAAAAAAAATTATATCTAGATACATATTTAACAATAAAACATAGATAACAAAAATAATTATCTCAAAAATAATAATTTCTTTAATTATACTAATAATATACAAATGAATGATTCAGCGGCTTATGCGATGTTGGAAAAGCATGTTCTCATTGTTTGAAATAAAATTAACTTTTTTGTCCTATTAAAGCTATCTCTTTCACTATTGCAACTTAGTACCAAACACTTCATGATTGTAATGTATAAAAATTTTGAAAATTTACGCAAACACACTGTATATCACAAAATAAAATTCAATTAAGCACTTTCATACTTAGTTAGTTATCTAACTTTGAGGCGGCTAATAAGTACATATTTTAACACCAAATTTCAAGGGATCAATATTGGTAATAGGTGATCGATTTTTGCTTCGTTCCGTTTAAATCTTAGCACGACTGTGGCATAAAAAATGCCTATGTCATTTTTTGGAAAAGTAATCCACGTTGTTTTTTGTCAATCGTGACAGTACATTGATAGTCATGATGACTTGTAAAAACGTTATCTGATTGATAATAAAACGAGTTTATTAAAGAGAAAAAACCGTAATACTTGATCGAAATACGAATTTTTCAATAAACTACCTCTTACTTAATTACATATTATTCGTTCGTGCCTCTAAAATCTAGCTGTTACTAAGACCGCATTTTCCTCTGGCGAAAACATTAGCGAACATTGAATGCCATACTGAAAAATACTTAGAGTGCTTTTTATTGCTGTACTAAAACTTAACGGCTCTCTGTCAGGAACAGCTTGACATTGAATTCAACGAGGATAGGTACTATAACTTATATAATACCACACTCTACTTTACAGTAATACTAAACTTTAAAAACACAAAGATTTAGTTACTGTAACGCGCCCATAAAGGGATAACTTAGGCCTCATTACATTATTCTAGGTCGTCTGTGTAACTATTCATAATTAAAGCGAATATAATGAGGAACTTTTGGAAGGACTGAGACCTAAAAAGTCTGTTGGGAGTCTGTTACTACAACTCCATTAACTCATAATGTATATTTCTAACTTTTGCCATTGGAAGTGCGGTGGCCAAAGGTCTAAACTACCGCTAATTCTGATCTAAGTTGCGGTGAAGGCACACTTTATCATATCGTTGAGCTTTGTATGAAGTTATGCAAATAGGGAGGGATGCATTTTCTTCTTTTCTTCTACGTCCAAGCGACCAAGGTCAATTGATGAAGGCGTAGGCAGCCCACAAGGCCATTCGAGGGAATCTTGCTCATGTGTCATTATGTGTTCAGCTTCCACTGCAACATTATTAGACCAATTTAATACCTACATAGATAATTATGAATCATCATAACAATTCATTTACTTAATTATGCGGTGATATTCACGACCACATATTTTGAACAACAATGAAGAGGTAAATAAAATACCTACAATAGAAATCAAAGATTAACGGACATAAATGGTGTTCAGATAGTCTAGTAATTCACTAAGCCTCAAAATAAGTACGGAAGTAACGAACATTGCCGTCATCTCAAGGTTTAAGGTGGAGGCCATCTTAAAACGCAGTCAAACCTAAATATATAGATTAAATCACTAATTCATCTTTAGTCAATAATTTCTAATAAATTCATTCTCAAGAGATTATTTAGAAATTGGCTAGCACCCAAATATGCCAGAAAATGTCACTGTCTCATTTTGATTGATATAATTATAGAAATGTCTGTGTACGTGAATCATGTAGGTAATGAAGTTAATTTGGAATAGACTTACTTCTTATCCTGTGTATCTTGTTACCGTAAGCAAGATCCCAATAGTAGAGAGTCACAAATGTGAGAGGTACTAAAGGTATCAAAAGATACGGTCTTTTAGTCCTTCTGAACCTGTAATTAAATGGTCAATCAACATAATTATCAAAATAAAATAAACAAAATTAAGAGAGTATTGCAAGAACAATAATGTCTATATAATTAACAACAACATTAAAATTTATTCGAAAAAAACTTTTTGTCGTAACTATTAGAATTAATTAAGATCGAAATAATACTGGCTTATCAACTTAATTAAACAATAATAATATATGTATAATTTTTTGAACTTTGACCATTAATTTGTTTGTGACTCCTATAAACTTAGATAAATTTTATTACCCACTGCCAAGGCCTGCTGCAGCAACCACATAAAACGTAGTGAACCAAAGGCAGGTGTCCCTACTTCTAGCAATTTGCATCGCCATTTGTCGTTCTTGCATCTGATACTGAAGTTGTATTTGCCGCTCCATCTGAAAAACAGAATATTATTTTAAAAAATACAATAACTATAAACAGAGATTATCTTAGAAATTTATATTCATACATTTATCCTGTGCATAAATTCTTGATTCTTCTTGAGGTTTTCTTCCATTCCTGAGGTTAAATAATTTCCCATCTTGAAGTTTTTAAAGATCTTAAATTGATATAATAATAACAAAACACGATCGCGGCCCTGCCCAACACTGTAAATTGTGTAATGTTACGATTGCTCGTCTGTCGCTGTCGTCTCTGAGCTGTTGTTGCCTTGTCACAACAATTTTTCTGTACGTTTTGTTACTTCATAGTATTGATAAGATAAGATTTACGTCACGCTTTATTAAAAAGTTTATACGTATAGATATACTTTTGTTGTATTGCATTATTAGGTGATATAATAAAAAAGTTAATAAAATGAATTGCAATTTTATTCTCGACTCACAAAAATCACAATCAATACATTTTTATCTACGACCAACACTATTTGTTAACATGTCATGTCAGAGTTGACATTGGATTCCCGTTCCCGCCAAATTTGTCAACCGTAGAGCGTGAACGGGATTAAGAATTGATACAACACATTAAAATTAAAATTTGTTTCCTTATTCTACTCTGATTCTTAGTTCATATAAAACCACAATGGGTATTCTAGGTTTATCTAAGTTAATAGCTGATATTGCTCCCCATGCAATCAAAGAAATGGAGATCAAAAACTACTTTGGTAAGATGTTTATCGATATTTTTTTTTGCCTTTGGAAATAAGATTTTCGGCAATCATTTTTAATAATATCTTTTTAAGCCTTATGTTTTAGAAGAGGTTATGGTGTTATTATTTATTCACGTGGAATAATGTTACAGTTTTGTACATATTTTATGTCACAAATTATGTTATTAACCCCATTGTAAGCAAACACCGGCTTCAAGTAACTATACGACGACCCACCTATTATACTATAGAAAGCCGAAACTCAATAGTGAATCTTCAATCGTTCGTAATCTCAGTAGCAATAATGTTTATCGTTTTGTCTCGTAACGATTGATCAGGAAACCAACAGAAGGACTACCTGATGGTAAGAATTTAGCGCCATCGATCAATCTATAGGCACCCACAATACAGTACCAAAGGTTTTAAAAGTGTGTAACCACACACGACGAAACATAACACGAGATTTTGCTTAACACCGGTCGAGCCGGCTCTCCCACACTTTGCTACGTAAATGACCAAAAATAACTTCTCTATCTTATTTACAGGACGAAAAATAGCAATAGATGCATATATGAGCTTGTACCAATTTCTCATAGCTGTAAGGAGTGAAGGTAAGGGCATATAAATATATTTTTTACTAACTGATTATTATTTGATAACTCCTTGTTATCTGATTATAGACTGGTTCTTTTCTCACAAGACTACTATTATAGAAAACATTTGAAAAAGTTTTCCGCTTAAATGTAGTTCTTAGCTTAGTATTAAGTACAATGTTCATTTGTTGGACCTGAGTAACAAATTAACATTTTAATATAGCACCAGTTATGGACAAACTATGTCCCTAACTGGTCCTTCCTACAAAAGATTTTTAAAGAATAAACTCTTTTCATTCTTCTACTACTTAATATTGGTTGGTAGTATGGACTTCAAACAAGACCTTTGAGTTGTTTACAATGTTTCTTAGCTGTGTTTTCTAATGTTCACATCTAAAGAGTGCTATTTTGTAGCCTATTTGAACAAGAAAACATTTTAAAATAAAAAAAGAACACTATCTAACTTAAAATCAAACATTCTAGGATCTCAATTAGTATCAGTGGACGGAGAAACAACATCACATCTAATGGGAACATTCTACCGAACAATCAGATTGGTGGAGAATGGTATTAAACCCGTGTATGTGTTTGATGGGAAACCACCAGACATGAAGTCCCACCAACTTAATAAGAGAGCGGAGAGAAGAGAAGAAGCTGAGAAAGAGTTGCAGAAAGCTACTGAAGCTGGTGAGTTCAATTATTGAACATTGAGAATTAATATTATATTAACTGAGTTTTTGTTATTCGTGTTGAATAGGTCACAAAACTTGATGATAGATCAATTAAACCTTGCATTAAGATAAATTGTGAATTTTTATGGAGAACATTTGGTTGAAGAGATTGTAATGATAGAAAATATAACTAACTAGCTACTCTCGAGCGGTTTCACCCGCTGCTCGGCTCCATTTAATCATAGCGTAATGTTTGATAGCCTATAGCACTCAGGAATATTGTAGCTATCTCTCTGTGAAAGAATTTTGGCAATCTGACCAGCGGTTCCAAAGATTACCCCCTACATACAAACTTTACCTCTATAATATTAGTATAGATACATTTGTTTAGCTTCACATCTAGAACCGAAACACAATGTGTTTCCAATCCTCTGTTCCAGTTTAGGATGTGATATACATGTAAACTTGTGCATTTATAAACATCATTGAAGATCCTATTGTAGAGAAAGTCTGGAGTCATATTTACGGCATCAAAAATCCAAGCGAAAACTCATCCAAATCCTGGTCGTGGGTACGCGGATATTCGCTCGCATCGTGCCCTTTATCCATCAGAGAGTGTGTCCAGAGATAAGGTCGAATTATTCATGTTAGAAAATTCTTATGCATGTCTGCAAAAATAATCTATGCTAAAAACTTTTTTTAATAAGAATCTTGTTTAAAAAAGCTTTTAGTGCCACACTATCAAATACTACTTAATATGGTATGGATGGACATTAGATAGTGTCGCAAACTGCTGAACAGAACTGATTGAAATATCGCATAGAAATAATATAGGTTTGGGACGAGGGCAGAGCTAGGGCCTCCGGTAACCTCACTCACACTGCGAAACACAATGTTAAAGTGGTTTCACGCCGTTTTTCTGTGAGGCCTTGGTACCGGTCGAACCGGCACATTTGTGGAGAAGCATGGCTCTCCCACACTTAATTATTATAGAATCTAAAATAACACACCGGCTACCTTAGTACGCCACTAATCGCCTTTATATTTATGATTCTGCCGTACGTGTGTATGTCATAGAATACCTCCTAACGGCTTGACCGATTTGCGTTAGAGTGGCGCCCTGGATGGTTCACAAATCAGCCCGGCAGATGGCGCTGATTGCTTGAATAAGCATGTAATCTCGGAGACAAACCTAATGATTACGCTGAAATTTGATATGTGGGGGTTTTCGGGGAGAGTCCTAAAAGCTAATGAATTATAATTTTAATGTTACCAGGTGACCAGGAGTCTATAGAAAAGTTCAACCGTCGTCTGGTGAAAGTGACGAAGGTGCATAATGAGGAAGCGCGACAGTTACTCAAGCTGATGGGAATCCCGGTCGTGGAGGCGCCTTGCGAGGCTGAAGCACAGTGCGCTGCTATGGTCAGTATACTTAAATAGTGTGGGAGAGCCATGCTTCGGCACGAATGGGTCGGCTCGGCCAGAGTGATACCACGGCCTTACAGAAAACCGGCGTGAAACAACCACAGCGTTGTGTTTCGCCGTGTGAGGTCGAAAGTCGGTAACGCACTCGTAACTCCTCCGTTGCGGGTGTCCATGGGCGGCGCTGATTGCTTACCATCAGGTAAGTAATCTGTCTGCTCGTTTGCCGACCGATAACATAAAAAAAAGTAGAACTTAGATCTTGAACAACAATTTCACAACATACATAGAACTTCAATATCCTACCTAACTATACCTACGAGTGCAGGATATAACTGCTTTTTTGAGAGGGGAAAATCATCGAATGACTTCTCCCGCCCAGGGTCGGGCGAGAGGGAGTGTCAGACTCTTACTTACTACAATCCCCCCGTTCCTTCTCCTGGGCCGAGGTCGCGGTGCCTCATTGCGCTTACCCCGCAACCCCGGCTGAACATCAGCCCTATAGGGCCCCTGTATTGGTCTATTGGCTCTTTGAGGCGCGCATGTATAGTACACTCGGGAAGATATAACTACTTACTATTAAGCGAAGGCTTCTTCTCACACGAAGGAGGTTTAAGTATTAATCACGATGCTTACTCAAGACGGATTGGTGATTTGAATCTCATAATAAGTTTTTAGTTCTTGTTACCTTGTTACAATGACTTCCTTTACCATTTTACCTAATTCTTAGAAAGTTCGTGTTCTAGGAAAAAGGCCATACTGGTATGAAATACTTGCCAGATCTTGATACCCCATACATAAGAAGCCTAAACCGTAAATCGTAAGCAAACACCTTTAAAATGTCGACCTTTAGTAGTAAATGTTCAAATAAATAAACTAAAGTGTGGGAGAGCCATACTTCGGCACGAATGGGTCGGCTCGACCGAAGTGATATCACGGCCTCACAGAAAACCGGCGTGAAACAACGACGGCCTTGTTTTTTGCCGTGTGAGTGAGGTTACCGGAGGCCCAATCCTTCCACTCCCCCAATCCCACAATCCCCAAAACCCTAATCTTCAAAAGGTCGGCAACGCACTTGTAACTCATCCTTCGTGTCCATGGGCGGCGTTGATTGCTTACCATCAGGTAATCCGACGCCCGTTTGCAATCCTATCACACAAAAAAATAATTATGTATATTTACTTACAGGTAAAAGCCGGCAAAGTGTTCGCCTCAGCGACGGAAGATATGGACGCGCTGACATTCGGTACCAATGTATTGCTGCGACACCTCACGTTCTCCGAAGCCCGCAAGATGCCAGTACAGGAGTTCCATCTAGATGACGTGTTGAAAGGATTGGAGCTAAACCAGAGAGAGGTATGTTGTAAATGATTGCTTGTTCTTCTCCATAGAAATCTACAGTTTGGGCCGAGCAAATAGCTTCACCAAGAGGACTGATCGACAGACTGAGACTTTAAGCGTAACATATCATTCTAAGCTTTGTTAGGCGTTCAAAACTTTGTGAAACATGATTGAAAAAGAGTAACCATGGAGTTTCTTGCTTGTTCTTTTCCATCGGAATCTACGCTTTGGACAGAACTAATAGTTTCACCATGAGGACTGACACGCATTCCATTTAACCTTTTGTCCTTTCCTTTCACGGGACCACAGGGTCCCGGACCTTTGGGAGGCGTACGAGGAGCCGAAGCCAACTCGCAGAGGCCCGTTGAACAGTTTTAATCTAAATGTGATGGGACATCAGCCGGCAATTATCCCTGCACTATATAAGTGCACCCAAGGACAATCTATCTATTGTGAAATGTGGTAAAAATTGATAGTAACCTTTTGTTATTATTATTTTTTCGCTTGACATGCAAAAGTGCCTGTTAAAAACTTCAATTAGACCCTAGTTTAATTGGAGTTTTTAACTTAACTTTAAAAATATGCATATTTCTTAAAGGCCGACGACTCTGATGCGGTGTCCATGGGCGCCGCTTATCACATATCATCTGGGGATTTATCAGTTTGATTGCCGACCTATTCCATGAAAAAAATCGCATTTTTATTTCAGTTTATAGACCTTTGCATCCTCCTCGGATGTGACTACTGTGGCTCCATAAAAGGCATTGGACCGAAGCGTGCCATAGAGTTGATACGCCAACACCGTTCGCTGGAGGAAGTATTAAAAAATATAGACACGAATAAATACCCGCCGCCGGAAAACTGGGACTTTGAGAGAGCTCGGGAGCTGTTCTTGGAACCTGAAATCACTGATCCTAAGGATATTGAGGTTAGTTTTTTTTTTCTTCTGTTGATGGCAACTGAGTCTCCAATACAATGTTGTCGACTATACTGCCAGTGTCGAGTGGTGACGGCAGAGTAATGTACCGTCGACTTTTAACTTTGTGGTAGTATTTACATGTTAGTAGCTGAAAAGGACAAAACATTTGGGTTAGTAAACATATATCATCTATAAACCTACAGTTACTATACTTACCTTACGCTTAATAGATAATTAGATATATATATATAATAATTATAACACGTATAATATTTACATTATTACACACCGCTACATTTTAATATTATTTTCTTTCATAAATTTGGACAGACACTTAATTAGTGGGAAAAATTAGTTAGAAGGGAGTGGAAGTTGATGGGGAGTGGGATTTGGATTTTGGGAAGGTTTCCATATAGGTCAAAGGACTGGGAATTAAGAGGGCATGAGAAAAATATATGGTCTAGGGTATCCTCATCAAGACCGCATTCGCACAGCGAGCTGTCACGTACGCGTATCTTGGCAAGGAATACCGGGCTAGTACAGTGGCCGAGTCTGAGTCTGCACAAAGACGAAACAGTGTGTTTGGGGGGATGTTTGGGTCATGTCGACTGCTACTATAGCCTCAGAGAAATCCGGTGAGAAAAAAGTAAAAAACTTTTCTCGTGTTTTTATTTTTTATTCTATTTGGTTTACGTGACAGGTTTGAGATGCGTGGGAGATTTGGGGATTGGAAATTAGAGGAGGGTCCTCTAATCTCCAATTCCTAAATCAAATCACCAAAATGCTAGCAAAGCACCTGCCGATTGCTTAGGTAGGGTAGGTAAGCAATTTTAGACTTTTATTGGTTACATTTTAACACATTTCTGTTCTCCACACCAAATTCATAGAACAGTTTCTTTTTTTAATAAGTATTTAAATAAAAGTATTGAATTTGACTAGCTGTCAAATACCGTATTGTACAAATTTACAATTTAACTAACAAGTGCATTAGCAATAATAAGCCTTACTGTCTAGTAAATAGAAACTATGACATATTACAGTTAAAATGGACGGATCCAGATGAGGAAGGGTTGGTGAAGTTTCTTTGTGGTGATAAGCAGTTCAACGAGGAACGAGTGAGGAATGGTGCCAAGAAACTCATGAAGGCAAGGACTGGTACCACTCAAGGACGCCTGGATGGGTTCTTTACGGTAAATATATTTATTTATTTAAGTATATATTTCGAATTAAAAAAGGCCAATGAAAAGCATATTTGTTTATTTTGTTTATGCTTACTTTTAAACTTTCGCGTTTCATATTTACAATATAAATTATATATGTATTACCAATGATATTATAAGTAAAAAGGTGTAGATAGGTTACAAGCGCTCAGCAAGTGATACATTAAAATGTGGCTAACTAGCCACAGTTTTTCATATTTGTCTCTTTTTCACTCGCGATTATTGAATCATGCCATCCCACTTTGACGCCTACGAATGGTTCATGTGTGTCTCAGTGTTCGTTTTTGAAAATCGAATTTTGTTTAGGTAAGGGGGCAATGCTGATACATAATTTCTCCACTTTTCAATCGATTGTACTTATACATAAAAAACCTTCTTCTTCAATCACTCTATCTATTAAAAAAACCTCATTAAAATTAGTTGCGTAGTTTCAAAGATTTAAGCATACATAGGGATATAGGGACAGTGAAAACCTCTTTGTTTTATACTACATAGTAATTTAATAATTAGTGCTAAACATGTATTTATATAATACGGAATTATAATCCTTATTTTCCACTTACTCTTTAGATATCAACAACACCAAATCCCAAACGTAAGGCTGAGGAAGATAAAAAGAATGCAGCGAAAAAGAAAAAGTCAGGCGGCGCCGGCGGCGGCAGGGGCCGAAAACCTAAGTAATTTTAAAACGACTATATTTTTAATATAATACGGGTCCTCTGTTGTTGTTAGATCACTTTTACATTAAGAAAATGACTGTCTTTTTGTGTCTGTTAAATAATTTATGGAAAACACACAAGCCTGAATAGTTGCCTACGAGTCATTCCAGAATTGCAATCTATCTCTGTACGAAATTTCTTCCAAATCTATTAAAAAATCTTTTTTCAATATGTACTAGCTGAATTGGCTATCTCTGCATTGCCTGAAAATTTACTAAATTAAACGTTTTGTTTCTTGACAAATATCTATGCTACTTACAGAGCAGTTTGTTGGGAAAATTACGATTTTCAGAGAATATAGATGAACAATTTTGCCATAAAAAAAATTAAGGACTTACAGACAAAAAAAGCTGTTGTTTTCATACTGACATCATCCATAGTATCAATATTTTATCATACAAAACTTATTTACTAAATATATATAATATCATAAGGGGCCATCCATAATATACCTAGTAAGTCACACGTATTTAATTCACAGGTGGTCACATTTCAGACACCCCCATCTCCCTAGTGTAACGTCATAATATGTTTTGCAATCTTACATCGAAAAATTATTAAATAGAAACAATAAAATCCCTCGACGTACGGTGCGTTTGGCGGTATTCGTTAAAGTGCTTGTCGGCGATAGAGCGAGATCATTAGAGTGGGTAGGAACTCGTCAACAAAACAATTTAAACCATGTTGCCCTAAAGATGGAGTCGAAAATATTATTTAGTTTGATTAGTATTCCAAATTACGCGATTACGTCCTTTAGATATATTAGATTTTTAATGTGATGTCACGAAACTTAAGTCCCCTTGCACCACTTGTCACTCCATATCACACTTGACGCAGGTACTTTATGGATGACCCCTTATCCCACAAGATAATTAAAGCTTAGAAGTATTGATCTGATATAACAATAAGTGGATTGATTGGAATGTATATAATTTTTGTGTTTACTAGGCATGACTGCACGGTTGGTGCGGTGGCTGGGCGACTGGCTGCCGTGCAACGTGTCGAGGGTTCGATTCCCGCACGGAACAACTCTTTGTGTGATCCAAAAATTGTTGTTCCGGGTCTGGGTGTCTTGTGTATGTGAAATTGTATGTTTGTAACAGCACCCACGACACAGGAGAAAATAGTAATGTAGGGCAAAGTTTAAAAAAAAAAGTACTTTATACCACCAATTAGACGTAGGGATTTTCTTGTACTTACATAATGTTTAAAATTCCCCAAAAAATCTGTGACAATCCATTTTTGGACACTAATAACGAGTTATTTTTACGTTAAAGCGATTGTACCTTGAATTTTAGTTAAAATTTCCTAAGAAAGAAGGTTTTTCTCAAGTTTATCACATGTTGCTGCCTGGTTTATATGAATAGAGTATAGGCGGTTCAATTCTATTTTCTTTTTGACCCAACAGCTTAATGTATAACAGTTTTATAATTCCTACATTATCTAGATATTATGACCGAAAACAAGGACATTTTATTCGTACTGACCGTGCGCTGGATCGCATTGTAGTGTGACGCAATTTTTGTAATAAAAGCCTAATGTTAAAAATTATTGATAAGTTCCTCTTTGAAATAAACTGTTTAAAAATAGCATTACTTTGTTTTTTTTCCTTCAAATCTTAATAAAAATGTTATAGCATTCTTTCTCTGAGGTCCAATAATAATAATAATAATTATTATACATATCTCTTGAATTATGTAATACCACGAACAGCCTGCAAGCAGAAAAAGGAACGGCGAGGTTTTTGGCCAGTAGATAACGGCCTTATTACATAACAAGATTTTTCTTCAGTCTAGGTGTAAACCATGGAGCCAGTTTTTGTATTTCGAATTGAAGGGAGATGAGAATATGATTCAAAGTTTAAAACCTGACTCAATTGTTTAAACCTAGAAGATAAATCTTGTCTTGTAATAAGGCGGGAAGAGTATGACACTGTCTTCGTTCCACACACTAAGTCAGGAGAATTAATTTAAAAATACTCCTTTCCCCCTCTTAATAAAAAAAATACCATACAGGCTGGTACTAGTACCTACGGTATGATGTATTTCTTTCTGTCAAATACTTCTTTAAGATTTCAATTTTATTGTTTCACTATAAAGTGAAAAAGAAGTTAATGCCTATACCAATGAGGCTACAGATTTTAGCATCAGATGGCGGTGTTTTTTTTTGCTTTTTTGTCCGCTGTCACGCCTGGTGATAAGCGATAATGCGACCTACGATGGTGCACGCCTGCTCATAAGTAACCTATTCAATTGGGACTTAAAAACATCCAGGTTGCTCTCGGAGTATAGATTCCGGCAAAGAATTGCTCTCCTTAGCGGTTCTATAAAATTGGAGGCGAACCGCTTCGTGCTTACGATTGGGATCTATACGGACCGAACCAAGTGGTTCCGGCGTGAAGTATTGCCTTACCCTAGGCATGATCATTTAGTCTGAGGTTCTGTTTGTCCAAATATTGTTAGGCTTAGCCGTGACGAAGCGACTTTCTTTTCCCATATTTTAATAAAAAAAATGGCCTGTTTCATTTCACATAGTCGAATAGCCGCTGCCAAACAGGTTAATTTGAATGCCCCTATTAGATATACTCTTTGATTTCAATATATAAAAAAATGCGTATGAAATATGTGCCCCAAACTTACTTGAATTAAGTAAGCTTTTAATTATCATAATTTGTCATTCCTGTGCAATCAGGACATGATTGAAGCAAAAAACCATTATCCCTCACTATAAAGACAGATTCATCAAAGTATGAAAGGTTCTATATTACAATAGAAACAAAGAAAAATGTGCATAACAGTATTTTATTACTATAATAACACGTACACGTAGGTATAACATTCATTATAATATTCAATACATAATATAAATATCTCTAGAAGTAACATTTCATTAAAATATTACAATAAAACGCATTCACATAGAATAAAAGCACAAATAGGGATGTCATAGGTCTAATTTATTGGTCGTTACATATGACACATTGTGGTAATAGGAACACAAAATAATTATTTTTTAAAAACGTTAGAAATTTATTTCAGATTCTTAAAACGGCAGCCAGTTTGAATCGGTGTACAAATGTCTACTATAATGATATTTTAATAAAGTCCAAAATAAGCGTTTTTTCTTCTCCCTATATAATAACATGTGCTGCACAAAAAAGCATTCAAATTTTATTCGATATCCTTCACCATTTTTCACAAATTCAGAATATGAGAAATAACACTAGAAGTAGCTTCATCTTTCATACGTAGAAGCAATTATTAAAAACATTGATTAAGCATTCATAATTAAACAAAAATGAAATAAAATTGATTCAAGATATTTTTTTCTAAATACATAATAGGTATAAATGTGTTCTTAGCCTAAAATGCCGTTTACTAACAGTTCTATTCTAAATAAATTAAAAAAAAAAAGTTAAACGTCAAAGAGTACGATTGGTGCCATATTTTAACAATTTTAATATCACTTTTTTTCTTATTCAAATAAATATTTAATACAATAATTTTATCAATTTAACAAGACACATTATATTACAATAAAGAGATTTTTGTGGTATTTAATGTTTAAATTAATTTATAATATTAAAAAAATAACAATGACTAAAATTTTCCGAGTATTGTCATAATTTTTATGATGATTGAGGAAGTTTGGTCTTTATTCGATGGTCCTGTTCGATTTCTGTGGTTCTCATAGAACTACCTCATACAGTTATGCAAAAATCCACGTAAAAGTTACCTAGAATCATTAAATAATGGAATCGACTGTCGGTATATTATTTAAAAAAGAGGCAATCTTGTTAGTTCCTTTTCACAGAATAGGCTCTGAAACTGCTGGGCCAGATTGAAAATTTTCGTTTTGGGAAGTATTTCTTTAAGCGGTTGTAAATGTTTTCTGATAATTTTACAGGATCAAGCCTTACTACTCGAAAGACATCTTTTAATATCCACACTGAAGAAGCATACCTAACATAGTAATATATTATAATTTGTACATTTAACTGACAATATACGAACATTAATATGACAAAACCGGCCTCAACCACTTTTCAAAATAATAAAGAACGATCAGAAAACGGCTTCAATGTGATTTAAAAGTTAGCTTTTAAAAAGTTAATAAGTCCGTTAGTGGACGCGTCATGGCTGGATACGGGATTATTATCCTGTAATTCTGGCTCGATCGCCTTAGCTAACTGCTTGCCGAGTTCCACTCCCCATTGGTCGAAGGAGTTGATGTCCCAAATGACACCTTGAGTGAAGATTTTGTGCTCGTAGAGCGCTGTGGAGAAAATTATTAAAATTATTTAATCTTGATAATTTGAATCGTAGATATGAAGTGGGCCCAGTCCCTCATTTAACCTATAAAATATTGAAACAATGAATGAATGAGAACGGCACTTTTACACGTCAAATCTACTTATACTAATATTATAAAGAGGTAAAATTTGTAAGTTTATTAGTTTATAGGGTTAATCGTTGGAACCGCTGGTCGGATTGCCAAAATTCTTTCACTGATAGATAGCTACAATGTTCCTGACTGCTATAGGCTATAAAAAATCAAGCTACGATCAAATCAAGCCGAGCAGCGGGTGAAACCGCGTAAGAGTAGCAAGTTATATATTAAAAACTAGATGACGCCGGCATAGCCTATCTGACTACTCTGAGAAGAAATGCCGAAACAAACTCAGAGGTCAGTCTCTTTTAGGGTCACCAACTTTTTTTAGCAGAAATAAAGCATATTTGATTTAAAAGGAGGTAAATATAGAGTATGCGCTTATAAATAAGAGTATCATTTATTTTTATCTTTTAAAAAGGTATTTTTTAGTCCTTCTTTCGGCACATTTTCATTATTTTTAAAGGTATTGAATGACTCAACATTATAACTCTTAATTTATAAAGTTACATATATCAAGAGTCCATTTTTGATTAAATTCAATGAAGCTCTGTTTCTCTATTCTCTCTCACTCTTTTGTAAAAAAGAGTATTTTAGCGTACTTTATTAGTGTTATAGATTATAGAGTACGACCAAGTGATATAGAGGACATTACTCTATTTTAGAGTACGGTTGGCAACCCTAGTCTCTTTTCAAGTCAACACTGTATAGGGTACATACCAATTAGAGCGCCGAGGGTGAAAGGCGTGACTTTCTTCACGACTATAGAGTTGGTGGGTCGGTTGCCTTTGAAAACTTTGTGCGGGAGAATCTTGGCGACAGCGTCGGCTGCCATACCTGACTTCTCTAACTCAGCTTTAGCCTGGAACAAGGAATTATTAATGTGGGAAAACCATATTTTGGCTTTATCTACTGTTTAGATCCTGGCTTACAGGAGTGGCAGCGGTTTTGGGAGGTTGCGGAGGGCTTGTCCCATTAACAAGCTTCGGTATAAATGAGCAGGCTCAACCGGAGTGATACCACGGCCTCACAGAACACCGGCGTGAAACAACGCTCACGTTGTGATCCCCCCCCCCTCTCCAAATCTCAATACCCAAATCTTAAATCTCTTATAACTCACAAGAGGCCGGCAACGCACTTGTAGTAACTCCTTTAGCATTACTAGTGTTAATGGGCGGCGCTGATTGCTTACCATCAGGTAATATTTCTGCTCTTTTGCCGACCTATCACACAAAAAATATCCTGATCCAGGGAGATCGTACCTGGCGGGCTACTGCCCAACAGTTGTTTTAACGTCGGATGTGTTTTAATCGCGAAAAACTTCACTTGGATTTAATTTGTGTCTAAATGAATTAAGTACTTATTACTTGCCAGGTTCCGAACTTACTTCCTCATGCATGAGAAGGGGGCACTTCAACCTTCGGGCTTCCACGACAAGTGACAAGACTTTAGCCAAAAATATTAAGTTAATTAATAAAAATATTTTTTTTTTGCTTTTAATTTCTATAAAAAAAACGTTGCCCCACATAAGGATTTTCTCCTGTGTCGTGGGTACGTTTACAAACATACAATTCCACATGCACATCACACCCAGACCCGGAACAACAATTTGTAGATCACACAAAGAGTTGTTCCGTGCGGGAATCGAACCCGCGACACGTAGCACGGCAGCCAGTTGCCCAGCCACCGCGCCAACCGTGCAGTCTAAATCTCATAGTTTTTTATCTAAAACGTACCTCATCAGCAGACTTTCCCTTCATGAGCGCCTCAGTTTGAGCGAGGAAGTTGGCGAGTAAGATCTTGTGGTGCACGCCGTTGGAGATTGGGTTGTGGGTCTGCGCCGGAGCAATGAAGTCGCAGGGGATCAATCTGTGACGCAATAAAATGAGGTGAAATCAGTTTAAGAGCCTATTTACTTTCTTTACTTTTGTAAATAAACCGTTGCCCTACACTACAATTTTCTCCTGTGTCGTGGGTGCGTTTAGAAACATACAATTTCACGTACTCATCACACCCAGACCCGGAACATCAGTTTGTGGACACAAAGAGTTGTTCCGTGCGTGTTAACCTAACCTAACCTAGCCATTGCGCCAACCGTGCAGTTTACTACACTTAATCATAAAGCTGAACTGATTTGGTTGTTTGAATGCGCTAATCTCCGGAACTACTGGTTTAAATTGAACTATTGTTTTTTTTTGTATAGAAAAGCCAACAACGACCGAAACATAGACTAACTATAGTAGAAAAAAAAAATATATTATGTACAAAATCTGAAAATATTTATGGATTTTGTTCGACAACTAACCTGGTTCCTTGGTGAATGAGTTGGTAGAATGCGTGTTGTCCGTTAGTGCCAGGCTCCCCCCATACGATGGGGCCCGTGCTGTAGTCAACCTGGGCCCCTGAACGAGTCACATACTTCCCGTTACTTTCCATGTCACCTTGCTGGAAGTATGCTGCGAATCTATGAGAAAATGAAATGTGTATAATCACATTTAAAATCAAAGCATTTATTTCTGTTGGAAGAATGTAAACATCGCCCTTGTCACAATTAAAAAATATATGTACCAAGTTAACTGTGAAATGGAGAAAATGGGAACTACGGCAGCTAGAATGTCGTGGTGGCTTGGAGTTTAAGGAGCCCGCTTCTCATGCATGAAGGTGTGAGATCAAAACCTGGCAAGTACCAATGTGACTTTTTCCGAGTTATATGTACTTTCTATGATTATTTAGACACCACTGACATGCGGTGACGGTAAACATCGTGAGGAAACCTGGAATTATAATTTCTAATTATAAGTTTGGAATCGCCAATCCGTATTGAGCAAGCGTGGGGATTAATGCTCAAACCTTCTCCGCGTGAGAAGAGACCTTTGCTCAGCAGTGGGCACTTATAGGCTGATGATGATGATGTCACGGAACTTAGAACCCTTCTCACATCTTTTTGTCGACCTTCCCGCGCTCTCTTTACGTCTTACGAACTTTGTGGATGACCCCTAAGGTGCTTGCCTAAGGCGCTCACAGATGGATCAGCCTCTGATATAAACTTTATGAACATATTATATTGTGATGGAAAAGTGGTTCAAACTCTGACATCATGACGTCAATGGATGGTTGTCAAACGTTGCCTAGAGATTGTAAATTTCGTCGTGAATTGTCAACACGAGTTGGTGTAATCGGTAAGGCGTGTGGATTACACCACAGAGACCCCGAGTTCGAGTCCCGCCGTAAGCATGAAGTTTTTTAGTTGATGGAAGTTTTTGTGGAACTTTCTGGAAGCTTTTGTGTGAAAGAAATGAAAAATTAAAGAGCGAGAAGGAGAATAAATAAAAATGAATAACGAAATTATTGGGAGGTTCTGGAGTCATGACGATCAAAAAGAATAACGAAATTGAATATTCCAGAACCTGACCGGGGGTATATAAGCGGAACTGCGGCTCACCGCTGGCAATTGAGTTCTAAGTCCAAAGCGATTCGGAAGAAAAGGAAGAAGTGAAAAAGAAGAATAGTGAGTGAAATAGTGAAGTGCAGTGAGTTAAGTCAGCGTGAACAGTGAGCGGCAAAGTTGTGTCAGTCGGCCGGACTTTGCTGAAGAGGAACGCCGATAACTTAACTCCGTGGACGCTGTCACTTATAGAAAGTCTGAAAACCGGTATTAGTGTTTAATTTCATCTAATCCCGTAACCCAAGCCCGCGTAGTCAGGAACGTGACGTCAGGCTCGTTACAATATTATTATGATATGCAACTCACCTGTGTAAATACTGGTCGTATGGAAGTAGTGCGTGTGTCTCCGCGCCGTAGAAGTTTGAGTACCACACGCCGAGCAACGCTAAGATCACCGGCGCCTACATACAAAATAATAAAATGCATGGAGACATGGATAATAAAAATTGGTTGTAAATAATTAGTGAGGGGAGAGTCATGCTTCGGCACGAATGGGTCGGCTCGACCGGAGTGATACCACGGCCTCACAGAAAACCGGCGTGAAACACTCACAGCGTTGTGTTTCACCGTGTGACCGGAGGTTACCGGAGACCCAATCCTTCCACTTCCCCAATCCCTAAATCTCCAAATCCCTAAACCCTTAAAGGTCGGCAACGCAACTCGTAACTCCTCCGTTGCGGGTGTCCATGGTCGGCGCTGATTGCTTACCATCAGGTAATCAGTCTGCTCGTTTGCCGACCTATTACATAAAATACATTATCCTGCCCAATCATCCGTATTAAGTATATAAACCTAAAATCTTTATTTTTTATCTATATTATTATCATCATCGGAATTACTAAGTAGTTCGAATTAAACTTTTCTATAAGTATTTGTTGTACCGACCATTTATAAAAGCGATAAAACATCACGCTACGGCCAGTAGGAGTCGAATATCTAGTCAATTAAAAAATCAGAATATTTTTAATAATGATAGAATGAGAGTCCCGCTGTGGCTTGAAACTACTAAGGCTTTTCTTAGTTGACTCACTCTCTCTTTATTTAAAAATAATAACAGAATAATTACATTTTTCTCCAATGGCGCAGTGGTGAAGTGTTGGTCCATGAAGCTGGCTCCTTCTAGAAGTTTCTCGAAGTTATCGTAGCCGATGTAGAGGGAGATAGACAGACCGATAGCCGACCACAGAGAGTACCTACAGAACAAGAAAGATAAATATATAATAACATATATTTACGTGGTTATTAACGCGGAAAAATATTATTTGAATACCTTGATAGGTTTGACCACGACCACGACCTGTGCAACCGGGTCGAAACGTCAAGCCTACCAAGGTATTCAAATAATAATTTTCACGAAACGCGAAAGTTTAAAAGTAAATAAATATATAATATCTATATAAATATAAATATCAGTGCCACTTTTCCTTATAATGTTATTATAACTCCACAATGCCATTACCGATTTGGCTAATTTTGGTTTTGAATAATTCGTGGAAGTCCAGAGAGGGTTTGTACGTGGAGGAAATTAAATAAAAAACTTCAAAAAGTGTAAACTCGACATCCACGCACGCCGGCGGAGACGACGTCCGCTTATTTTACTTTTAAATAAGTACCTATTTTCACGTTTAAATGTCCAAATGAGATTTCATTATAGTGGAATATAATAAAATATGTTATATTTACTGCTACAAATAGGTCATAAACTACAAAAAACATGCCAGTTTCTTTTTTTAAATCTAGTTAAAAAATGGATTTGAATTTTTAAATCTTTAATTATTTTATACGAAAGTACAGTTTGACTAACCAAACTGTTGCGATTGGGGTGTTGCTCATAATGACGATGTTGTCAAGAATCTAAATAAGTGTGTAGGTAACTATAGCAAACCTGGCGAACTCCATTTCGCTACCAGACGTATGTCAAAAAGTTTTTCTTTTGATTTTTTTCCCGAATTTTCTTTAATTGTCTGCTTGTGAGACATTTGAGAGTAAACTGTGACAACGTGTAATACTGTGAAATTTTGTAAAATACAAAAATGCTCCTGTTCTGTGTGAAGACTGAGCGGTGAATGAATATAATAAAAAAAAGTAATTCGCGACAGGTAGATTTATAAAATGTTTTAAAACGACGATAGCTATGTGCGCCGTAGTAGTGACATGTTACTGAGCTGATTGAGCAGGCGTTAACGCCGCGCCAACTAAGTATAAACCTCACGAAGAGACCTTTCCAACGAATGCAAAACCTTGGAAATCTGTCCGTGCGTTCTGGAGTTATAGCATGGGAAGGAAAAAGGACAACCCGACATATTTTTATATAGTGTGTTTTTTAATTACCTGCCACCGACCCAGTCCCAGAAACCGAACATGTTGTTGGGGTCTATACCGAATGCAGTCACCTTTTCAGCGTTCGTCGATAGTGCTACAAAATGCTTCGCTACGGCTGATGGCTGGAAAAAAAACGGGAGTCAGACACACAGACATAATGAAACAAGAAAATCCTTGTAAATATATAAATAATGTAATAATAAAACAGCACCTTTACTCTTCAACATAATATAAAAATAAATAAAATTAAATGAAATGACTCTTTTTTTTGGTAAATTATAAAAAAAAATTGCTATTTGGCGCGAAAATAAAAAATATGACGTCATAATTCACAGCAGACAATTTAGAAAAAAATTGACGATTTGAAAAAAAAAAGTCGTCAAGTCACGTTAGTCGTCAATTGGCCGAATACAAAATTTTAATCACCAATCCGCTTTGAGAAAACGTAATACATGCGATTCATGTTCATATCTTCTTTAACTATTAAGTACTTAAAAGAAGAATAATATCTTTAAATTCGTGGGACCAAATATGGGTTACAAAAAACTATACCTAATATGAAGATAAACTGAATATCTAACTAAAAGTAACCATCATGGAATAATAAAAAAAAATAGTATTAAAAATAATTAACGATATTTACAAGAAAACAAATTCCGAAAATTTTTATAAAAATTTGCTCACCCCGACCTAGCTTTTATATCACTACATAGTATAAAACAAAATCGCTTTCTCTGTCTCTGTCTGTATATCCCTATGTTTGCTTAAATCATTAAAACTACGTAACGGATTTTGATGCGGTTTCTTTAAAAGATAGAGTGATTGAAGAGGAAAGCTTATATGTATGTATAATGGCATCCATTAAATAGTGGAGTCCATCATATCGACATTGCAGTAAATAAAAAAATGTATTGATCTTTAAAAAAAAAAAATTTAATATCTTTGATCCTAGTCCACTTACATCCTTAGCAGCCTCGAGGAACCAGGTCTTTGCTGACGTGGCGTTGGTGATGGTTTCCTGGGTAGTGAAGGTCTTGGAAGCGATGATGAACAATGCAGTCTCAGGGTTCAACCGCTTCAGCACCTCTGCCAAGTGGGTGCCGTCGATGTTGGAGACAAAGTGGACCTGGTAAAGAGAATTAGGTAATTAGGTATCTACTTACTACCCGTTCGGGGGGATGCGACGAATGCTTCGGCGATACCCGCCCCTCCGACACATGGGTTGTTGGTTTTTAGTCAGTATGAGTCTGACAGTACCCGTCGCCCTTCCCCGAGGGCGGTGGATCTCCAATCAGTGGATTTTCCAATCCGACACCAAAAAAAAGGGGTTGGAACTTACTAGTATTTCAATTCAATTCTTTATTTTTTTTTTTTTTTTTTTTTTTTATTTTTTTTTTTTTTAATTTATTTATTTCAGACTCCTCTTGCGATTACATCCATATTTGTTAGTACAATGCCAGCTTACAAACTAGTGTTAGTAATAGATAAATAAAAACAGAATAAAACAAACAGTACGCGGCATGACTAGGTGGACTCCCCGACGATGGCTGAAAATCACTATACGACTGCATGCAGCCGTATCCAGCGTGCCAGCGTCGGAGAGTCCCACCGGTCTGCCAACGCGCGCAGGATGGAGTTGGGACTGTCGCGCGTACGTCGCATGATAGAAGCACACCGTTTACGCATGATGGCCGCGAAGCCGTCAGTGTTAGCCGCCGCGAACATCGCGGAGGCGCTGCAGCGGCGCGACAGCCCCACCAGTACCCGGAACGCGTTATTATATTGAACGCGCAGATCGCTGTATGTCCTTTGGGTATAGTTAACCCACAAGCTACAGGTGTAAAAAGACTGACAGTACGCTTTAAAAAGCGCCACTTTGACAGTCTCCGCACACCGCGAAAACCTGCTGGCCAACATGTTGCATCGGACAGACAGCGCTCTGCGCTCCCTATCAATATCCACTCTGTCCTTAAGGTCCTCGGTGACCCAGTGACCCAAATACTTGAATTGCTCAACTTTTCTTAGAGCTGTACCACATAACTTGAAATTTGGAACTAATGTATAACGCTTGTTGTCAGGCCTAAAAATCATTATTTCACTTTTATTCACGTTGTATTTGAGCCCATGAGTCACCGCATAAGACTCACAAATATTTAGGAGCCTTCTCAGTGCACCAATCGATGGGCTCAACAACACCATATCGTCTGCGTAGCTGATGTTATTGACGCATACTCCGTCTATATGACACCCGATACCGGTGCTGCTGAGCTCCTCGACTAGTCGGTTGACGTACAGGTTGAAAAGCGTAGGAGAGGTCAGCCCCCCCTGCCTCACCCCGCATTCCAACCCGTACTCCTCCGACAGCGAGCCTGCCCACTTCACACAATTCCTCTGCCTGTTATACCAATACATAAATAATAGCACAATCTCCCCAGGCAGACCAGTTTCATCCCTTAATTTACCCCATAGCATATCGTACGATACAAGATCGAAAGCTTTAGATAAATCCAGGTAGCAAGCATACACTGGAGTCTTTCTACTTGTGTAATACTGAACAGTCTGCTTAAGGCACAGAATAGCACTCTCGGTGGAAAGGCCGGGCCTGAAGCCGAATTGCGCATCGTTTAGCGAAACGTGCTTATTCAGGTGCTGACCAAGCAAGCTGTCCAGCACCTTGGCAACTATTGTGGCTAGGGAGATTGGTCTATAATTGTTTACATCTGACGCATCACCAGTTTTATTTTTGATGATGGGTACAACTATAGTACGCATTAAATTATTGGGGAGATGTGAGTGACCCAGACACAGCGTAAAAAACATAGAAAGCACTCTAGATAGGTGAACACCCGCGTGCTGCAGGTGCTCGATGCTGAGGTAGTCGTGACCTGGTGATTTACCCCTCACCATTCCTTTGATAACAGCACGCACTTCCTTCGTAGTAAAATTAACACTGCGTTCACTACCCTCCACAGCATCGGGCTCCTGCCGCGCCCGCCCTAGAGGAGAGTTCACCCTAAAATGCTTCACCCTAAATTTATTGCGTTCCATAGTACACATTAGGTCTTATAAATAAAAATATAGCAGAATCATTTTTTTTTTTTGTTTTAGTAATACGTTGCCCCACTGTAGGGGGATTTTCTCCTGTGTCATAGGTGCGGTTACAAAAATACAATTTCACATGACACTCAGAACCGGAACAACGATTTGTGGATCACACAAGGAGTTGTTCCGTGCGAGAATCGAACCCGCGACACGTTGCACGGCAGCCTGTTGCCCAGCCACCACACCAACTGTGCAGTCATATATCATAATATGTACGCTCATTAGCCGACCTATCGCTTGGAGGCCCAATCCCTCTCCTTCCCCTATCCCTTCCCGATCCTTATATCCGCAACCCCTATCCCCAAAAGGCCGGCAACGCACTCGTAACTCCTTTAGTGTTGCGGGTGTCCATGGGCGGCGCCGATTGCTTTTGCATCTGCTCAATTGCCGACATATCCCATAAACAAATGAAAAAAACAACTACACCATAAATAGGGAGTTTTTAAAGGTCAAAATAGAATTATAAATAGTCTGTCAGTGTATTCGTCAGTGAAGGTAGAAGCTATCTATCTATACTAATATTATAAAAAGGTAAAATTTGTAAGTTTCTATGTAGGGGGTAATCTTTGGAACCACTGGTCGGATTGCTAAAATTCTTTCACTTATTGATAGCTACAATGTTCCCGAGTGCTATAGGCTATAAAACATCACGCTACAATCAAATGGAGCCGAGCAGCGAGTGAAACCGCGCGGGAGTAGCTAGTAATTAATAAGTTTATTAATTAGTTCTTTACCTTGAGGTGGTTGGCGTAAGGTTTGAGAGCTTCAGTGACCATCAGCGGGCCAAGGTCAGACCCACCGATACCAATGTTGATAACATCTGTGATCTGCTTGCCAGTGTACCTGGGACAACATTATTTTGTCATTGTATGTGACAGAAGAATATTATACATGTTTAACTTACTCTATTCTTCCCCTGGGTGTACATGATCCGATTAACTAAGACTCCCGGTTGGTTGTTGCTCCAAGGTAGTTTAATGCCTCTGGATATATTCGATTTTGAAAGGTGATGTCAAAAAAATTTAAGATCCCATCCAACGCTTGTCACACCACGTCACACTTGGTCGACGCAGTCTGGCTCTCCCACACTAACTCTTTATAATCTTTATGTATATAATACGGTAGTTTCCTACTAATCAAATTCAATACTTTTATCAAAACGTCAAAAACGATACTTTTCTATGAAATTTGTATGAAAAACTGAGTTATGACGTCATAACATTTTCGCGTCAAATAGCTTACTTATTTCACAATAATTAGCTACAAAAAATCTAAAACTTGGTGCATCGATCGATCGATGAATAAAAGTATAGTCATTTTTCAATATTTTATTGTATTGAAACATCGAATTAATAATTTATTTTTGACCTAGGAAACTATACCCAATTCTGCTGTACTTGTGTATGTAATTAAACTCCTACTAAACGTTTTACTAGCGTTGACGTCGACGCCGCGCTGGCGCGTAGCAAGCATTACCGTTCGCTGAACGCGACATTGACGTCGCCTCTGCGCAACGTCAACCTGGCTTTACCTGGTTATAGAGCAGGACAACATGATTATACCTGTTTCACATAAACGCAATGTTAACTTTGTGCAGAGGCGACGTCAAACGCTCGTAAAACGCTAGATGGATAGCGCTTAGATTCACAAATCAGCCCGGCAGATGACGCTGATTGTGCATGCGCCAAAAAGCATTGTTCTCGGAAACGACCCTAAAGATTTCGCTGAAATTTGATATGTGGGGGTTTTGGGGATAATCCGCTAGTATTAGTATAGAAAATTATATAAATGAATTAATAATTACCCTTTCCACTGTCCACTGATGACCTGCCCGGAGAACTCCTTCATATGGGCTAGGACGGCGTTGACGTCTGGCGTGACATCCTTGCCGCCAACTAGGATGGGACGGTTCTGCCGATTGCGGAGGGCAATGTGCAGGACTGCGCGGTCCTCCGTAAAGTTTATCTTCTCACCTGATTGTAATAAATTAAATTACATTATGTATTTATTTCAGACCAGAGATCCGTAGTGTAGAAAACATCTTATCTTACTAATATTATAAATGCGAAAGTTACGATGTTTGGATATTTGTTGCTCAATCACGCCAAAACGGATGGACGGATCTGGATGAAACTTGGCACAGGCATAGGAAACACTCCGGAATAGGACATAGGCTACTTTTTATCAACATACCACGCTGGCAAAGCTGCGGGCGGTAGCTAGTAGGGTAATAAACTCTCCCCAAATAAATTCCATGGTCGTTTTTAAAAAAAAAAACATATACATCATAGATATATCTATGCATAAATTAATAAAAAGAGTTTTATTAATTTATGCAAATTAAAAACAAACAAATTAAAAACTCTTTTTATTAATTTATGCATAGATATATCTATGCATAAATTAATAAAAAGAGTTTTTTTTTGTTACAAAAATATTAGGTACCTTCCCATTCATAAAATAATGTTAGTGTACCTATATTGTAAATACATTAGCAGGACCTAGATAACATCGCAACTTGTGATGCAATTAGTGTTAATACAATAACTGAGATAGATAAAATGATAAACATTAAACAGTACTCAAAAATAATCACTTCACTTCACTACATAGTATAAAACAAGTATAAAAGTTTGCTTAAATCTTCAAAACTATGCAACGGATTTTCATGCGTTTTCTTGGTTGATAGAGTTATTAAAGACTAATATTATAAAGAGGTAAAATTTATAAGTTTGTATGTAGGGGGTAACCTTTGGAACCGCTGGTCAGATTGCCATAATTCTTTTACTGATAGATAGCTACAATGTCCCTGAGTGCTATTGGCTATAAAACATCACGCTATGATTAAAGGGAGCCGAGCAGCGGGTGAAATCGCGCGAGAGTAGCTTTAAAGATAAAGATTTATTTTGTTTTTATGTATAATATCATCCATTAAATAGTGGAGTTTTTTTTTAGTATCAGTATGCAGTACGTTTTTGGGGACACATGAGCAATACCTAACTGAAGTGTGTTTCAGTCTTTTTTTGGCTAAATTCATCAAGTCTCTTTTCGACTTGGTTGCGGAGAGTGTGCCAGACTCTTGCTAACTAAAAATTCCTTTCCATGCTTCAGGCCAAAGCCATTTTTTGACCCGGAAAAATTGCTACCTGGCCTTTTGGCTAAGTTCGAAATTGTAAAACTTCTAACCTTAAGGCAAAGAAATGCTTATACATAATATGTATGTTTGACAAACCTGAGAACATAGCATCTCGAGCTTTCTCCACATTCCTGCTCTTGGCCAGGTTCAACAGCAAACTCCATGCCTGCTCATTGATGCGGTTCTTGGAGTAGTCCAGCAAGATCTCTCCGTCGTTCGGAGTGGGGATACGGAGACTAAAAAAGTAGTAATAATAAATTGAATATATTAAAATTATGATAACTAATTCTAAAAAGTAATGAGAGTTGATAAGATTCTTAATATAATTTACATAATACATAAACAAGTAAATGAAGTAGGAAATTATATTACTTAATTATAATAATAATGTTGTTTATTCTATTTATTTATCTTTATATCACGAAGGTAGTTTTGTAACTTATAAGCTAAGGCCCGAAAAACAGTTAAAAAGATTCGACAATGGGGTCAATGAGAGACTTGTTGATTTAAACAACTAATTAAACAATTAATTGTACTTAATTTATTATTCTATAGATTTTGTAAATTGAATTTAAATTAAATATTTCTAAATAATTTTATTAATAAATTTATATATATTTTATTATAATGAGTGTGTATGTTTACAGGTGAAGAGGAAAGTTTTTATTCAAAAGAAATTAAACCTATTTATAAAGTTAAACAGTATTTTTTTTTCTGGCATTTCATTAAATTGAGTAAACCATTACCATTTCTTGTCGATAAAGACTTTTAATCCAAAGTTGTGAGTAACCGCTATGAAACCTTAAATTAAATTAAAAAAAATTGACATTTGTTTGTTCATGCGCGACCTTTCAATAACTTTTACCAAATCGGTGATATAACTTGACGAAACTAATTGAAATTCAATATAAAAGCCGCCTTATTTTATTCAATAATAACAAAGCTAATTAATAATAAGAATTAAAACTGACACGTTTTAATTCATATATGAGATAGAAAACTAAGTAAAAGTGTACGAACCTGAATTTATTAAAGCGATCGGCATCTTCTTTGAACAGCTGTTGAATGTTGATTTTGTCGGCATTAGCATCGTAGAATTTTTGAATTTCTACGTAGGCTGGGTCTTGTTTTAAATTAACTTTGGGTTCCATGATTTTAATTGAAGTTACACAGGTATTTCGCGAGCCGCGGCCAACTAACTGTATTGTAGTTTTTGATAACAAATGTCTTTTTGACATTTCAATGATATCTGAAGGTTATTCGCGTTTTGTTATTACGTGTCAAAATATTTAAAGTTCCCAGATTTGTTTTCGTTATGTAAAAGATACATACCTGTTATCATTTATTTATCAATTGTTTTATTTTAATGTTTAGGTTAGGTTATCAATGTTTTTTATGGTTGGCTAACGTTCAGACGATTTCCTGATCACCTTTGCAAAACCAGAAGAGTTACAAGTGCGTTGTCGGCTTTTTGGTGGTTTTTAGGAATCCGCAGTTTGTGGATTTGCAGATGGGACGCGGATGACAACGGTGGAGCCTCTGGTTACTTTTCATACGCGCGAAACACAACGGAAGCGGTGTTTCGATGAGGCTTTTAATGCTGAAGCCAGCTCTTCCACACTAGAACACACAACACATGCTACAACACGCTTCAAAATACCTGTATGTACCTACGTCCTTTGAACTTTTATACTGCTGTAGGTAAGATGTTCATTTCGTTCGATATACTTAAATCACCCTGTTTAATATTTCTTCCACCCATCGCGGTTTATATTTTTGTTAAGTAACAGAAACTATATAATTTTTATCAGTAATTATACTCTAATAGGTAATGGGACGTACTTTAGTTGCCTCTAGTCTTTAGATCCGAAACATACCTATTTTTTTTTTTATTTCGATTCCTGGTTGGTGCGGGGAGGAGTCAAGTCACTTACTGACTAAAAAATTACTCGTTCCTTCTCCTGCTATGAGCAGGAAACGTGTACATTAAAAAAACGTTACCCCACTCTATAATTTTCTCCTGTGTCGTGGCTATGTTTACAAACATACAATTTCACATACACATCACGTCCAGGCCCGGAACACCAATTCACATAAACAGTACAACAAACAACGATCACACAAAGAGTAGGTATTTCCGTGTGGGAATCGAACCCGCGACACGTTGCACTGCAGCAAACGGTGAGGCCCAATATTGAGCTTGATGGAAGGATTAGAAAATTAAATATGACAAAAGGACGGTTTTGGTTGGTAACAAAGCAACCAAATGATTCTTTGTTGCCGAACTGCCTGCCCCCCCCCCCCACCATATCTCGTCTCGAGTTAACAATAATAACATGCATCATATGCACAGAGCGTAGAGCACAGTTCTGAGGGTTTGCGCCAAGAGAGGCAAGAGACTCCAACTTGAGACCTTGGCGCCCCATGGAATTTGTCGCCCTGGGTCATCGCCCTATCACACCCTCTAACGCCACCACTGCCTTCGTATCGCAATAAATAAAACAAGAATTAAACTTAACTTTTTTATTATAATCACATGAAGTTTTAATAACGTTTGAAAAACTTGACAATAACGTTTTCTTGTAGGTATTTGTTCAACTCAATATTACTTTAACCTTAATTTCATAAGGCCCACAACTATTAAAAGGAATGCATAAAGTATTGAAATTTTAACTCTTTTCCATTGAATTAAAGGTCTTTATTGTCTGGGTCGTTAAAAATTCTAACTTTATTTCTATCAAACTAAGGTTCAATTTACGCTTGTCAGCTTAAGTAACTTGATTTCGTTAGTTGATATATTTTGTCAAGCTGTTTTACATAAAATATTTTAAGTATATGTCTAATATAATATCTTTACGCTAGTACCTAGATATAAAACTGTTTTTTTTAAATATAAAAGGCATAAGTGAAGTACAAGGAGCGGGACATTATTTAACTATTTTTATTTGTTTGTTTTCCTAAAAAGGAGGTTCAATTTACTATTTATGTGAATTTGTCCGTTACATCCTACATTTTTTTTATGAGTTCGGCAAACAGCAGACCCATTACCTAATGGTAAGCAATCGGCGCCGCCCATGGACGGGTGTCCACTCGGTGTTGCCAAAGGAGTTACGGGTGCGTTGCCGGCCTTTTGGGGATAAGGATTTTGGATACCTATATAAGGATTGAGAAAGTATGGGGGAGGGAGAGGGATTGGATCTGCGTTAACCCTCAGTCACACGGCGAAACACAACGCTATGGTTGTTTCACGCCAGTACCTATTGAGGCCGTGGTATCACTCCGGTCGACCGATTCGTGCCGAAGCTTGGCTCTCCCACATTAATATTATAATTATAAATGTGAAAGCTTGTGAAAATGTAGATACGGAGGTATGTTTGTATGCAAAACGGCTAGACCGATTTGGTTGAAATTTGGTATGTAGATAGGTGATGCCCTGGATTAACGGATAGGTTGTAAGTATACAATATAGTACAATTCTAATTTAAAAAAACGACAATTCATTGTAAAGGCAACCGATTTCCTTGTTCGCCATTCAAAAATTCAACTGTAAACGTTTAGTTATTGCTCTAAAACTTTACTTTTCAAATCGTAGCAAAAAAAAAAACACTCCCTGTAATTTACTTACACTTTTTAATTAATAAGTATATTAAATATATTTTTACTACAGTACAGATCAAAATGTATTTATCATTTAGTACGACGTTTCTTTAATGGCCAGAAGAATAATTTTCAGTTTCAAAAACTAATCTATAGACTTGCTTACCGTCGTACTCAGAGTAAATTAATGATTTAAAATCTTACTCAGTTTGTTTACTGCTTACTTTGTTTCGAATATAATAGTGAGCTTTGTTATCATAAAATCACTGACATTAGCGGTAAAGCAAATCTACAAATTCTTGAAACTTTTAAGTAAATTATTATATGTTGTGTTGTCTATAAAATACAAAATATTTAACTTAAAATGTTTATTTATTGTAGATAAGAAAAAGAAATGCGAGATTCAGATGAGATTGCCAAATTATTTAATAAAATAAAACTCAACGCCACATCTTTTATTTCTTAGAGATTTTTTTAAAAGGAACAAGTTCATTGGCCTAGTAGAAAATAAACGCCAAATTATGAAAAACAAAATATGAATAAAAATGTTTTATAACGAATAAACAAAAATAAATCAATTTTTCAATATGGCAATCCGATCTTAATCACAGTGAAAAAAAAAGAAAAAAAAAACAGTAAACTGGCTTCTTTATTTAAAAAGTTTATGATTACATGACTAACCTAAGTTTTAAGGAATATAGGTAATTATACATTTTATACAATTTGCTGTTAATAATGCAAAGATAAAGTAAAATTTTATATATAATAAGAGTGTTTTTATTGCTCTTTATAAAATCTCTCTCAATACTATCCGATTGAACGAAATATTAAAAGAATGAACGAATTAATGAATCGCTGATTCGGTGACGGTTCAAGCCCATTCTTGTCCCAGCCCAAAGAAGGCAACAACAAATAAACTTCCGAGCAAATTTTTATGTTTTCATTATCAATTTTTTTTGTGTTGATGAATTCTGAACGCTATATTTTTTGCCTAGTACTTATAAAAGCCATTAAGACCTAGTATCTTAAATATGTGTGTTAATAATAGGATGTTTTTGTCATAAACCTTTCTTGCGTGTTAAGCATGAGCCGATCAAGGAACTTTTTGTATGGTATACCTAGATCTGCAACTGAGCTGCTGATTATCTGATGGTAAGCAATCAGCGCCGTCCATGGACACCCCCAACCCTAAAGGAGTTACGAGTGCGTTGTCAGCCGTTTAGGGAGATAAGGGTTTCGATATTTACGGATTGGGCGTGGGAGAGGGCTTGAGCCTCCATTAACCTCACTCACACGGCGAAACACAACGCTGTGGTTGTTTCTCGCGGGTTTTCTGTGAGGCTGTGGTATCACTCCGGTCGAGCCGACCCATTGGTGCTGAACTACATTTTATTATGGCCAGGCATTTAGAGGTGTATATTCTTAATGAACTATGTCAACAATAAATCAGGATTCCAATTCCTTCGCAATTTTTGAGCAAAATTATTCTACTAAGCTTACTTACTTGTCTTTTTCCAACTAAGGCAAGCGTTTATTGCTTGAATATATATTTTATACAGAAGACAATAAGGATTAAAGTCCAGCGTCATACACTTTCTTTTTTATGAAAATAAAATTTATTTAAAATTTCATCCTAAAGACTTATGATTGGTTCCAATAATCTATCTAATTGTAGATTTGGTTTCTAAAGATAGAATTTTGACAAAATCTAAATAAAAAATTTATAACGTCTTGCTTTTTATTAAAAAAACAGTTCTATGTGAAAGATCGAAAAGAAAGAACTCAAGTTAAGTTGCAAGTATGTTGCCAACATTGTGTGGATAAGGGAGATTTGGAAATTTAGGAATTAGAAGGGGGAACGGGAAGGATTGGGTTTTCGGTACACGGCAAAACACCACGCTGTAGTTATTTCACGCCGGTTTTCTGTGAGGCCGTGTTGTCGACCTGGTCGAGCCGGCCTATTTGCTCCGAAGCATGGCTCTCCCACCCTTAATAATCAATAATACCTAGAGATTTCCCCAAGTGAAATGGGTCTATCGTCATACGCTAGGCAAAATCTGTGAATCGAAACCTGGAAAACCGTTTTGTTCATACCAAAACCCCATTTAACTATTGTAAAGCCACGAATTTGATATTTAAAAGGTCCCCCAAGCATCACTTACGGTGTTAAACCTGATACCAGTTTAGGAAGACACCTGGTTGTCAAGGCACAAGAAAATGACAAAATTCTATCTTTTTTAGGCCTGATTTTTCAATAGTCAGATAAATGTTATCTGAGGAATAAAATTGTTGCTGTCACTGTCTTATACAAACATTCTGACGCGACAGCATCATAATTATTCCTCAAGTAACCATTGAAAAATCACCTTTAAAGCAAATAAATAGAACATTGAAATTAGTCTAAGTGACTTTAGAACAAAAAAATTTGGCGTTCAACACTTTCCTTTACATAATTTAGTTACATTTTTTTAAATCTTGCATAGAGGCGCTGCTGTAGATTAAAGTCTTTTAGTCTATCAGCCAATGTCAAGTTTTTTATAGTCAACTTTTGTTAGTGATTGGACCAATGTGACTTTAAGCTACGCAAGCGCCATCTGCCGAGCGCGAAAACCTTCTCTGGAAGGTAAAATTCGTAGTTATATTTTTTAACTTGCTTTTGGGAATAGTCTAGTAGATAAAGCTACGTCAATTTGTATGTTATTTAAATTAGCAACCTTATAGATTAGCAATTAAAGTCGAAAATCTATTGACAATTTAGAGAAATACAAACGCGGCTACAAATTCAAGGAAAAAATATAACCACGAACAAACCGAATACTACAAAAAAATATATTTTATAACAGTTTCATAGTAAAACAGGCGTTATTACAAGGTGATAAAGATTCGTTTCCTGTGCAATGCTACGCCGACGGCTAACCAAATCAACATTGCGGCCGCGTGGGTAGCTAGCAGTTGCGCATGAGTCGGCGCGACGAGGGCCCAGTGGAGGGGGAAGTGGCGTTTCAAGAGCTCACTGCCTATATACAGGAATAGAGCATTTTGACCTGAAAACAAGGATAAAATATCATTAATCTCTTGCCTGCCGTTATTCGCTATTTGCGAAATTGGTGGTGGGGAACGGCAAATCGATCGAAGCGCACGACGTGGCAGAAATGTGAATTAATTCTGGACTGTCATGTGTCAAATTGGTTTATTTTCATATATGGTATTTCTTCCTTTATAATTTTAAGTAAAAACGTAAAAAAATTGCGATATGGGTCATAGTACATGCTGTGTCGTAAATTGTAAAAACAATGGGAAAAACAGTTCGTACAAGCTTTATTCGTTTGCAACATCAAAGTGGACATTACAGCAAAGACATAAATGGATAGCTGCTGTGAAGAGAATTAACATTAAAATCCCGTACGTATTATAATATCCATATTTTTCACGAGGAAGAAAATCGCTAGGTTTAATATACACACTCACTTTTAACACATTTTTTTTTAATTTCGTTGAAAAACTACAAAAACACTACAAAAATATCTTATGATCTAGTTGACATGATTTGACAAATGACAAGTCCTGAATAGTTGCGGCCACTAGGGGCGCTGTCATCGCGCACACAACGAATATTGGTTTTCTACTGCCTCCGCCGAAAGTCTCAAACGGCCACAAGGGAGTATTGCCCACGTTGAGAACCTATGATTTTTTATTATGATTAAGGAACCCGCTCATGAGGGTGTGGATTCGAAACCTGGCAAGTACCAATGTGACTTTTTCCGAGTTATGTGTACTTTCTATGATTATTTAGACACCACTGACATACGGTGAAGGTAAACATCGTGAGGAAACCTGGATTTATGATTTCTTATTATAAGTTTGAAATCGACAACCCGCATTGAGCAAGCGTGGTGATTAATGCTCTAACCTTCTTCGTATGAGAATAGGCCTTTGCTCAGCAGTGGGCACTTATAGGTTGATGATGATGATGATGATGATGATGATGATGAAATTCAACCTTACATTAACAGAAATACAGTTTAAAATGAACTTACCAGCATAATACAAGGGTCGACCTCCCCACTTGGTCTTCAGATCGACAATGAAGTACAAAACAGCTTGAATGAACATAGCCATCGATGACGTCACTAAGCAGTAAGATATTGACCATAGATTCTTGTTGACTGGTATAACGCCTCCGTTCTTTGAGAACATGCATAGAGCGCCGCCAGAGACACCGAATATTATAGACCAGAACACCCAACGCATAATGCGAGCCCTGTAAAAAAATACATCAAATTAGTCTTGTACAAGGTTTAGTGTGCATTTTTAGTCTTTTAGAGGCTTTATAGAGAATTTTTTCCTTAATCCCCACAGTTGGCAGACAGCGTGTGGATCACAGGTAAGTCACATCAGGGGCTGGTAATGCTGGTATGCATTTTAATTCTTTTTAGGCCCATTTAGAGCAGTTTTTCATAAATCCCCACAGTTGGCAAACAGCTTGAGAACCACAGTTAGGTCACCACAGCTAATATCTATTGAAACTATTTTACATGAGATTTACCATAATCACCATACTTGGCAATTAGCTTATTAGCTTGGGGATCGCATTAAATCACTTAATCACAAAGTGAGAACATACTCAGCTTCTAAAAACCAATATTTTCTTAATCCCCAAACACATTACCTGGCATGGTTATAAGCGAGCATGATTCTTGTGGCGTGAGCTCCAGCTTGTACTACGAAGACACCGGAGAGGATTCCGAGGATACCTTCAGGGTCATGTGGCACTGTGGTGTGATATATCTTGCGGAAAGAGCCACGCTGGTATAAATGATCAGCGCCTAGGATAACTCTGAAACAATTAAATACAGGGTTAAAAATTGAGATCAATACGGTAGTTTCCAACTAGTCAAATTCAATATTTTTATCCAAATGTCAAAAACTATACTCTTCTTTGAAATTTGTATGAAATTCCAAATTATGACGTCATACCATTTTTGGGTCAAATAGCTTACTTATTCTTATTAGGTACTTCAAAATTAGCCAAAAAATATCCAAAGTTTATTGTATAGACAGATCGACAAATAAAAGTATTTTTATTTTTAAATATTTTATTGTATTGAAACATCGAATTAATTTATTTTTGACCTAGGAAACTACCCACCGTTTACCACGGCCTCACAGAAAACCGACGTGAAACAACCACACCGTTGTGTTGCACCGTGCGAGGCCAAAAATATGCGAATCCCTAATCCCTAATAGGTCGATGATGCACCCGTAACTGTTTCATTGTTGCGAGTGTCTATAGGAGGCGCTGATTGCTTACCATCAGGTAATCCATTTACTCGTTTGTCGTCCACTGATAACTGGCTACGAAGGAGAAGAAGATGATAAAGGAAGAAAGAAATCTTACTAATAATATTAAAACAAACACACAATATAAATGCGAAAGTTACGATGTTTGGATGTTCGTTACTCAATCACTCCAAAACGGTTGGACGGATCTGGATGAAAATTGGCACAGGCATAACATACACTCCGGAATAGGACATAGACTACTTTTTATCAGCATACCAGGCGGGCGAAGCCGCGGGCGGAATAGCTTCCGTCATAAAATAAATATTACCTGTCTATATATCCAGCGATACCTCCAGTACAGTTCTGTAGAGACACGTTGCTGACAGCTGAGAGGTGGAGACCTCCGGGTCCCATGTACCCTCTGGGACATCCTGGCGCAGGCACCAGTAGGGTTATACACACCTATGGTACAACACACGTCACAAAATTAATAAAGTTGATAAGGCTATATAGAATACGAATTTCGAGTTAACACGACTAGTTTCGAGCTACTTCGAGGCTCTTAAAGAGATACGCGTGCGATGATTTCTTTGCATGAATGATTTTTTAAAAAAGTGTGTTAAAAACGACAATTAGTTTTTAGTTGGGAGCAAAATGTCTGATAAATATATTAATCTATTTACTAATACAGTATGTAACTAATATTATAAAGATAAAATATTTTTATGTTTGTATGTAGGGGGTAATCTTTGCAACCGCTGGTCGGATTACCAAAATTCTTTCACGGATAGATAGCTACAACGTTCCTGATAGATATAGGCTATAAAACATCACGCTACGACTAATAAGGACTGAGTAGCAAGTGAAACCGCACGACAATAGCAAGTATATAATAATCTTGTACATAATTACCTGTATAGAGACGAGCACTAATGTAGCCAACCATTGCTGCCAACCAGCGCTGATGTCACGGAACAGGGAACGACCTGGTAGCGGAAAAAATACTTAGAACTATATGTATACTTCACGACATAGTATAAAACAAAGTCTCTTTCTCAGTCCCTATATATCCCTATATGTACGCTTAAATCTTTCAAACTACGTAACGGATTTTGATGAGATTTTCTTATTAGACACTGTGATTGAAGAGGAATGTTTATATGTATAACAGCATCCATTAAATAGTGGAGAAATTTTGAATTAGCATTTCACTCAAGCGAAGCTATTGGCAAAATAAGGAACAATAAACAGGTGTGAAGTTGCGACGCATGACGTTTGCCGCGAAAAAACTGGATTCTTAAACTGTTCGAACTTCACTCTTTAAATAGACTTGTATCGAGTCACATCCATTTTCACATTTGTTATACTTTTACTGGTAAATTTAAAATAAACGATTCATTTATAAGGTCCTTGAGACTAAGATCACTGACGACCACTGGTGATCAGTGGCACCACGGCGTCACAGAAAACCGGCGTGAAACAACCACAGCGTTGAGTTTCGCCGTGTCAGTGAGGTTACTGAAGGCCCAATCTCTCCCCCTCTCCTATCCCTTCCAAATCCTTAAATATCCGCAACCCTTATACCCAAAAGGCCGGCAACGCACTCGTAACTTCTTTGGTGTTGCGGGTGTCCATGGACGGCGCCGATTGCTAACCATCAGAAAATCCGTCAGCTCGTTTGCAGAGATATCACATAAAAAAATGCTTTCAAACCTTGCTTTCAAGGACACATCACAGAATAAAAATTGTGCTTTGTTTAACTTTGACTTTTATCTTACCTGGCGTGATATCCTGGCTGGTCCTCATGAAGGCGCATTCCAGAGCGCCGACAATGAGGTACATGGCGGCTAGTCGCTGCAACACGCCGGGGAGGCGGACGTCTATCCAGGATGAGTTGGAGGAGCCGAGCACTATGCCGATGAGGGAGAGCATCAAGGAACGAGTCGCGACCTGGTAATGTAATTATTATTGTTATTTATTTTGGAAAACTAAGAACAATTCGTATATGTGTATAGCTATTATATTTAATAATGTATAACTTTTAAATTAAAAACATTAAAAAGGTTAACACCCGGTTTCTAAATGGCTTGTCAACGCTAAAATTAAATCTGTTAAATCTCTTGTCAAGTCATCTGATTGGTTGTTGATAATTAACACCCAGTTTCTGAAAGGCTTGTCAATTCTTTGATCAACTAACACACCGATTAATTTGACATGACTGTCAAATCAATTTGAGTTTCTGACACCCAGTTTCTGAAAGGCTTGTCAATTCTTTGATCAACTAACACTGCGATTAATTTGACATGACTGTCAAATCAATTTGAGTTTCTGAAACGTTGATCAGGGCATAATTAACTAATCTATGATTATTTTGATTTGACATGCGATTTATTTTTAATCATAGCCACACTGCTCTTTTTTGTTCAATAGTTCATTCTTATCTGTCAGTTATGTTAATATTAAAAAAATTACGGACTGTCATTGATGTCAAACAATTCTGCGAAATTTAAATATCTTGTTACAATTTCAATAAAATGCTAACTAAACTTCCTTAAAATGGCATAACGAGGGAAGAATTTCATCGAAAGGGAAAGGCATGTTCTTTTAGAACTAGTTCAGAAGTAAGTATAAGTATAAACATATATTTTTTACCTATTGCGTTTTATAAACCTATTGTAGTTTAAAAGTATTAAATATCTTTGTTTATACTTCACATCCTGCGCTGCAGCCAAGACTGATGTGTAATACGCACCATGTTTTATTACAGAGACAAGCACATAATTGATAATCAGTGCACAAATGGTATTCTACTATTTATAAAAATGAAGCTCGGGAAACCACATCGAATGAATTCTACAGTAATGCAGAAGTGTCTCGAAGCCAAAAACAGCTAATCATAGCCTATTGGAATTAAAAAGAACTACGAGGCAGAATGTAGCCAATAAAAATGTAAGTTTTTGATCTTAAAATACTTTTATAGTGCCCATACTAGCTAGTCAGAATATTGTAACTATTACCAGATTATGATATATTAAATACCTGTCCTGATTTCTTATGTAAGTACCTAATCATGTATTAAGAATAATTATTGCAACTTTAATGAAATTTATTTACAGGTAATTTAACTTGCACATCAACGAAACAATTTAAACATGAGAGGCAGACACTCAGAACGAAGACGGATGAAATAAAGATGGAGTATGGAAATAAAAAAAAGTTAGAATATCGGTTAACTATAAAACAGCATATATTTCGAAATAAAATAAATCATTTGGTTAAGAAATATACATTATTAGCATTTAATTTAAATATAAGTAAGTTACTATACTAACTAAATATATAAAACTAACTAAATAAATAAATAAGTAAAATATACTTGTTTTTATATTTCAAGTGTTATATTTTATAAAGATTAATTAAACATGTTAATAATATAGTTATTTCTTTGTATTCACCTAAAAATACATACTATTTAAATATTACTTAACAATTAAAATGAGTCAACAATAAAGATGTGCGCACAGAAGTGTTTTTTTATTTATATCTCTGAAAGAGCACCAATATCTTCTTGAACTATCCTAAGATATACTTGAGAAATATCCTTTCCTGTTCCTGTACAGCTCAGCTTGTGGCTCACTAGTTGACTGTATCTTTACATGTATTGTGTGCAGTCAAATGCCCCGATCACATTTGGAAAAGAGCTAATTTTGTAGGACTCTGTTTTTATCCTTGTACAATCTTCATGTTTACAGGGCATAGTAATCGCTGCAGATTCTTTTGTTATTATTCTACAAGCCGTAGATTTGTGCACTCTCAGCAACCGTAACTTGAAACGCTCATGTGGCATGGTAATAGCTTATTGTCAGTAGCACCTATCCAAAGCACTGATAGAATGGTTCCTCAAAGTGAACTGTTTAATATTCGGCACTAACATGTTAACTAGTACCTTACAGCACAAACGCCTTTGTTCGTTGGTTGGTACCGATTCTTAAATTCCTCTTCATTGTAGAAATCAAACGGATTCATTCTGGTCTTATATCTTCATCGCTGCTGGATGTGCTGATACTCATCATGCTACTATCCGAAAGAAACATTATCGTAATCTAAAACCAGAATCAATGTAAGTTAATCAAGACATCAAATAATTTACACTTACAAAGAAAATTGTATTATTACAAATAAAATTTCGTAATACATATTTCTGTTTAACATACCTTAAAAAAATATACTTATTTGAAGAGAAAATGTAGACTCACGTGAAAAATCACTTGAATTCGTAAGTTAATTCGCCAACAAGCACCGATTAGTTGACCGAGCTTTTGACAGACGAATAATCTATGATCAAGGCTTGACCAGCGTTTCAGAAACCCAAAATTGCGATAATCATTCGATTCTTGAGTTGATTTGACAGCCATGTCAACTGACATGACGATCAAATTAGTTGATTAAACATGCTTTATGCAACCCAATTGACACTTGACAAGAGATTTAACAGGAGATTAGTTAATTTTAGCGTTGACAAGCCTTTCAGAAACCGGGCGTGAAACGTTGATCAGGGCATAATTAACTAATCTATGATTATTTTGATTTGACATGGGATTTATTTTTAATCATAGCCACACTGCTCCTTTTTGTTCAATAGTTCATTCTTATCTGTCAGATATGTTAATATTAAAAAAATTACGGACTGTCATTGATGTCAAACAATTCTGCGAAATTTAAATATGTTAAGTTACAATTTCAATAAAATGCTAACTAAACTTCCTTAAAATGGCATAACGAGGGAAGAATTTCATCGAAAGGGAAAGGCATGTTCTTTTAGAACTAGTTCAGTAGTAAGTATATAAGTATAAACATATATTTTTTACCTATTGCGTTTTATAAACCTATTCGTGTTTAAAAGTAATTAATATCTTTGTTTATACTTCACATCCTGCGCTGCAGCCAAGACTGATGTATAATACGCACCATATTTTATTACAGAGACAAGCACATAATTGATAATCAGTGCACAAATGCTATTTCTACTATTCATAAAAATGAAGCTCGGAAAACCACAACGAATGAATTCCACAGTAATGCAGAAGTGTCTCGAAGCCAAAAACAGCCAATCATAGCCTATTGGAATTAAAAAGAACTACGAGACAGAATGTAGCCAATAAAAATGTAAGTTTTTGATTTTAAAATACTTTTATAGTGCCCATACTAGCTAGTCAGAATATTGTAACTATTACCAGATTAGGATATATTAAATACCTGTCCTGATTTCTTAAGTAAGTACCTAATCATGTATTAAGAATAATTATTGCAACTTTAATGAAATTTATTTACAGGTAATTTAACTTGCACATCAACGAAACAATTTAAACATGAGAGGCAGACACTCAGAAACAAAATAATAAGAAGTATAATGAAATAAAGATGGAGTATGTAAATAAAAAAAAAGTTAGAATATCGGTTAACCATAAAACCGCATATATTTCGAAATAAAATAAATCATTTGGTTAAGAAATATACATTATTAGTATTTAATTTAAATATAAGTAAGTTACTATACTAACTAAATATGTGTAAGTAAGATACTACTACTATACTAGTTTTTATATTTCAAGTGTTATATTTTATAAAGATTAATTAAACATGTTAATAATATGGTTATTTCTTTGTATTCACCTAAAAATACATACCATTTAAATATTACTTAACAATTAAAATGAGTCAACAATAAAGATGTGCGCACAGAAGTGTTTTTTTATTTATCACTGAAAGAGCACCAATATCTTCTTGAACTATCCTAAGATATACTTGAGAAATATCCTTTCCTGTTCCTGTACAGCTCAGCTTGTGGCTCACTAGTTGACTGTATCTTTACATGTATTGTGTGCAGTCAAATGCCCCGATCACATTTCGAAAAGAGCTAATTTTGTAGGATTCTGTTTTTATCCTTGTACAATCTTCATGTTTACAGGGCATAGTAATCGCTGCAGATTCTTTTGTTATTATTCTACAAGCCGTAGATTTGTGCACTCTCAGCAACCGTAATTTGAAACGCTCATGTGGCATGGTAATAGCTTATTGTCAGTAAAACCTATCCAAAGCACTGATAGAATGGTTCCTCAAAGTGAACTGTTTAATATTCGGCACTAACATGTTAACTAATACCTAACAGCACAAACGCCTTTGTTCGTTGGTTGGTACCGATTCTTAAATTCCCCTTCATTGTAGAAATCAAACGGATTCATTCTGGTCTTATATCTTCATCGCTGCTGGATGTGCTGATACTCATCATGCTACTATCCGAAAGAAACATTATCGTAATCTAAAACCAGAATCAATGTAAGTTAATCAAGACATCAAATAATTTACACATACAAAGAAAATTGTATTATTATAAATAAAATTTCGTAATACATATTTCTGTTTAAAAATACCTTAAAAAAATATACTTATTTGAAGAGAAAATGTAGACTCACGTGAAAAATCAGTTGAATTCGTAAGTTAATTCGCCAACAAGCACCGATTAGTTGACCGAGCTTTTGACAGACGAATAATCTATGATCAAGGCTTGACCAGCGTTTCAGAAACCCAAAATTGCGATAATCATTCGATTCTTGAGTTGATTTGACAGCCATGTCAACTGACATGACGATCAAATTAGTTGATTAATCATGCTTTATGCAACCCAATTGTCACTTGACAAGAGATTTAACAGGAGATTAGTTAATTTTAGCGTTGACAAGTCTTTCAGAAACCGGGCGTAAGTCAACCAATCAGATGACTTAATTGACAAGAGATTAAATTGATTTTAACATTGATCAGCCTTTCGGAAACCGGTGTAAATCAGTAAATAATTGAAAAAAAAAACACAAAACATCGATCCTTGTACCGCAACCCGGCATGATGAAACAGGACAAGGATGTTATACTAAATTTAAAACTTTTGCGTTTCACGACATACATCAGCAGATTCTGCTTGCGACCAAGGTATTTAAATAATTATTTTTCGCGTTAATACACGCGTAATTAATTATATGTTGTAAAGGACGTGGAGGATGGTCGTTAGACAGTAAGAGTCTGAAAGCCCGTCTCGCGCAACCCGAGGTAGTTAAAATCACATGATGCATGCTCTCTCCCTCTTCAAAAAAGACTCCGGTTCGTCTATACTAATATTATAAAAAGGTAAAATTTGTAAGTTTGTATGTAGGGGGTAATATTTGGAACCGCCGAACGGATTTCTAAAATTCTTTCACTGATAGCTATAGATATATATATTCCTGAATGCTATAGGCTATAAAACATCACGCTACAACTAAATGGAGCCAAGAAGCGGGTGAAACCGCGCGAGAGTAGCTAGTGTTTAAATTAAGGTCTTTCATAGTCAAAGGTTAAATTATTTACTTCACTGAGTGCTACCACTGAGCTATTTTGTCACCAGATGACGCTAATGACTATTTGCTGAAAAAGCTGAAAAATATGTTGCCAATAGGGTTTTTAGGAAAGAAAATCATTGAGTAGATTTTCTCGGCTCCGGTGGGGCGCGAGGGAGTGTCATGTTCTTACTGATTAAAAACCCCACCCCATTCCATCTCTTGCTGCAGGCCAGTGCCGATGAACATTTATTGCCCTTCCACTTTCAACAGTTAATTAATTATCTATAGTACAAACCAAACCATAAGCTACAGACCATGAAAAGAATGGCCCATCAGACAAAATAAATAGGTAATACTAAGATGGGGACTTTTATGTTTTTACTACTTAAAGTTTTTTAAAGGTTTTTTTTTACATTATAATGGATAGTAATAATAATAATAAATCATTTTTGAGGCACAGCATTTATGCTGAGTGCTGTCCCTTTCGCACAAGGAGACGCAAATGCAGGGTTTTTGTATGTTTTTATGTTTATTTCGTCCTTAGTTTTATTGCTTTTTGGGTCGTTAGTGTGAAAATATTTTTTTTTCATTATTTACGCTTACATACCTGTTGCAAAGCATTGATCCTCGGTAGCGAAGTCCTTAGCCTGGCGTTGAGTGAGAGTACCAGGGCCTCTCCCATGGCGAAAGCGAACCAAGGGAACACGACGTCAGCTACAGTGAGACCGTTCCACACGCTATGGGAGAACACGCCATAACCACCGCCGCCAGCGTTCACGAAGATCTATAGTAAGGAAAGGAAAGAAAATATAGAATAAACATTAACATAATTATTTGCCATTTGTTCATTTTCATTACTTTACTAGACATTTTTATATCTCTCTCTCACTCTCTCAAACTCTCTCTCTCTCTCTCTCTCTTTCTCTCTCTCTCACACACACACTCTCTCTCTCTACTAACGCTTGCACTCGCAACAGTAACGATATTACACGGATAACTAAAATTGTTTGATGATTATACAACAATAAGTATTTTAGATAGTGTTTTAGATTCGATACAGCTACGACGTAACGAAATCACATTAAAATAGTAAAATAAAATTAGATCACTACACTTTATTGATAGATACAAGTCATTGAAGATTAAGTTTTATATTATGTATAATAACATCCATTAAATAGTAGAGACATTTAGCATAAGTATTGCCCCCGAGCGAAGACAAAGAGCGCATCGCAAAAGAAAAAATTTCTTTACAATCTTTGACATCATTATCAGGATCTTTCGGGAAACAAGGTTGGATATCGAAACACCTACCATTAAACTAACCATAGGCTTATCGAGAGTTTACCTTATTATTAATCAAACTAATTAAATAATAATTATTATTAGAACAACACAAGGACAAAGATAAGCTAAAATAACAATAGGTTCATTACTATCCAAATTATTATTTAGTGTAAATTGTGATTCTTCACTAAACCGCTGTGATAATTTTGAAGCGATACTTGATAATTATAGGTTAAAATTACAGAATAAAAATAAAAAATATAACTTAAATAACCGTTTAAAAAAATTAACACGAGTCACGACACACACAATTTGTGGATCACACAAACAGTTGTTCCGTACAGGAACCGAAACTGCCACACTGCACGGCAGCCGCACCTCTATTCACCGCCAAAAGGAGCCCCTTCACCTTGGCTCCTGTTTTTCGGGATGTATCCTTGGAATGCACCGACCGCCTTCAGCTTTTGGGAATAGACATTGCTTCAGACCTCAACTTTGGGCGGTTCATTGAGTCCAGGGCCGAGGTAGCTGCTAGAAAACTCGGCGTTCTTGCAAAAGCCCGACGGTGCTTCACACCGAGCCAGCTTCTAATGTTATACAAAGCACAGGTCCGATCGTGTGTGGAGTACTGCAGCCACATATGGGCTGGTGCTGCAAAATGCCACCTAGCGGCTTTGGATTCGGTGGAAAGGCGTGCAATAAGGCTGATTGGTGATCCGGATTTGGTTGGGTCCAATCTTCAGAGTCTCGAGCACAGGCGCAGAGTAGCCAGCCTTGCGGTGTTCTACAGGATGCATTTTGGAGAGTGTGCGCAGGAATTGCACGATTTGATTCCACCATCCCCATTTCACCTTCGGACATCCCGGCGTACGGCGAATATCCACCCCTACGTTGTTGAGACACCTGCGGCCCGGACTAGGCGCTTTGCCTCGTCATTTATACCGCGTACATCGAGGGATTGGAACAGTTTGCCGGCTGCAGTCTTTCCGTCCAAATATAATTTAGGTGTCTTCAAAGCTAGAGTGAATAGGCTCTTAATAAACTAGTGCGCCTTACCATCAACGATTGCAGCACTGCTTACCATTAGGTAGGATCACAGTCAAGCACTAGTTTATAGAAAGTAAAAAAAAAGCCAGTTGCCTAACCACCACACCAACCCTGCAGTCAAATTGGGGAGGCCTACGTCTAGCAGTAGACGGTATCATTGATGATAATGATTGCATCCGCGCGAAGCCGGGGCAGGTGGTTTAATGTTGAATAATTTAACTTACCATGAGTGCGATGGCGAATCCTCGGAAGATATCGAGCGAGCGCAGTCGGGAGCGTGTCGGTGACCGTGGTACACTTGCTTCAGCAGTCAACACTCGAGTCTCGGAGCCTAACTCATTATCCTCTCTGTAACCAGAATCGGATAAAAGCACTCTTTAATACTCTAATTCACGAGATATCTCGTATAGTTTCAAATGAAAGTGGAGCTCTAAGTCATCTACTTAATCGCGTATCAACTAGGTAATTTTTGAGCCAAGCAATAATTTACAGGGATTTTTCAGTTTTCTAAAGATTTACACTAATTGTGCCTATTTATTTGTTATCATAAGGCTAAACGAAACATATCTATTAAAAAAATTGCTGCCATTACATATGCACATTTGATTCTATACTTAATATTATAAAGAGGTATTTGCAAGTTTGTATGTAGGGGTAATCTTTGGAACCGCGTGTCGGATTTCCAAAATTCTTTCAATGATTGATAGCTACAGTGTTCCTGAGTGCTATAGGCTATAAATTACACTTAATTTGCGTATTTCAGTCTAACTATCGCATTAAAAGCTGTTTTTAAAACCAACGGATACAATTAAGCTAGTCGTTCTAGTATAAATGGAGGGATACCATGTTCCAATGGAATATTAATATTATTGCAATAATAAAATACAAACCTTGCAAAATATCTAGCATACAGCCGACCAGCAACAATTCTCTTGCCGACTCCTTTCACGACATACCAAAGAGTGGCCATAGACAAGAGGATGACGACGGCTGTCAGAATCGGCAGATACGCCGCATCCGGTTCCGCTGTCATACGCGGGAGGCATGTGTCAGTTTTGACGTCAGTAATGTTCAGGATATACTGGCCATATTCACCGAATTGGTAGGTTCCTGAAAAGAATAAAAATTTATGATTTTTTTTTTCAACAGTTTATTAACACATAATGTCATTAACTGCTTAATTCCCCATAGTAAAATGTTAATGGCAACACTACTGACTATAGACAACCAATGTCGGCAACGCACGACTAACTTGTTTAGTGTCCATGGGCGGCGCCGATTGCTTACCATCAGGTAATCTATCTGCTAGTTTGCTGACCCATCCCATAGAAAAAACTGGGGATTTTTCCTAAAAACAAAACTAAATTATACTTTGACCAACTCGACAATCAGAACGAAGGTCTTACTGGGCAGTAGCGCTTAAGATTCGAACCGTCGACAAACATAGAAATTTAAACTTTAATACTTATCAATAAAGTCGAAAATAAACCACCAAACTTAGCATAAAATGTAATAATTTATTTTGATCATAAAATGACTAATTCAATACCTAGCTAGAGTAATCGACGCATTACTAAATAGGTAACTGATATGCAGTGCAACTGGTTTTACAGCTATTTCAAAAAACAGGACATTTATAAGGCTGAGATTACAAGCAGTATACAGAATGCCTATGTTTAATCTTGAGCAAATCTACTCTTTTATTCTTATAGAGAAGAAATATTTTTTTTTATATTTTGGGCTATAAAGTTATCAAAGTCAAAGTCATAGTCAAATAATTTCTTACAAACAAACCACAACAGGCACTTTTAGATGTCAAACTAAAAATAAATATCAAGTGTGGCACTCAGTCGGTCTGTCTTCTAGTGAAGTGAAGCTATTTGCTTGTTCCAAAGTGTAGATTCCTATGGAGAAGAATAAGCAAGAGACTCCATGGTTACCTTACCTAGGTATAATATAATAATATGAAATTGCAACATATGACGTCATGGATGTGCGTCAAACAGCATACTGTACTGAATTCCTAAAAAATTGCTTGATAAGACAAAAACTAAATATATCAATTAATAAATGAAAGTATAATTGTGTGCTGAAACCTAGAACCAATTTCTTTTTGACTTTGTAAACTACTGATACTACCATAAATATAGTACTATCTCCTAACTACTGAACGAATAAAAAAATAAATTTCATTATTACAAAGCTTATAAAACTAAGATCTGATTTTTAATGGTTAGATAAAAGTTACCTGGGGAATAATTCTGATGCTGTCGCGTCAGAATGTTTGTATAAGACAGTGACAGCAACAATTTTATTCCTCAGATAGGTAACATTTACCTGATTATTGAAAAATTTGCCCTAAACTTAAATAAAAGAAAAATGTTACACTTATTATTCCTACAGCATCAGGTCCTACTCAAATAAAATCTAAAAAAAATTACATAGGCAAATAGAAACATTCCAAAAAAAACATATTTTTTTTAACCAGTTTTCATTTAGCAAAAGGAGGTTATTATCATTACATGCAGTGTCAACTAAAACCTCCTTGCACAAACATTTAGTCTATGCATTTACATAGTTATCATAGAGTATGAATCATGTGAGTGAACTTAGATAATAGGGTTATATTGGATTACTTATACAGCTTCCTTATGTACTCGAGTTTAATAACATTGTACTATGAACTTTAACTGCATTGTGATATGGTTGAAATTGCAGATAAAAGATTAGATACTTATGAGAAGTAATGTTATAGCTACAGTTTGCTTAGCATGCAAAAAGTATGAGGTTAAATACAAATCATTGTATGTACTGTAGTTTTTTTTTAGTTCCTTATTTTTATCATTCATTCTATTCATGTCAATTTGTTTTGTACTCATTATCCTCAACGTTTCATCCCTGAATAAATTATATTAATTAATTTCTAAGTTAGATGTGTTTATCATTATCTTGACTTCAATTTCAACTTTTTGTATAAAGTAAAAATTCATTTGTTATCATGCAAAAACTGAAACAAGTAAATTCTTGCTGTATTTTTGAAATTATACTAAGCTAACTTTTCTTTCCGTAACGTTTCTACAGACAGCCTAGAATAATCTATAGTATTACAATGTGTTTAGTAGGTTCCATGAGATCTTGAATTTAAAAAATTTGTATAGTTAACCATGCCATGCTTAAGCTCTTAACTATTTGTGAAAGAAGTACTGTCGGGTATATAGAAGAGCCACAGACATCATCTCTGTGACTTTCTAACAAGTGTGGGTAATTATAAAAAGTAATGTAAAAACTAAATAGGTGTAAAATTAATAAGTTGCAATTAAAAATAATAATAAAAGGATGTTGCAGTACCATAGAGGTCATATTACCATTTAACTGTAAAAAGGTTTCAACAAAAAAGGTTGTTTGTGAAAAATTTTAGGTGTGGTTTGGTTTGGGTATTTAAAATAAATTTTGTTTTACTGTTTCAGGAAGAACTAACTATGTTTTAAATAATAAAGCTGTGGTTACATTTTTTTTTATTCAAGCAGGATAAATATCATAGACCTTGATTAATAGTTATGATATGTACTGAACCAAGGCAACTTCATGTTCAGCCTATGTAACCAGTTATGAAATGTTCTTACAGCTGAAACTTTCACAAAACACCAGAAATGGGCAGCTATGTGTGACTCATACAATTAAAACATACAGTTACCGATTTAACTAATATCACAATTTATATTCACATAATACCTTCAAAGAGTCATTATATGGTTGCTATCATAGCTAATGTATAGTCTGTTTGCATTAGATATTCTAATTTTAAAAATATCATCGAGCGTATCGTGTTTACAGTTGAACAAAGACAAGCGATTACAGTACAACAACATTTTAGCGAATATGTGTCATTCAGCACAAATTATGTACTTAGGTACTTACCATTGCATATTAATCCATTGCCGTTTCTCACTTCATAGTTTAGTGGGCTACCTGTGCCCAACACCAAGCTATGAGTTGCCGATATATTAGCAGTTCCCAGAAGAACACATCCCTCGCATTCCTCATATTGACTCCAAAAACTCACATCTTCGTTTGTTATAAGTTGTAAACAAGCTTGATCGAATCGCAATCTAGAACCGTTGCAATCCCTTACAAAAGAACCGACGTTCTCAAAACTGTCGAACGGCATTTTTTTAGATTTATCCTACATTAGTTTTGCGAAAACAACTGTAATATTTCAGTTTGAAAACAATGCAATGATAGTCACAAAAAACAATCAGCGATTTGCGAAGTATCGTAAACGTCAATGTCGTGATTCATCAATGAATGAATGACAATGAACTACATACTGAACAATGAATTGGAAAAACCACAGGTAATAAATGGAAGTTAAGAAAATAAGCTAAAGAAAATAAGTTTTATGTTTTGATAAAAATGATCTTAAATTAAATGATGAAAATAAAACTCTCAGTTCATATTACCTTCGATTTGCTCTCTTGTTCATTAAAAGACTTGTGTCAAGTCATGTTTTGCATTGCAAGGTTAGTACTGATCCTTAATGAGTTAGTAGTTAGTAGGTTATTATATTATTAAGTAAACCGTTATACTTGATTATTCTCCTTCCCAACTCTGTGTTATGGGAATTTCAATTAAAACACTGTAGTTTGTAAATGTATTTAGGTACATCTATAAGTTATCTACACTACTGTTGTTTTCACATTCATCTATTCTACTACTGGACAACGAAAGACGTACATACAAGATCACAGTTTCGCATCTCTTATGAAATGAAACAGAGTTAATTGACGTGTGTTGTTATTTTTAGTTGGGCCTTGAAGAGACACAGGTATATCCTTCGGGGAACACAGACACCTGCAAAGAATTCCTCTAAGCGGTTCTTATAATAAAATTGAAGGCAAACCGCTTCATGCGTGTGGGTGGGATATCTACCATGAAGCGATGACGTTTTGCTGATTGTCTGGTGGTACGATTGTGGATAGGACTAGGGGAAATCCAGTCATTCAGCTCCCTCGAACATTCTGCTAAATGTATCCGATAAAAAAACTGAAAGGCTTGCTGCACATCGTCGTTGATGAGACCCTCGCCTCTCAATGTGTTCTAATGTGTCTAAAGTTGATGTTTAGCCTAGCCGTCCCAAATATGAGATCATTTATTTGGACATATCTAAGCACCCCTTATGGGTCGGCAAACGAGCAGACGGATTACCTGGTGGTAAGCAATCACGCTACGCCGCAATGGAGAAGTTACGAGTGCGTTGCTGACCTTTTAGGGCTTTGGAGATTTCGGGATTGGGGGAGGGGAAGGATTGGGCCTCCGGTAATCTCATTCACACGGCAAAACACAACGCTGTGGTTATTTCACGCCGGTTTTCTGTGAGGTCGTGGTATCACTCCGGTCGAGCCGATCCATTCGTGCTGAAACATGGCTCTTTCACACTTACCCTTGCTGTATTTTAGCTCCGTTTAGAAAATAATACACAACTTTGCAATGATTACTAACTTAATTTAATCTAAAGGAAAAATTAAACAGGAAAACCAAATATCAAATGCAGCAGACGCCAGAGGGAATTAAAAAAATGAATTTTGACATCGTCTGGTAGAGGTAGAGGATTTTCGAGAGTGTCGTGGGCCTCGTAAAACCATTCTGGCAGTGACCGACTGTTTATAATATAGTGCCATTGTTTATTTCCCAAAGAAATTAATAGCACAGAATTCTGCCCTTTAAAATGTATCTGAAAACATTAAAGAAAAACACGATTTTATAAGGCGTTCTAATTGGGAATACAAGAGTTTGTTTGAATTATTTAATTGAAGATTTCTAGGGTAAGTAAATAATGAAACACGTTGTTGTGAAAAAACATGCTTATAACTAAAACTGGAATTAAATAAGTCCTAGTGGTGAAAAGGTATAGCTTTTTTTTATTCTATATTTCCGAATATAGAAAGAAATTAATTATGATTTAACTAGCTTTTGCCGGCTAATTAGATAGTGTGCGGGACTTAACTTACTGTGATTGTAGGGCTATCGTATTCCTGGTTATTGTCAGTAATGTATGCATCTGGATCAATAGTGGATGTCAATCTGAAGAAAATAAACATTTATAGTTAAAACGAGCTTTTTTGAGAAGCAATTAGTTGTACCACGTTGGGTTGGGCGAGAGGTAGTGTCAGACTCTAAAACCTGCCTTTATAGAAATGAAAAAGCCTGTGCAGGTTGTTTTACTTATCTGCATTCCTCTACGACGTGGACTGGTATGTTTGAACCCCAGCTTGTTTTAAGTCAGGTTTTTTTTTTGTGAGGGGAAAATCATCAAATGACTTCTCCCGCCCAGGGCCGGGCAGGAGGGAGTGTCAGACTCTTACTGACTAAAAACCCTGCTGTTCCTTCTCCTGCTCTGTGCCGAGGTCGCGGTACCTCATTGCGCTTACCCCGCAACCCCGGCTGAACATCAGCCCTTTAGGGCCCCGTCTGTAGTGGTCGAATGGCTATTTGAGGCGCGCGCGGAACACTCGGGCCTGGTTCTGGTCGGGCGGCGAGCTGCCCTTACTCGCCGACCGCAAGCCCGTGCTTACAGTGGCCGGAGATCGTCCCTCGATCGCCGACGCCCGTAGTGTCGCCAGTTGCGGCTGCTGGGGCGTGAGGAGGAGGATTGCTCCCTCACGCGGGCCGCCTCTCTCTTTGCGAGCATGACTGCTTCACAAAAGGAGGAGACGGCGTCCCAGTTCCTCTCACAAGTCAGGGGGGGTGTGAGCGCAATATTGTACCACAACCCCAGATACCGGCCATACCGGAGGACCCAGTCCGGAACAGAAGTAACGAAGTAATTTTTAGTGAGTAAGAGTCTGACACACACAAAAAAAGTAGATAAGCGAACTTTAAATAAGAATGATTAAAAATAAAAACAACATATTTTCATATGTTTAATAAATGCGTAAGTAGGTACGTATCTAATGTTATTTTCACCTGAGCAGATAAATAATTTAGGCGGTAAAGTATCTACGCGAAAAAGGTGTTTCGCAAATGACAGACTTACACAAACTTATTGATCATTTTCATAAAATCTTTCTGTAAAGGCGCTTGCAGTGAGTCTTCATTGGAACTCGTTTTATTCGGGTCATTTTTCTTCACCCTTGATGAAGACCGCCCTCTATTTCTGAAAATAAAATACTTATTCAATAGAATTTTAAACGAAGTAGGTAGCTGGAACTATCATGCCGTGTTGTGTGCGTAGAGGGAAACATATTAACGTTTCGTGGAGGTGTCCTGTAGAACTATGCACTATAGAATGCCTCAGTTTCCCGCATTCGATAGCACGCGACACGAAACAATCTTCATCATACTAAATGAAACCGATAAGCTTCTGGGGCGTCACAATATTCCACGATACGCGATATTTCTATCATAAAACCTATTTCTTGCCCACCACCACAAGACAGAATTTGAAAAGGAGTCTTCACTTTAAAAAAAAAACTGGTCATAATGACCCGAGATTTTGCGGACTTCCATCGTACGCATCACCTGGATCTAAGCATCAATCATGGATGCTCCCAGCAACAATGAGGAGTTACAAGTGAGTTGCCTGCCTATTGAGGGTTTGGGCCTACGGTAAACTCACTTACACAGCGGAAGGGTTGTCACACACCCGTTTTCGTTATTAAGGATGTACTGGTATTACTGATTGACCTACCCAGATTAAGTATACCAAAGCATGGCCCTTTCGTAATAGATTCTTGATGATAATAGATGACAGAGAGACTATTTATCACTTCAGTGTAAAACGAAATCAACCAGACTGATGCTCTTATTTAGCTAGAGGAGTCACAATCGCAATGTGCGTTTCCGACTTTTCGGCATTTTGACATAAATAAATATTAGGCACGAGTTATTTTATTGTATTTGTTCAGCCAACTGAATTAAGTCGGCTCTGACTACTCTCTCGATAAAAAAAAACAAAGATATTTATGTACATGTGATATTTACAAACAATATTATTATCATAATGATTGCGTTTATCGACACATCTAAATCAAATAATTTTACCTGTTCTATAATAAAAATGATATCGTAAAATATAAAAATAAGCAAAAAGAATTCCTTCGAGCCGGATTTGAACCAGCGACCTATGGATATCAATTAGAAACCAGCTACAGTCCACCGCTCTACCAACTGAGCTATCGAAGGTTCGAGAAAGTTGATGAAATAGCTGTACTAATTACAAGGTGCAAATAAGTAAGTAATTATAGTGGGGATAACGATTATGGTTTTTTTATAAGGTTTAGAAAGTAACACAAAATTCAGTTACCCGTTAGTACATTTTTTCTTAACTTACCCCTACTTTTAGTTTAGTTCTTTAAATAAATGTCTTATGAATTAGATTTTGAATAATATCGCTGCACTAGTTGCGATTATTTTCTTTCTATTTGATTTTTTATAATAGATGTGAATGGATGTGATAAGTTCTAATTGGTTTTGATGAAATTAAGCCTAAAAATAAATCGTAAAAACGTTTACCCTTACGGCTAAACAGGCGTCATAAAAGTAATTAAGGAATCCTACTTACATTCTCATCAAAGGTCCAATGTATTGAAAAAAATCTTCCATTTCTTTGCTGCTACCGAGTCTTAGAGTTGGGTTCATCCAATCATTACCGCTCAAAGATAACACCCATAAGGGTTCACCCCTATCGTTATATTTATACAAATCACGAACTTTATACTGCGTATCAGTCGCAACATTATTATTATCTTCGGCCAAAGATTTAAATAAAAAAAGTTTGGCAGACGAATTTGAAATTAGAATGAGTAAAAATAGAAACAACATGGCTTCGTTGGCGCGAAAAAATTTTAATAATGAAATAATTTTAAAACGTTAATGAAATAAATACGTAACTAAGTACCTAATGTTATTTTCACCTGAGTAAATAATTTAGGTGGTTAAGTACGCGAAATATAGGTATATTCGAACGAGTAAATTGCTGAGAATGGAAGACGGATGGCCGTGACGAAATATACATGTTTATGTGAAAACTGCGTACTATGTATTCATAGGTTTTGATATTATACCTTTTGATAATGCTAAATTGTACGCCTGCAGTAAATATTGCGTTGTGAACATAGAAAATATTATTTATTATTTAATTATTGTCGATTATTATCGAAGCGCATTTCGGTGCCTATTCGTTTACGGGGCAGAAGGAACAGGGTGGTTTTTAGTCAGTAAGAGTTAGATACTCCTTCTGGGCGAGAGAAGTCCCAGTCCATTTCAGTCCTCCGTTAAAAATGATGTCTGATTATAATTTCGAAATAAGTAAAGAACAAAAATGTTTAACCCCCCACTGATTTTGCGAATAAAAATTGTTTTGGAAACAATTACCTATTTAATTCTTTTTTGGTAAGTCTACTTCCAAGTTCCGCGTCACATGTAAACAAAAACCATAAATAAAAATCAGTTTTCAAAATTATAAAATATTAATTTATTATTTGTTTTTCATAAAATTTGTTTAATCTAGTACAAATTAAGATACTTGAAATAATCTTTTCTGATACCTACCTAACTAAAAAATCAACATCAAGTAAATAGATAGGTATATATTTTTTTTTAGTTCAAATCAACGCCACGAGATGTCGTGTGTAGTGTTAATGATCTCACAGTACATAATATTGAAATAAAAAAAAACAGGGTTTATTGCAAGTTTAAGACTTATTGACTGTTTTAATATTTTAGAAGATATTATAAATAAATATTTTTTTAACAGGAATACAAATAACGCAATGATTTGCCTTAGGTTTACAGAAAAAGGGCAAGATAACTATATAATCATGTACTAGGATAGCATATAATCTAGGTAGGTAAAACAATTGTCTTGTACTGTGGCATTTTATAAACGGAATGTAGGAAATAAAACTTTATGTAGTTGCAAATAAGTACAGTAATGCTTTGGCAAACTGTATTATCTCTGAGCCTCCGAGTTTTGATTCGCCGTAGACGCGATCCACGAACGTGATTGGAACTTCTCCAATGGTGTAATCCAATTGCCTCGCCCTGGGAAAGAAAAGCAGATTTATATTTCTGTTAGATAATCAAGGATGAATAGATTTTTAAGGAGTCAAAAGTCACATTCAAAATAAATGATGAAATAAGAGTTAGTTACCTAACAGTAATAATAGTTTATTGTTAACTTGGAACACAGAAAGAAAATATTTTTTTTTTCTAGCTGATGTTTAAAACCTAAGTAGGTATGTCTTTTATTTGACACAAAAAATATAATCACGAGCGTCGTCATAAAAGGTCTACTTATTTTAAAAGTAAATTGTCTGTATTCATTAGAAAATATTTTTCTGAGACCTCAATAAAGTTAAACTATCTTGTTCTATCTCCTTTATTAGGAAGCCTAAAAAATACGACTTGTAGTTCACAGTTATCTTTACTAGTTCAGAGATAAGATTCCCGGCCAAGGCAGTAAGGAGCCAAAAGAAACTAAATTATCGCATTGCTAAGAGCTCCCCTATAGGGCACGATGTATGACTTAGTAGGGCCACTGCGGGGAAGTAGCAATTAGGAACAGGATGGATTGGAATATATAAGAAGCCACAATAATGTTCAGGAAGATTTATCTGGTAATTTTTCTTTATATAAAAGTAGGTATTCATAATCTATACTAATATTATAAAGAGGTAAATTTTGTAAGTTTGTATGTAGGGTGTAATCTTTGGAACTGCTGGTCGGATTGCGAAAATTCTTTCACTGTTAGGTAGCTACAATGTTCCTGAGTGCTATAGGCTATAAAACATCACGTTACGATAAAATGGAGCAGAGCAGCGGGTGAAACCGCGCCAAACTAGCTAGTCCCTCATAAAACGTAGCATAAATGTGAATGTAATAATCTGTAGTTTATAAGGAACAAAACTTTAAAGATCTCACCTAATAATCATTTCCATTTGGAATACATAGCCTTTGGACACGCAGCTGTCTATTAATTTTTGTAGAACATCCTTTTTGTATAACCTGGAAAAATGTTTACATGTGTGTTAGTTATTTCAAAGGAGGAAGGAACAAATTGTAATATATTAATATTTAATTAAGTTTATCTGCATCTTCTGATTTGATTTGATATATTTTCTATATGAAATGTGTCTAAACATTGCCAATAAATATGCTTAAATTTGCTTTTTTTCTATCCATATGTAATCCCTCTTCTGTACCAGTATTTACCCATTTTTCAGTGATAAATAGATTGTATCTGATATGGATCTACATTCAGGCACATCATTATACTGTGAAACCAATCAGGATCCGAGTTAACAAAAGTCAGAAAATGTGCATTAATTGGGTAAAAACCTAGTCAATGGTGTGTGTAAAAATAGTGATTTATTTTATTAAGACCAACATAAATGGTTAGAATTGATATCATTATGTTTTTTGGCAGCAAACCAGCTTATAATTAAGTAACGGGTATTAAAAAGTTGAAATATTGTTAAAAAAGTGCAAAGAATTAATTCCATCTGTAAAAAAACTGGACTTCAGAGAGAGAAACATTCTAAATTGTAAACAGGAAAATTCATTTGTCTATTAAAATCATTTTCACCTAAAAGACCCAGTAAGGTCCGAAGCACCAGGTCTCAATAACATCTGGGTGATGAAATTAGCAGTCCGTGATATCAGCTTCCGTTTGAAGTCCCATCCGTGGACACCACCGTCATCCTTATACCGAGTACCGGATACCACATCTAAGTCATGCTCTCGTTGTAGTTCAATGAACTTTGGGATGAATTTTGGCTGGAAATAAAACAAAATTTATCTTTATGAGCATTGAAATATAATTCTTTTTTTTATTATGAATTTATGGTTTTCAAAAATATGACAAAACTTAAGTGTAAGCAGGCAAGCAACCACAAGCTATAATTTTTACTAAATATAATAAATCTAATAAAATCCAGTTCATATAATGATAAGTATCAGGATATAGAAATACTTATCAACAAAATATGATAACAATAGAAAATAATTAAGAACACAACAAAATAAAAGTTTTTTCTACAATAAGAACCGAATAGGTACAAAACATTTAGTACTTACGTGGTGACTAAGGTCTGCATCCATGATAATAATAAAATTACCGGTCGCATGTTTCATTCCATGTATGTAAGCAGTTCCTAAGCCTAACTTTTTCTCCCGAGGACGAAGTATGATCTTATTCGATCCATATATCTTTTGCAGCTGTTTGGCAATATCTTGAGTGCCGTCTGGACTCCCATCGTCAATAATAATCACTTCATAATCATATCCACTGCGCAAAACAAGGAATATTTACATGAAAATACAACAATGAGACACCGATACTTGTATCAAAATTGTATATGAAATAAAGGTAACCGCGACTCACCTTTTATCTAAACATTTCACTATAAGCCATATTATAATTGGTAAATTCTCTCTTTCGTTGTATGTCGGTAATAATATGGAATATTTATCACTTTTAGTAATTTCCGAATCTGAAGCCGTGGCCGCCATGCTGTCAAATGTCATTACAATGTCAAAATAAAAAGACAGATCATGTTATTTTATCGTAAATTAAACGTAATTTACTCTAAACTATTTTTAATGCACATTGTATAACCTACTTTATTAAAACCAGTAAAGTTATAACTCGGAAAACCAATTGATAACACATGTATTTCCAAAATGTTAGGATTTTTTATTAAATTATCTCTTGGTATTTTCTTCCAAATACCTCACACCTCACATAAACAAGTCAGAAACGTACTTCTTATTTTCAAAACGTGTAAACTTGATCCCCAAGCCCAGCAATTCTCCCATATCATTATTAATAAAATTTTCAATTTTGATTTCAGCTGATAAATGAAATGTTCAAAATGATAGTAATTAAAATAAGTTTGAAAGTACTTTTCCCAAACAAAACTAATTTATGGAAACCTTTCTAGTTTCTGCGTACTATGAAACAAAGTTACAGATAAGATAAGCTGACGTCAATGTCAAATCGAAGAATTTGTCAACATCAACAAAGTGTTCAAGTTGTGGACGTCGTTCGTTATTAAAGTAGAGTTTACGACGACAAAATTAGAAAAATAATCATATGAAACAGACAATAGGCTTAAAGTTTTAAATACAAGATAATTTGCCTCATTACAATATATTAAAAAACGTAACACTAGCCTACATCCCACGCTTGACGCAGCAAACCAAGTTTAGTAACAGCAAACCACCGCAATGTTTAGAAAGTGAAACCTTTCGAAACATAAGTTGCGAGAATGGGGAAAACGAGTAAAGTCGTTATATGTGGGATGAAAGGGGTTGGAAAAACCGCAGTATTAGAACAACTAATTTATGGAAATGTGAATTTAAAATCGTGTTTTTACCCAACCATTGAGGATATTTATGTGGCCAATATTGAAACTGATAGGGGAACTAAAGAAAGAGTTTGTTTCTATGACACGGCGGGATTGGAGCCCCCGCTTACAGGCGAGTTCAAAGGTTTAGTCTAGTTTGATTTATTTTTGCTTGAGTGCTTGTACAGGCTGGCTGGCAGTATGGCACTGCTTTGATATTGGCATTTTTTCTTAATGCTTGTCTCTGGGTGAGAAGACTGTTCTTTTTTTTAAAGATTTTTCTGTAAATATTGTAAATAAATTGTACAAAAACTGTACACCAATGTTTCAAAATAAAATAAATTTATATGTCAAGTTTATCCTTTATTTAAGCAACTACCCAATTTATAATTTTTTCAAGCAAGGCCATTTGTTATAACATTTACTTTTTCTTACTTGTATATTCAGTCTCAATGTCTTAATAATATATTTTTTTAGTCACAAAAAGAATTTGGTATGTTGAATTTTTTTTTATAAAAAAAGTAATATGATATTTTACCCTCAACAGTTTCATCAGCAGCCAGTCTTGAAAATTATTCCCACCCATGTATTGGCTACAACGCTATTCAAAATTAACACCACAATAAATGGGCCTTAACAAGCACAGCAAAATAAATTGCACATTAATTTTATTTTAATGACCTAACTGAGCACTTAATTCTATACTTTTCAGAAGATACAAAGCAAAATAATAAGATGTATATACATTTAATATTGTAATGTAATTTAAAATTTGTGTTTGTACATAATAAATAGCAAAATTTAATCTCCAGGTCTGCCTAACCCAGGCAGAGGAACTTTGAAGAGGTAAACTAGGGTATCAAAAATGCTGGTGTGTGTGAGGGACATCTCAATTCAACCAGTACTGGTGCTATTGACACCTATAGGTGGCACAAGGAATAGAAATGGCACCATTGTGAATTAAAAGTTTATAATAATAAACTAGCATAGTGATAGTGCAGTAGCACTGCTTGCACTACTCTAGGACTGATCCTACTTACTCCATTTCCAAGTGTTATACAATAATACTTTACTTCAACATTTTTTAAATGAAGATGTCATCATCTAACTTAAGGTATATCCTCAGGACCGCCACAATCTCCAACTATGCAGCTGACTGCCAACCAAGTTCTCCAACGCCACTACCTGGCCTTCGCTGAAGGTTTTGTCATGGTGTACGATACAACCAGGCCGGAGTCACTAGATGTACTCATGTATCTGAAGAAGGATATTGACAGAAATAAGGATAAAAAGGAGGTAATATATTTAGTTATGAAAAAAAAACACTCAAACACACACTCATGAAAACACACACACACACACACACGAAAACACACTCACACGAAAACACACACACACACACACACACACACACACACACACACACGAAAACACACACTCACACGAAAACACACACACACACACACACACACACACACACACACACACACACACACACACACACACACACACACACACACACACACACACACACACACACACACACACACACACACGCACACACACACACACGCACACACACACGCACGCACGCACATGCACACTCACACATGCACACTCAACTCGCAACACATGCACACTCACACTCACACACTTACACAAAATTAGTAACATTAGCTGGTTGCGAATGCAAAAAATGAACATTTTTGCACACATATTGAGAGATATGCCAAAGATCCACCCGCCGCCGCACCAGAGGAGTCACAGGTGCGTTGCCGGCATTTTAAGAAGTACGCTCGTTTGCGGGTGAAGCGTCTCTGCTTCAACCAAACAGCGTGCCGTTTCGTGCCCCGGTTTATATCTATTTTACTACCACCGTTGTGTTTCGCCTTATGAATGTGGTTACCGGAGGCCCAATCTTTCCACTCCTGTCATCCCTTCCCAATCCCTAAATCTCAGAATCCCTAGCCCCAGACGGCAGGCAATGCACTCGATAACTCCTATGGCGTTGCGGGTGTCTATGGGCGGCGCCGATTGCACAATATCAGTAATACATCTAAAAATACATAAAAAATATTTTTTGATTTTTGCGGAAGTAAAATATAAATAGTGCGAATGTTAATCAGATAAGATAAAGTTTTACAGAAAAACATAATTCTTGTATTCCAAAAATGTCGATTGTATCATTTTGTATTAATTGGTAAATGCTCTTTGAGACAAATTACTTTTTTTTTCGATCTTGATGTTAACAGCAATAGGTATTATAGCTTCTCCTCCCCGTACGAGACAGAGAACTTAAGATACCTAAATATATACTATCTGTGCCATTGAGCAATTTTTACGTAGAAGAGTACCTAACGCATTTTGGGAGACGCAGTGCATCGCGCAGTTTACCATACATTGCTCGTAATTTTCGTTGGCGCAAAAGATGTTGCGACCCGCTACAGCATTGTATAAAGAACCATCCAAACGCGTCGCTGTGAACTGCATTTCATCGCCAACTATATACTTCGTGCTAGTACCTACATATTTACATACGGCCATAATTAACCTGCCATGGTCAATGTCATTATGGCGTCCCCAATGGCAGTCCCCAGTGACCCTGAACGAAACAGAAACACGCCAAAATAATGTGCATGTCGAATGGTATTTAGACATGCGAAATTGTTTGTTTTTTTATTCTAGTACTAAGTAGATTTAATTTTGAGTGGGTATAATCAGTAATCACCTTTAAATGACTTCTGAGAGGGTGTGTTGGGAGTCTTACTGGTCGAAAACCACGCCGTTCATTCTCCTGCGTTAGGCCGGTGCCGCGGTACTGCAATGTAGGTGCAAATAAGAGACGTGTTGCTTGAACGATTGTCTTTTATTAAGTGCACATTATTATAATAGCTTACACTACTTATGGGGAGAAGTGTCACACACACTACAGTACTTATATTATTACGGTTTTTGTTTTTATCAGGGGAAAATCATCAAATAAATTCTCCACTCCCGCCCAGGATGAGGCGAGGAGTGTCAGATTCTTACTGACTTAAAACCCCCCGTTCCTTCTCCTGCTTTAGGCTGAAGCCGCGGTGCCCCATTGCGCTTACCCCGCAACCCCGTCTGAACATCAGCCTTATTGGGCCTCATATGTGGTGGTCTGTTGTCTCTTTATGGAGCGCGCGGAACGATACGCGCCGTACGGTTTAGGTTCTGGTGGGACGAGCTACACTTGCTAGCCGTCCGGTAGACCCGCGCTTTCAGTGCTGCGGCTGGGGTTTGCGGAGGATAATTCCCCCGACTTTGATCTTATCTGCCCTTCTAGCTTTATACGTACTAATGAGAATTCTTGAAAACGAATTTAATGGGACGGAGCTAATGGTCATTCTGTCCGTCGTCTAATGGTAGTCGGTTAGCGATGTCCATAAGTACTCACAAAACCTGAGGAGTTACAGAGGTGTGGTGACCTTACCTTTTAGTTCATCAAACCCCAAGCGAACGCCGTTCGCGCCTCTATTGTTTTTCTATAGGTATAGTGTCTCGAATTAAGTACCACTTTTGAAAATTTGTTATTTCGGTATTCCAGGTAGTAATGCTAGTCATTGGCAACCGCACGGGTCCTGATGATGTCAACAGTCTAGAAAACACATGCTCCAAAGCTTCAAATTGGTGTGCCCGGGAAAAAATCCGCCATTTCGAAGTGTCTGCGATGGATCGACCTTCTTTGTACGAACCTTTTATATTTATGACTTCGAAACTAAATCCAGTACAAAACAAAACAGCTTTCCCACAATTAAGCACTTTGAGCAAGCTGACACAGAAAAATAATAAGAGCGAAGCCATGTAACGGTACGTTTTTAGTCTATGCCCTTTCTGCTATCAACCATGAAGGTTGATAGTGTTGTTTGTGGTTGGAAGTGAGCTGTCAAATATTGGCGCGAAATTATAATGGTGCTTGTAGATTTTTTATCGCTTGTCAAAATATAGCTGTTTATATAATACCAGTTAAAAGCTGTAGTTAAGCTTTAAAAGCTTAATATTAATGTAAAGTAGATAGAAATATAAATATTTCGAAAGCTCTCTCTATAATCTCTCTATTGGCTTGCATTCTTATCCGTAAATTTGAAATTGGAGCCTATTTTTGACAGCTTACGAACGAGTTTGGCAATTTCAGTGTAAATACTCCTTGAATATTATATTAGAAATGTCTGACAAGAATAATTCTCCAGATTTTTTTAAATTAAGTTTATCAAAATATACCTTTTTTGGGGATGGAAAAATCATCAAATGACTTCTCTCGGTATGGTCGCTCCCAGGGTATAGCGACCGGGGTTGTCAGACTCTTACTGACAAAAATCTCCCGTTCTTCCTCCTACTCTAGGCCGGAGCCGCTAACGTTACCTACTAACTAAACTTTAACCTACGAGTACGGTATTATTATACTTTTAATTTATTTAATTAAACTTTATGACCAAAGTACATAAGTGGGCTTAATGCCAACAAGCCTTCTCCCTTAGCCAACCTTTGAGAATATGTCTGGTGCAATAAAGTACAAGAAGAAAAATTAAAGTAGAAGTACCTAATTCGTTAAAATACAGAATACTTATAATATATTAAATGTAGGTAAGTACTTACATATGATTATATTTTTACGGCTGATTTTTCAATAGTCAGATAATGTTATCTTAGGAATAAAATTGTTGCTGTCACTGTCTTATACAAACATTCTGACGCGACTGCATCATAATTGTTCCCCAGACCAGGTAACTTTTATCTAACCATTGAAAAATCAGCCCTAAATATATTATTCAAGGAGTATTACGCTAGCTCATCGAACCATTCGATCTTATTTAGTTTTGTTTTAGCAAATTTTTTTTTAATTACATAACTTTTGTTTTGTAAATAAGTAGTGAAAATCCGTGATCGAATTTTAATTTATTAAAAATATTGAACGTTGATATTAACAGATCTATTTACAGTATTGTAACTGTTGTACTAAGGGTTGATTTTTCAATGGTTAGATAAAAGCTATCTGGGGAATAATTATGATACTGTCGCGTCAGAATGTTTGTATAAGACAGTGACAGCAACAATTTTATTCCACAGATAAATTTTATTTTATCTAACCATTGAAAAATCAGCCCTTAGAGTCATTTAATGGTTACTAATAAGGATCTTAGCTATTGTTTGCGAAACAGAATCGTTACTAAGGAACACTTTAAGTAATCATTAAATTTCTCTGAGTTGGACAGTAATTGTCTTTTTACACGCTTCGGTAGGTGCCGGGCGCATTAAGTTGAAAATACAATTAAATCATAGATTCAGAACAAAATAACTTAGTGTCACCCGAAGTGTGTGAAAAGAGCCTGTATGTAAAATTATCAAAAGAACCTGTTTATTGTAAAATTAGCTTCCGCCTGCGGTTTCGCCCGCGTTGTGGGAAAAAAGTAGCCTAGGTCTTAATCCAAGGTATCAACTCAAGGTAAATACTTAATTCCTAAAAGGTCAGCAACGCACTCGCAACTCCTCTTTTGTGGCGTCTGTCTATGGGCGGCGCTGATTGCTTACTGATGGTAAGCAATCAGCGCCATTCAGCGGTCATTTTCAATAATCTATTTTTTCTGTAGATTCGCTTACTGGAAGCTTCCGTTTTTTGCTTTTTGCTCACCAGGTAGCGCTAGTGTCCACATCTAGCCTTTTCCTCCAATAGGGAATTAGCTACTGGTATAACATTAGTTTTTATATTGTTGATAGCTACAGTGACCTATCTTTAGATTAGCGCCATCTAGTTGGGCAAATACGAAACAAAACAGTAACCTAAACTATGTAGTCACTTCAGTCAAAAATATATTTATTATATTTTTTTATTAGGTATGCTATTTAATCTAAAAAGGTTATTTCATTATTAACCTCGGAACAAAACTTTCACCTAATAATACGCCATCCATCCATTCCATCTAGTCAAATTCAATACTTTTATTCAAACGTCAAAAACGATACTTTTTGAAAGTATGAAAAACTGAGTTATTATGACGTTTAAACATTTTTGCGTCAAATAGCTTACTTATTTCTTTATAATTAGCTAAAAAAATCTAAAACTAACGACCGGTTTTTGAAAGGCTTGTCAACGCTAAAATTAACTAATCTCCTGTTAAATCTCTTTTCAAGTCATCTGATTGGTTGTTGATAATTCAGTTAACCAATCAGATGACTTGACAAGAGATTAAATTGATTTTAACATTGATCGACCTTTCGGAAACTGGGTGTTAGTGTATCGATCGATCGATGAATAAAAGTATATACTCGGAATTTTAATTCCATTCCAGATTTGACAATTTCAGGGTTGCAACGTCATGACACGTAATAAATAGTGACGTTGCGAAATTATTCGATGTGGGAATCGAATATTTCTGAATCGATTCCTCTCGTTTATAAATTTAATCTGGTAAATTAAGTTTATCAGGAAATAAAATATTTCTGAACCGATAATTTAGTTATGACAATTAATTAACGATCGGAGACTTTTCTTTTGTAATTGTGTGTGAAATTAATAAAAAATGTGTCATGAAGGAACATGGCAAATAAAACAGAAATTTTATAAATTGTCGCCGTCATCGCTATCGCTATTGTGTTACTTTCTGTAACATTTATTATGAATTGTGTCTGTGATGTTTATTGTCAATTAACATATCTAGCTTACTAATTTTTTCCTCTGCTTTGACAACATGGGATACGCATTTAGACCATTCGGTAGCCGTAATTTTTTGAATGCCTTCCTGAAACTGATTCACTTATTGTTTATCGATTTTTGTGATCATCACTACACTGTTTTATGTGGTATGGGTATCATTATTTCACAAAATGACAATATATGTCAAATCAGGAATTGAATTAAAATTCTGACTATAGTTATAATATTTGTCAATATATTTTAGTGTATTGAAACGTCGAATTTATTTTTTTTTGACCTAGGATACTACCTACTATTTTTTAGGAAATAAGTAAACTATTTGTGCGAAAATACTTTTTGGTATAGCATAATTTGGAGTTACAAGCAAATTTCATAGAAAAGTATCGTTTTTGACTTTTGGATAAAAGAATTTAATTTGACTAGTTGGAAACTACCGTATTATATCCAGTACGTAAATCTACAGATAAATATGTAGTGAAATTGTGACAAACCACAGAATGTAGTATATAAAAAAATCTCATTATATAGTATTGTTTTAATTAATTTTGTTGTACTAGTTTTTATATTAATTTATTTAGTTTGAAATGTATTTTGAATGAATTGTAGGCTGATACACTTGATTTGTAAACTCAATTTTATCTAACCTATACATCAGTATTTAACCCTAACACGATTTTTGTATGAAGTCGTGATAATAAATAAATAAAAATCGATCTCTGTGCCTATATATTTAAAAGCTATAGTCGTTTAAAAATATCTGCCCCATTGTATATTTTAGTTATGTGTACTTAAAATTTTAAATCATGTCATATCATTGGATTGGATAATATGATAGGGGGCATAGATCTATGTTGTAGAAAAATTATAAGGAATTGTAAATTAGGCTTAGTACTTAGTTATTGATAAGCTTTTAAAAAAATAGTGCAATATATTTTAAATATTTTTTTTAAATGTAAATAAATTTTAATTCGACCTCTTTTTAAATTCATTAAGCAACATTCGTTGTTAAGTGTTAACTATTTAAATTTAAAATAAGAATGTCTGAAATTTTACTTCTCAAAAATGTATTTTAAAAATTATAAAAAAATAAGATGCTTCCTATTTTAAATGTAGAAAATTACCTACCTATGTATGTGTATAATTATTTGGTTTACGAAGAATCTCTAAGTAATTTATTAAATATTTAAATTAAATAAATTTATCTTTCTCTACACAAAGTATTGTTGTTTATTTTCGATAATTCAACCTTGTTACACGTGAAATAAGTCCAAAATCGATGAACTATGCTATATGTAGATATAGCAAAAGAGGTATGTTAGAATAAAGTTATTTGTGTTTCATTTCGGCATTTCTTCTCAGAGTAGTCAGATAGGAAATTCCGGCTTCATCTAGTTTTTTACATATAATTTTATCGTGTAAAAGTGCCGTTTTATGGCCTTTTTGCAAAAATGAATTCAATGTTTCATTGTTACTGATTTTAAAAAGCTTAAGTTTACTTGAAGGTATTACCTAGTTTTCTCACATTCAAGAATAATATTTAATTAGTACTAATTTATATTTCACAGTATTTAAACAACTCTTAAGTAAGGCGTATTTATTCTAGAAATTGATGATTAAATTAAATATATATGTTATTAAACCTTTTCTGATATTAAGTGATTATTTTGTTTTTGATGTAAACCACCAGGAGGCAGTCTGAAAAACGTTACACAACCATACACAGTTTTATCATTAAAACCGCTAAGGAGTGGAATTCTTTGCTGGAGTCTGTGTTCCCTGAAGCGTATAACCCGGGTGTCTTCAAAGCCGTAGCCGTGTCTTCAAAGGTTGCTCATGGGAAGGCGTGCTCCATCGTAGGTCGCATCATCGTTTACCACCAGACAAGTGTGCTCGCTATCTTCGCCAGTCAAAAAAAAATGATAGGACGGCAAAACGAGCAATTCGTTCACGTGACGGAAAGCAAAACGGCGTCAATACTCAATTATTTATTGCATTCACATCACGGACTCTCGGGCACAGATTACCACAAAGTAAAAGTAGTAGAGAAGTAGGAACCTTAATTAAGTATAATTTTATTTTTAATTAAGTATTTTTCATTTAAATATTAGTTTTTTTTTGTGAGGACAAAATCATCAAATGACTTCTCCCGCCCAGAGTATGGCGAGAGAGAGAGTGTCAGACTCTTACTGACTAAAAACCCCCCTGTTCCTTTTCCTGCTGTGGGCCGAGGTCGCAGTGCCTCATTGCGCTTACCCCGCAACCCCAGAACATCAGCCCTATAGGGCTCCGTCTGTTCGTTGATGTTATAATAACATTTTTTAGCAAGAACTGTTATAGATTATTTTTAAAAAGATTTAATTTC